AAGATTAATCTTCCAGTATGTCAAGGATGGAGATTACAAATCATTGGCTAATAAATGTGCTCAAGGTGTAAACATGAACATTGCAGACATCAATGATAATTATCAAACACCTCTGCATCTTGCAGCAAAAAAGGGTTGTGTGTTTACTCTGCTAACGTTGTTGGGATGTGGTGTCAACATTAACGCTGAAGATAGTGATGGTAACACTCCTTTACACATTGCTGTCACCGATAATCAGTCTCATATCTGTACTTCTCTGTTGTACAACGAAGCCAATCCCTTCATCTACAACAAGAGCATGAAAAATGCTTATCAATTAGCCATGGATTCTCAAGATAATTGGATTAAATACATTTTTCAGGCAAATCGTTTACAATGGTATCAGAAAATTAGAAAATTAAAGAAAGATGAAAAAAAATTGTTTCTTTATGTTCGCAAAGGCTACTACGGAAGTGTTGGTGATCTATGTATGAAGGGTGTCAATGTATTAGTTGCAAATGTGGAAGATAAGGAAAATACAGCATTTCATTCTGCAGCTCTTTACGCACAAAATATTGTTCCTATGGTTTTCACACTTTTAAACTGTGGTGGTGATATCAATGCAAGAAATGTTGAAGGCAACACTCCGCTTCACTTTGCCGTGATGGTAGGCCACTTTAATGCAACCAGCATTCTCCTCCAATATGGGGCAAACCCATTTATTGAAAATAATGATGGTATGACGGCTCACAATTTGGCCTTAGAATCCAGTGATCCAAGTCTGCGAGCTATATTCAATGAACCATTACTAAGTTGGTACCTCAACTCACATTTTGAGTGAACAAATTTTTATAAAAATATATTTGTAATTATTTATTTATTTTTTGAAATAAGAGGTAACTATAAAATTATTTCTGTATCAATAAATAAGATAAAAATATATATATTTTTATCTAATACAATTTATTTATTTCAGCATCTTCAAAAATAAATGTACAATATTATGTTATATTTTAACTTGTTTAAAATAAATTTCACATTTTGGGCAAATATAACTAAGATGTGAATTTGTAATAATAAGAAATTTTGTAAATATAATATATATATATTTTTAATATTAAATTGTCAATTATTTATACACATATTAAAATAAATAACAAATATAAAGTTAAGTATATTGGTAAAATATCTATATTTTAGCTATATACTTAACTTATACTTTCCCAACTCGAGTCCAAATTACCAAATCCCCACAAAATAGTTTTGTATGAGGATCCGTGTGTGTTTGTATGTGATCAGGCTATCTCAAAAATGAAAAATCGTTGGAAACTGAAATTATATAATAAGGTAGGTATATGCTTAGGATATTACCGTAACTTTTGCAAAAATGGACTTAATAGAAATGACACTTTTAAGTCATTGATTTTACACATTTTTACAATTTTCTCAATATTTTATATAGTACAATGGTTTTTATTATCATGTTGATCTTATTAAATAGACTCAAAGTGTTCAAATGTTGAATTTTCAGTTTTTTCTATAGTAAAAATGGCAACAACATGGTTGAAAAAGGACACAAATTTTATTTTAACGATATAATCTACAAAGAGAAAAATATATTTAGAAAAAAGTACTTGGACTAATAACAATTGCAAAACATCTACAGTATAGAATAAATTTCAAAACTCATTCAAGAAATAATCAAAATTATGCAGAGATTATGTTCTGAAAGTATAAACCAACAATTAAAAATAAATTGCCGTAGAGGGCGCCTAAACAATCATGGGGCAACAAATTTTTGGTAGATGAGTGAATTAATAAGTATATTTCTTCGATAAAATAAGTAAGCTTTTCAAAAAATGAAGTACTAATCATAATAAAAAGGTAAGATTTACGAAATTTTAATTTAATAAATTTTGTATTTAATATTTTAAAAAAAAGTTTTTAAATAGATTTTTCATGATGTAGTAATGTAGTTACCAAAATTAATAACTGACAATTAAATCAAACAAAAAACAAATAATTAAAACAACTATATTTTTCAAAACATTTTATTTAGCTTTTAAAATGTACTGTCTCAGTTTGAATTTTATATAGAATTTGAAATGTTGACAATGTGGCAGCAAAAGTAATTAACTAAAACATATCAAAATTAAGAAAAAATAAAAATTATTTCTTGTTAAAACAATGTTTTAAAAAAATTTGTAGTAGGAATATTATGTTATAGTTAAAACCTTAATCTAAATTTGGTAAATATTAAAAAAAAATGTTTTCAGTATTTAAAAAATGTATGTAATTTTTGGTATGTAGTTTTTTTGTTTTTTTTTACGAAGAATCTTTTAAATACATTAAGAAATGTTTCTCAAAGATTATATATATATATATATATATATATATATATATATATATATGTATATGTATGTGTATATGTATATGTATTTATGAGACTGAAGTAAGCTGCTATAGCCCACATTCAATATCATGCTACCAGTGGCAGTGTAACTTCAGTTAAGGATATATTCACACTCAGTTGGTGGTAGGTAATCAATATTTTCGTTTATTTATGGATCAACATTACTATTATTATAATGAGATCGTGAAAAATTTCTGAGTTCAAGTTATCTAGTCTTACAAAATGGTATTTTCGTGTATGCGAACAATATAGCCCAAAAACTGTCATGAAGCTGAAATTACATATTTTAGTAAACTTGATTTAGCAGAAGTGTCACTTTATATAGTGGACTTTAGGATTTAAGATTTTATTATTTTAGAAACTGTTTTCAATAATGCCGACAAAGCAACGGATGAAGACTTGATAGACGTTTTAAATAGTTAAAAAAAAGACGATTGTATAATAGATGCCGCTATATTCTAATCTATATTTTGTAATTCATTAATATGTCTTTAAATAAGTTAATTATATTTCAACAAAGCCGTCTTTTATTCAATTTTCCCTGTAGAACATACATCATCATACAGGAACGATACATCATAAATAAAATGCAAATAATAGATATTTTAGTTCTTGAAAATGTTCGACCTATGAATATTGATAAGGTTAATAACGCAGTGTCGGAAATTTTCTGTGGGGAGGGCGCACTTGTGTATCAGGTGAATTCTATACACTAAAGTTTTTTATAAATACACACACGCATATGTGCAGAGTATCCAGTAAATATTCAGAGTTTTGTGTTATTCGTTGTTTTCGAGTTAGAAGTATATAAATATAGATTAATTTTTAAAAACAATCCTTTTTCAGTTAAAATATTAATAATAAAAATGCTGGTTGTGTAGTTATTTTTGGCAAAATAAATTTTTCTCACCTTCCAGGGGGATGCCCGCCCCTCCTCCTGAATCCTCTAGTGCAATAACAAAACATCTTTGTAGTCAAAACTCAAAATTCATTTATCGTACTATGATATAATAACACAAAAAAAAACTGATGTATATTATGGTTTTAATGAAAATTGAGAATTTGAATGACAAAATGTACGTTGAATGATCATCAGGACTATTAAATTAAACAATAGGACTATAAAAATGTTCATTACTTTTTACAAAACAAGAATATTTTTATTTATATGTTACAATCAAAAATGTCCAATGCATCGTATTAAACTTCGTTTTTCAAAATATCTTTTGAGAATCCTGTCATATTATCTTAGCTTGTAAATAAAATAAAAAATAATAAGCTTATGCCTTAGTGCACAGGCGGATCTAAGGAGAGGAGGGCTTTCGGGCTGAAGTCCCCTCCCCAAAAAAATGGTAAAATATAACCATGTGTTATGCAAAAAATATTTAATAATTAACTCTAAAGATATTATTGTTCGTGTAAATTACATTTAATAGTATTTAAAGAACTACTTAAACTCTATTTCATACAGATACTTAGTTTCGTTCTTTTTCTTCATAAGTAATTATCGTTATATATTTTTTTTTTAAATTTCGAGCTGAAGCTCCCCCCTCCCCAAAAAAAAACTAAATCCTGGATCCGCTAGTGCCTTAGAAAATCTACTTTTTACTTTTTATAAAAGTTTCTTTGAGTTCTACCAATGAGTGGTTTCTCTCCATGTTATACATGTCATGTTGCCAATGTCACATTTACTTGTTGTATTTTTAATGTAATACAGTTGTAAATTTCATTAATCTAAAAAAAAAAAAATGAAAATTTTAAAATAACGAAACATCGTCTTTACTACATGTTCTTCCATTGTACAGTTATGGAATTATATTTTTTCTGTACCTAATATACCTAACATAGTTTTTAATTTTACCAATATAGAAATCCTGCATGCCTGTTGTATACCTCGAACAATTGATGTCAGGAACGGATTAAATTTTCGTCCCGAAGGGAATTTATTTTTGAAGAGGCATAAAAAAAAAAAAAAAAAAAAAAAAAAAACTTTTTTTGACTTTATATTTATTTTAATGGTAAGTGAAAGTAAAAACTATAATTAGTAAAGAAAACTTTTAATATTCTCGCCCCAATATTTGTATCGGGGATTTTGGATTGTAAGGATTAGATATGGGAAGAATTTGATGATTTTATGGAATCCCAAAACCTGGGATGCTTATTCCCCCAAGATCGGTAGCGCATCTTCCTAGGGCGGGGTGATCGAACGGCTAAAGTATGTGCACAGCACCACCGTTGCCCGGCAACCTGATACATAGATAACCGGATAAAAACAGTCACGAGTTCGTGCCCACCCCCACCTCCTGGCCCGAGATCCAAAAAAAAGGGTTGGTAATGGATGAACCATTTCCCTCCCTAAAAAAATTGTATTTCTCTCCTCTTCTTAAAAACATTGCTGGCGAAAGTATAATTTGACAATCCTAGATCATATCCAATTACACTTGGTCTATCCTATGTTTTTCTCCTAGTTATCTGGTTTGAAAATCTAACTCCAAAAATTCAAAACCGAGTAAAAATATACTCCCTCCCTCCCACAAAAAAAGTTTTAATGGCGTAGCTTGCGCCATGAAAATCCTTCTTGGCATCTCTGCCGAATGCTCAATTCCATATGTCCAAATGGATGATGGTAGTGTATATCAGTTTTTTATAGAATATTGGAAGTTTAGAGCATTAGTAAAGTAAGTGTTTTACTAGTCGGAAGATATCAGGAGTTTCTTGTCTTTTAAGTCTAGTATGGGGATTCCAAGTATGATGTTTGTCCTGGGAGAGTTCCAAGAAAGAGTCCCGGGTAATGGATCTGTTCGAAAAGGATCAGTGGAATATTGTTAAAGGATACGGTAGGAGAGGATGTTGTAGGTTTACAACAGAATTTTAAAACCTAAACATGCCAAATATCCCATATAATCTAATAGGCTTTCGGCAAATTGTATCCTACTATAAAAAAAAAGTACGACGCATCGTACTTATCCCAGTTTAGGACATCTCAATTATCTTTCTCATCTATTTCCATTTGAAACCCGTAGACTCCTAGTCATGTCATTATTTTCTCACTTTGACTATTGCTGTGCGGTATATAGGGGCGTCTCTGTGAATCTCGAAGAGAAAAAGAGTTTGATAAATTGTTTCGTACGATTCATCTTCGGGATCCCAAGAGACGCTTCTGTTTTCCGTTTATATGAAGAGTTGAAGTGGCTTCTAGCTTCCTTCCTCTTTCAAGTCATCCATACACCTCCGAACTCTTTCAATTCAAATCCCCGATTCATTCCCGCAGTACCCATTCTTGGTCTTCAGATCTATATACTACGGCCTATCGAACTACTGCTTTTGACAGATCGTTCATTATCCGATCCTCATCCCTATGGAACTCAGTCTCTTCCTACATCCGTCGCTCAAATACCCTTCCTACTTTTAAATCCCGCCTGTTTAATCATTTTTTATCCATCCACTCCCCATAAGATTGTAAATATATATCACTGTAAATACGTATATAACTTATTTGATCATTCTTAATTATTTTACTTATTTTTTATATTTTTTTATTAATTGATTAAAGTCAGAAAGTAACTGATACTTTTTTTTTTATTAAGACTGTTCGTATACTTTCTGATTATTATTTATTAATTATCATTTATTAGTAATGATAATATAAATGATTATTATTTATCATATTATTTAATGATGATGAAACTTCAGGTCGAAACGTCGGCATATGTAAAAATAAATATTATCATTTATTTTTGACTGACCACCCCAACTATTCTTTTCTTCATTATCCACGACAGTCAACCATTTACCAATTATGATTATTATTTATGTATCTCTGAAGCTCCTTAGCATACATTTCTGTACTTTTGTATTATTCTAAAGGGATTCGTTCCAGAATAAATAAAGTATTATTATTATTAAAACTCGGTGATGCGAGATTAAAGCACAGTCTCTTACCCGTTTCTAAATTAGTGAGCTAACACCGATTTTCCTCTAACATTTTTACAGATCATTTTAATCAGGAATAGAGAATTCAGCAAAGATATGAATGGATTGGTGTTATTTTGCATCTCTGTTTTCGTTTTCATAACCTGTAACTGTGATGAGGAAGAAACTTTAGAAGGAGCTAATACATGCATCATTGAGGAAAAGTAAGTTATTTTAATACAATTGATATTATTATCATTATCTATAACCGTTATTTTTATTATTATACTTATAGTGACTCGCAAAACCGTTGCAATCATTGCGGTTATTCATAAAATTAACCTAATATTTTGAACCATTGTTAAAGGTATATATAAAAGGCTAAGCGAATCCGATAGTTCTATTATCACACACCTCCCTCCACCGGTCAACGTCCGAACCAGATCAACCTTAATGCAATCTTTCCACCGTCGCTTAGGTCTTCCGCTCGGACGTTTACTAGTCGGTAAAGTAAATATTAATCTTTTAGGGATTATTTCGTTACCAAGCCCATCAATTTAAACTCCATTTTATTCGTCGTGATGTAATCACCTCATTTATATTTACCGCCGGATACAATTCATGCAATTCGAGGGGCGGAGGGGCCGAGCGGGCTAATACTTGTGTAGAGCACTGCGCGTTAAAAATAAATAAATAAAAATAAAATTTCACTCAATTCGGCGTTGTGTAACCGTTGAAGTGTCTCTATCCAGTTTTATAACGGCAATATTCCCTATTTGTGTTCCTTTCCTAATATTTACTACCAACTTCTTACCATCTAGATTTGTTTACTGTTTATTCCTCTGTCCATTTTTTATACACGAGATCCCAGCCCATCGAACAACATTCTTTAAAAATCTTTTATTATGCGTTTCACCATATTTTGGAATTCCTTACTCTCTTAAGGGTGAGCGCTGACTTCCAGAGCTCAAGGTCCTGGGTTCGAATCCGGCTAATGACTAATGATTTTTCATCGACCCTGGGATCAGGAGACCCTGGGGCACACCCAGCCTCTATAAAGTGTGTACTCCCAATCACCTCCCTGCACAACTGTTGACCTTGAAACAGTACTTCCTCACACTGTACTGCACCCAAGACCCTTCATGGGTTGTAGTGGTATAGGTTTTACTCTCTTAAGAGTTCGTTTATATGATGTATTTTTAGATATGCAATAGCCGAAAAGTCACAAATGTAATAAAAATGATATAAAATTTAAAAAAATGTGTTGAAAATTAAAACAGCTTAAATAGTTTTGATATTAATTAACAATTAAAAAATAACTTTTTTTTATTTTTTTTATCACAGATATTTCGTAAGTAAAAAAGTAGTGGAACTATGGCCCATGAGAACGAAGAGTCATGTGTTTTGTTGGAAAGTGCCACCGAGGTGTACTAAATATTATATCAAGATGGTTCCCTTTGAAGTTGAAAAGGTGAAACTTTTAATTATTCTTGTATTTCAAATCGTTATTGTATTTTTACTTCTTCTATTCTGCGTTCTTTCCTTCTTTGGCCAGATCAGAAACTAAAATGAAGAATCAGGTAGTCCTCCAGGCTTCCGTATAGATAGATAGAAAAAAAACCTTTATTCTGGGACTAAGTCCCTTCAGAATAACAATAATGTACAAAATAATAGAATATTACTGACCTAAACGTTTGAAGCAATAAATAAAATTGATAAAATAAAATAAAAAGTAAAGAAAACCTTAGGTGCACAAGCTATATACAATACAGATAAAACTATGTACAGAGCATTTAAAACTATAAACAAAACAATTAAAACTATGAACGAATCACTTGAACTATGAACAAAACTATATATAAGGGTTGAACAACATAAACATAGACTTTATGTATATCTTTCTTTCCACTTCAGATGGAGAGAGGCAGATCAGTCTCCTTTGAAATGAAAAATAATTTTATTCTGGGACTGAGTTCTCCTTAGAAAATAGTTGAGTTAAAAAAATATGTACATTAGTCTGGCATATAGATATCCTGCAAATATATACAAAAAATACTAAAGAAAGTGTAAATATATACAAGATACAAGAAATACTGAGAGAGAAAAAAAGAGTTAACAAATAAAAATAAAATGGCTCCTATCAATCAACTGCTGGTGATCAACTTAATTATGGAACCCAAAAATTCTTAAAAGCTTGCGGAAGTTTGAATTTGTAGTAGGTGGTGGAATAGGAGTTGTTGGAAGGAGATTATGGACGTGAGGTGGGTGAGATGGCTAAGGAGATAGCACAGATGACGAAGGATTTACTGAAGAAAGTGGTTTTATGAGAGGGGATATATAAATCTATAGGTTGAGACGGCGAATAGAGGAGCGCAAAGTAAGGAGTTCTAAGATGTAAGGAAGGTTTTTGGTCCTGAGGACTTGGAAAAGGAAAAGGCCGAGAAGGAATAGTCGTCGGGAAGTAGGATAAGCCACTTTCACTCAATGTACCAACAGGAAACATGAAAACGCTTAGGAATCCCTAAGATAAATCTTATGAAGCAATTCATAAGTTTCTTCAGTCTCGCCTCCAGTCCTGTGGACAGCCCTCCATACACCAAGCAACCGTAGTCGAAGTGGGAAAACAAGGGATGTTATAAGGAGCTGTCTAGTTTTTTTGGAATGAAATCACGGATTCGAAGGAATTGTTCAAGGATAGTTGTAGATTTACGAACAATCTGGGAAATGTAGTTGTTCCAAGAAAGGTTTTGATCAAAGATCACTCCGAGGTTTTTGATTGTCGGAAAGAAATGGATGAGACTGTTATTGAGGTAAAGTAAAGGAGAGAATGAGGGAACTAATGAGGTGCTTGGAACCGGTGAGGATTACCGTTGTTGTGTATAGATTCTGCACTATATGTTCCGCGTTCTGTTCATTTTTTTCGCATTCGCAGAGAAAACTAGAGCCAATGTTGAAATTTCTGTACAGGTAGGCTTTGAGTACCTTCGCAAGCGAAGGATAAGACCTGCTCTCGTTGATTCAGCCATGGATAGCTTTTCTGGGGTCATGATGTGGATGACTTCCGGATGATATTAGCTTTGTTAATTGTTTTATCTCGTGTAGGCTGATGCGGGCTCGTGATCCCTTCCTTTGCCAGCTGATCTATCCTTTTGTGTCCAAGGATCCATTGCGGGACAACTTTCTTGGACAAAGGGCATCAAATCTTCATGTTCTTTGACAAGTTTTCTCAGGATTTTGCTCCACTAGGACCTTAGTAATTGTAACACTGATGTTGCATTAGTAAGGAACACAATTTTTGAGTTTTCAGGTCTCTTTAGGCTGAAGCCCCTCCCTCTAAAAATTAAATCCGGGTTCCGGTAGTGCTAGAGAGAAATTCTTTAATGCTGCCCTGCTACATAAGATTTGTACACAGCATACTTATCAATCATATTTGGACATTAAATAGCACTTATATTAAATTAATAATGATTTAATTTCTTAATAATGATTACTATGATTTAGTTGAACATATTCCACTACAACTGAGAAGGGGCATATGACTTTAATTAGTTGGTTGTCCTGCAGATTACGAAAGAGTTCCATGACAATGGCTAAATGTTAATTATCCCAATCAATGGATTGGCAATGCAGGACCAGCGGCTTGTCCTGCACGCTCTCCAGACCTGACACCACTGGATTTTTTTTTGTTTGGGGTGACATTAAACAAAAAGTCTTTGCAAGACCGGTCAATGACCTTAATTCCTTACGAAGAAGGATAATTGAATCTTGTGAAACATTGCCGTTCTGCCACTGCAACTGTTCAAGAAAAATGAACTGTGTCAATGCTCAAGGAAATCACTTTGAACAAGATTTAATATCAATTTAATGTTTACGTTTAATTAATAAAGCAGTTGGAAAAAATAAATAAGTTTTATTTACTCAATATAATGTAAATAATTTATAACAACGAAAATCTTTAGGTGTGAATATATAAGGGTTTGCGGACATATCTTCAGAGGTAATTTTTTGTTTTGTTTTGAGGTCCATAATTCATATTTTCAGTTTGGCCACTTAACCCTGAAACTCCCTGCATATATGTTTTTTCTCTTCCTCTTTTCGGATACTACTCATATAAAATATCATTAATATACTATAGTATACCGTTATACTTTGAATCGTAAAGCTAAATCATAGCTAAGACTCAAATAGAGAAACCTGATATATGCTTACAGTATAAGTCTTTTATTCATTTTTAAAATCTATTTAATAACAGTATTAAACAATGAGGAGATGTAGAAAAAGCTTTCAATTAGTTGTTTTCCATCATAGAAATTCCCTGAGTTTAGAAACGTCAATGGATGCTGTGATGGATACAAGAAAGTTGGTGATAAATGTGAGCCCGAATGTTTGAAACGATGCGTAAACGGAAAATGCACTGGTCCAGGAGAATGCAAATGCAACCTGGGCTACTCAGGAACGAGCTGTGATGAAGGTCAGAATCATTGCCACTAATTTAGGTACTTATTTAATAGCAGGTAGCGTCAAAACCTCCCTTCTTATCTAATCTTATTTCACATAACCTCACTTATCTCATTTAACTTAAGTTATTCCCTTGTTTACTTTTTGTTTCTTGTATTTTTTTATTATTACATTTGTTTTTGTTTTTGTTCACAATTTCAATAATATCAATACAATACAATAAATATGAATACGAAGATATAATAATATGAATATAATACAATAAATATGAATACGAAGAGCTTATCAGTGTGAAGATTATAATCATTGGTAGATAGTAGTCGGACGCTATTCGCTATTAAATAAGTACCCTAATTTAAATTAATAGACTAAACAAAATACAGAGGGTGTCCCTTTAGTAGAGAGAAATATTTAAAATGTTGATAGCAGACATAAACATCTACACAAAAGTTCATATAAACAATTGGCCAATTTCCAGCAGAAAAGTAGGAAATTTAAGATGGTGCTTTTTTAAACGAGTACTTTTTTTTAATAGATGCCATAACATAACAAATATTTGATTTAAATAACTAAATATTGTTCTATAGTAATCTTGACAAAATTTACTTTAAAACGAAAAAAAAGTTTGCCATTGTTAAAACTATAGAAAGAGAACTATTGGATGGACAAACTCAGCTAAGTTTCATTTAAAAAAAACTTATAAATTATTTGTGATTTTTTTTCTTTAGCACGGGATTATAGGAAGCAATAATAATAATGTTCGTTACATAGAACGGATTATCAACTATTGTTCGGAGTACTTTTGACTGAATAGATTGGATGCGTTTGATGTTAGAAAATTTGCTGTCTCCCAAAGTTTAAGTCTGCAGGTCCAAATAGGTTTCAGGATTGTCTTGTATATTAATAATTTGTTGTCAGTTGAGGAAAGAGGTGGAGGAAGTGCTCTTATTCTCTGGCGTTACATGCCGGGCAGTTATTGTTGCCTTTTTATTTCCACCACTTAAGTTTAAATTTCCAACACTGTCATCACCACCTATGCCGATGAGACTTGTATCCTATCAGTTAATAACGATCCATTTATTGCATCCCAAACTCTTTAACCACACATCACAAGTCTTGAAAAATGGTGTCAAAACCGAAGGATTAAAATAAATTCCATCAGATTACCATTATTCTTCGTCGTAAACCTATGACTTCACTTCCTACAGTATCCTAACAATAGCCCACTTATCCCTGTAGAAAATTTGCTGTCTCCCAAAGTTTAAGTCTGCAGGTCCAAATAGGTTTCAGGATTGTCTTGTATTGTATATTAATAATTTGTTGTCAGTTGAAAGTTGAGATTTTCTGAAAGAATAGGAAAGAAATAAAAAATACTTGTCTCTCTATATACAAACCAGACCGAAAAAGAAAACAAATAAAAAATATAAATCAATAATGAAATATAATTGTATTATACAATTAATATTTTTATATCCCGCCAAGGATGCTGAGTTTTTCTAATGAGCTAATTGCTTTATATAATTACTTAGGGCTTTCCATTTGATACCTTTCAATAAACTAAATATTTCTTCAGCAGGACAGGTTTACTGTCCAAAACGTCGTTACCTGATCGCATTATATGAAAATATTACGGATGGTTGCTTAAGATACTATTTTTATTTAATTATCTTCTTATTTTTCTTTTTTTATTAGGAAGCTTACGTTTATAATTTTTTCATATTTTAGGCAATAAAACTTCCAATTTTCTTCATATTTTTTTATTTATGTTTGTTGTCTCTTACGTTTCGGGACAATTTTTCCATCATCAGAGCGATCCCCATTCTTACTGAAATTATGCACATTTTTTATATTAACTTTCATTCAACAACATCACTCTAATTCACCTATTTTACAATTATTCACCTTTCCGTTTTTGATGTGGCACCATTTGTCAAAAATTAAATATTTGTCACATTTTTTTAAAACTATTTTTGGTGTTACACATATTCATTGATACACTAATCAACATCTGGCTATCTTTAGTTTTGTTTTTGTACTTTGTACCCATCTTCTTATTTCTTATTATGGTTGGTTGTTTTTGTTTTTTTTTTAATTTTAATATTGAATATCATGTCCGAATAGTGTATACCTAAATGTTTTGTATCTGTTTTATAGTTTACTATTCTATTATTGTTTTTTTGTTATATGTATAGCTTCCAGCAGTTTCCTATGATTTGTTTTAGGTTCTATTGCCAGTATTTCTGGTTTTTTGATTTATTCTTCTATTGATATATTTATCTATATTGTTTTTGCATCTTATTTATTATTTTGTTTATTTATTTTTACTTTTGATGTACTTATCTTTTTTCATTTATTTATAACACAAAAACAGTTCATAGCATATTGCAATGATTTTATTATTATTATTATGTTTATATAACCATTATCTCATGTACGATTCACCTTTTTCTTCTACCTTAACGTTCCATATGTTTCCGAATTGGCCCAATCCAGATACTTTTTTATTTTTTTTTTGTTCTTCTCTACCTCGACTTTTAGGCTATACAGGGATTTTCACGGGCCAGGAGGGATTTTGAGAGTAAGGGGTTATTGCCAGAGCTAAAAGACTCCCGAGCACCGAATTATTTTATTGTCTCCAACTTCAATTATCAGGGTGCTGAGCAATGCAAGGTGCTATGCACACATGTTAACCCGCTCGGCCATCCCAATCCCTATCCAGATACCTATCCTTCCATAATCAACTTCAGAACCATCCTGATCCTCTTGTTTCTAACCTTGCTTCCTCTTTGATTCCTGATAATTTCCTTCTCATCCCCTTCCCTCCACCCTAGGCATCTGAAAAGAAGATGGCCTGGTGATCTCCTAATTTAGATACTTTATTAGAGTGCTACTAATGGGTATAGATTCTCTACAAGTCTTTTCATGCCATTGTATTTCTCTGTATCACATTTACTTGATGTATATTTCTTTTCAAATTTCAATTTATATTCAAATTCAAATTTCATAAATAAAAAATATATATATTTTTTTCTTCTCTTATACTTAATTATTTTTCTAATATTATTGTGTATTTAATTTTTATCTATGATGATATGACTCACATGTTCGGGTCAAAATATTGGCAAATTTTATAAAGAACTTTTTGACCGCACATCCTTATCTTAATTTATTTTTAAAATAATGATTTACAAAAACAAATAATTACTAATTTTCATACAGTATCATCAAAATTGTACATATTCTTACTCTGCATTGTCTATTTTTTTTTTTTTTACAGTCTGCGCTGTTGGAAAATGGGGTATAGATTGCAAAGAAGATTGCGAATGCAATAATGCTGCTTGTGACCCTATTTCTGGAGTGTGCAAATGCCCTCCTGGTCGGATTGGAAAAAACTGTGAAATAAAATGTCCTCGTGGAAAATATGGAGAAGGGTGTTTAAACGATTGCTTATGCAAAAATGAGGCTAGATGTCACCCCGAGTCAGGACAATGTATATGTCGAGCTGGTTACACAGGAACAATGTAAGCTATCGTAATATAATCATTAGACAAGATTCCAACCTAAATTTATTTAAATTATAGTAATAATAATATTTAAGAAAGTATTTAAGTTTATTTTATTAGTTATAAATACATTAGTGTTTATGCTTCTTAACATCATTCCCATCTTCAAAATTCTTAGCATTTCTGTAAAAATATTTAATTGTATTATATTATATAGTGAAGTTTGTATGATACATCTGAATATTTTGCAATGAAATTTCCATGAAATTCATTGCATGAGATTCTATAGAGTATTTATGAAAATTATTCATTTTATAGTCACCTCATGAAGCAATATTTTTATACCAACTGATTGTTATGTCATAGGAATTTCATCCTATGTTCTGAAAATGGTAACAGAAGTTCAGAAATGTTGGAGTGAATTACTGATTGATTTTTATATTTCAAAAAAACAAATTGTTCTTTTAATTGGAAAAACCTTTAAAATATCACATTTCAACAGCCAATTATATCTTTTAAATCCCATAATTCCTGACAGACTGCTTCCCTTTACTGATCCAGTCATGCATCTTAGAGACTTCTTTGACAGAAAAGCAATGTGGAACCCTTACACATACTAGATTTAAAAGACTAATTAATCATCTACAAGACAATTTCGAAACCTAGCTGGACCAATGGGTTCTAACTATGAGGATCCTGTGAAATGTTCCAAAATCAAACACATCTAATCCTTCCAGTTTTAAGTTCTTGGAACAGTATTCAATAACCGATCATATGTAACCAACAAAACCCTGCAACATGAACTTAACATCGCATTTGTCCTAAACTCTTTCCCCTTCTTACATCTTGTGATGTGTACATCACCTTCAGCAATATCCTTATACAGCTCCAGTCTTCCCTGAAATGCTTCTAGTATGTTGAAGTGGTAGTAACCCCACGATTTTTTATAAATATCTATGTATTATAGTTCTGACTATGGCCAGATCCCTTAAAAACGTATGCATCTGTGAATAAATTACTCTCACTCAACCTCTGCTGGCTTTTAATACCAGTGATACAGTTGAGAGAGGAGTTCAGTAATCTTCTGGTATCCTGCTTTTCATACCTGGTTTAAAATTATTTTGCTTTTATTTTACTTAATTTATTTATATTTTCTGTATGGTGTGAACGAATTATTTTTTTATTATTACGCATTTCCTTTAGGAAATGAAGATCTCAGAAAATATATATACTTCAGTCTTATATGTGGATACGATACAGATGTATACAAAAATACTAAGAGAAAAATAAATATAGAAATAAAAAGTCTCTTATCATTTATCTATTAGTGAGCAATTGTATTTACAAAGCCTGAAAATTCTAATAAGCTGGCAGAAGTTTGAATGTGTACCATGTGGTGGAATAGGAGTTGTTTGACGGAATTCGTGGATGTGGTTTGTTTTATGGAGATAGGTAAGGAGTTTTAAAAGGAGATAGCACGAATGACAAAGAATTTGCTGATAGAAGTTGTTTTATGGGAGGATATGTAAAGGCCTATAGGTTGAGATCTGGTATTAAGAGAGTGGATAGAGGAGCTTAAAGAAAGGAGTTCTATGATGTAAGGAGGATTTTTGGTTCTGAGGACTTGGAAAAGGAAAACAGTAAAAAGGAATTGCCATCAGGAAGTAGGATACAGCCACTTCAACTCGGCATATAGGGGGGAAACGTGGGTATGCCTGGGAATCCCAAAGATGAATTATGAAGCAATTCAGGACACTTTATTGTGAAAAAATGTAATATTACTCCACTAAAAGAGTTTCAATTTGAAAAAAATATAAATTTAAAAATTACTTAATATTTAATTATAATTTAAAAATAGTTCCATTCTTCTAGATGTGATACACCCTGCCAATTTGGTCACTACGGTGAACAATGTGCCTTGGAATGCCACTGTTCAAATGGCCTCGGCTGCGATCCTGTTTCTGGAGCATGCGCCTGCCCTCCAGGATTTACGGTAATAATAATAATAATAACTATACAAATATTGTAATGTATCTCACATTATTTAAAAATTTTGAATTGTTTTCTACTTAAAAGATATTATATCTGACAGGGATTGTATTGTGAGAAACGGTGTGAACCAGGAAGGTATGGAGAGCATTGCAAAAAGTTCTGCAACTGTCATAACAATGCAACATGTAACAATGTTAATGGATTATGTATCTGCCCTTCAGGTTACATAGGAGAAAAGGTAGGTTTAGTCAAGTTTTAATTTAATAAAATAAGTATACTGTTGTAAATAACCCGTTAAAAGTTAATTGTAACTTATTTTGCCGGAACAGCGAATAGTCTGCCGCTTTTATATTGGGGAACTAGGTTATTTACACTCGTGAATATTAAAACAAAACCCCGACACTTTTTGAGGGTGTTTAACTGTTGTTGGGAATTCGGGAATCTAATACTTTTGTGACACTGAGTGAGAAGAAATAATAAGAATATATTTATGAAATGTGGGATTTAGTAAACACACTTTGAAGGAAGTGACTCCTGGTTTGTTATTCTTCAATCATGAGGCCTATAGGAAAACTAAATAAATAAATGACTTTTTACTCCTTTCTAACAAAACAATTTATTTTACAACTGTAATAAGTGAATCTATTAAAGTGTTATAACTGTAGGCTTGATATTCTTGGTCTTCAATGTCCTGGCTCTCTCATCCCAGTTAACGTCCTCTCGCCTCCGTGCCTTCTTTTCTCTCCTCCGGGGTCCCTCTTTGTTACCTGCTCGGTCCTTTCGGTACCTCCAACCTTCTTCCTTCTTCATCAATTGTTTATCGATATGAGACTTTTCAATGAATAATTTGTCGACTGCATAATTGAGTACAATTCATCGTACAATCTCACATTCCTATATTTTCCTTCTCATTCCCTCACACAATGTTACATAAAGGATTAAATACAGGGAAATTTCTACTACACTGTTTAACTTTTTTGGGTGACACTCAACAATCTACATTTTTCCAAGTAATAGTTTTCTTGAAGATAGTTATTGTTTTTCATAGCACAGATATCCTAGATGGGTACACTTGACATAGTACAACGGACTAAGGTTTCCATGTTACAGTGGCAGCCTACCCGTTGCTCTACAGCCAATCCCTTTGTAGACTTTTAGGCAATGTTTTTCATTCAAACATTCAGTTTCAAGTTAAATATACCAAAGTTACAAATTTGCCTATATCCATATATTTTAGCTCCTTAGCGCAAGCCGGGATACATGGACCAGTGTGTTTTCTCCAGAAACAGAGTTATCATGGAGAAAATCTTTGAAAAAATAATTAACATCCTGGAATACCATAAGATTACTGTTTAGGTACATGGGGTAGGGCTATCACTCCTACCCAGAGTTGCTTTGAGTTGCCTGCAGTCGGCTGATAGTTCTCATACTCGCAAGAGGTCAAAGGGAATTGGAAACAGTATGGCTTTCCGTTGAGAGTGATCACCAACTCAGAGGTTCATCAATCCTGATACCATGCTCAAGTGTACAAATATCGATAACTAATTGCAAGTACTTTAGTCTGCTAAGCAATTCCTCCTCACCTCTTTAAACATCTTAATAAAATTATTTAAATTCATGAATATTCAAATTTTCTGTTTATATATATATATATTTTTTTTTTTTTGGTTAGCGCTACAGACCATGAAGATCTTTGACCTCCTCCTAGACCACTCCCCGATTCCCGATTTAAAGTACGGGGTAGGTTCATCAATCCTACACTCGGTCAGTATGAGATGCATCCAGTAGACTGACGGGCCTCACATACCGAGGGGGAAGAAATCTCTGGCAGCGTGGCTTTCCTTGGTGGGCGGTCACCCATCCAAGTGCCACGCTCGGCGTTGCTTAACTTTGATTATCTGTTGCAAGCGCCGCAAGGCTACCCCAGCATATATATATATATATATATATAATAAAATACTGACTCGTCTATATCAATTTTTTAATATTATCTAAAATTATAAATACCCACTTAAAAAAACATTATTTAATTCTCTGAAATTTAAGTGCATTTACTTATTAAAGGATTAGGTAAAAAAAATAAATATATAAATTATATATTTTTACATACATGAAACTGCCTCTCATATACCTTGTGTTAACTCAATGAATAAGGCACTATGTTTATATCTCCTGGACCTAGGTTTAAGTACAGTTGTGACAGGTAATTAATTAATGCTCCTGGGGCACATTAAGCCTCTATAATTTGATTACCCTTAATTGAAAGAAACACCTGGTGGTTGAGCATGATGCTGACCAAATCACCTTCCATAATTGTTGGCACATTACTCCCTGTCAAATTAATAAAATTTAGACTATTCATGAATTGTAATGGTACAGGAGTTTTTATTTTTTATTTAATCAAATGGTATAAAATAAAAAGTGAAATTTATATTTATACATAAACATAAAATCTATTATTAGAAACTCAATAAAAAAAAAAATTGAAACACAATAATAATTTGTACTTTTAATAGTGCGAGCAGATATGCCCTGGTTGGAGTTATGGTGATAACTGCTTGCAGACATGTGATTGTAACGGATCATATTGTAACCATATCACTGGTAAGTGTAACTGTCCAAAATATTGGATTGGAGAAAAGTGTGACCAAAAGGTGTGTCCAGATGGATATTACGGTCCTGACTGCAATCAACTGTGTCATTGTGAACAAACCAATCATGAAGCGTAAGTAAATTAATGATTAAAATGATAACTAATTCATTCTTTAAAAGTTCAATTTTAATTTCCTCTGTAGAAAGATGAATCATTGTCCAATTTTCATCTTTATTCTATTATATTTATTCTATCTTTTCACACATTTTTATTTTAGGTCAATTTAATAAGTAATCGCAACTAGTCTTTGATTATTATTTATTCATGAACCTTTCGGAATAACTTTGTCCTTCTCTTCAGCAAAATTATATGCCACAAAAATTGGGTAAGTCGTTAAGTTATTATAAATAACTGTGACTTACCTAATTTTTGCGGCATATCATTTTACTGAAGAGCAAGAGAGAATTCCTTGAACCATTCATGAATAAATAGTGATCAAATACTAGCTTTAATTACTTATTAAATTGACCTAAAGGAAAATATATGAAAAGGTAAAAAGATTAATATTGATAATTATTTGAACAAAAAAAAATCATAATGATGATTGCCCTGTATTGTGGAAAGCAATACCTAATTCCTCACTGAATTGTCTTCCCTATATCAGGTTCCATTTTTTTTACATATTTTCCGTTTCTTTACCTCTAAATGGAATTGTTAAAATTGTCAAATATACTGTATTTTCCACTACATTTGGGCACCACCAGTGACCTAATTTGGATCAAATTAGCTGAAATTCGGTATTTTAAGTTGCTTTCCATGCAGAACAATATCACTAGAGTTTCGGTAAATTGATGCAAGTCTGACCACTTTTTCTCATTTTTTTTTAAAAATTTTGTGTACCTTCACAGCTCTTCCAATAGGACTCAACTTAATGTTAGATTATTAAATTTAGTATTTAAATTAAGTTGTTAGGGAAGTGCCTTTCGGATATCTCATTACCATCTAACCAAATCAAAAATGCATTCAAATCTCCTTTTTTTTTTTTTTTGTTTCTTGACAATTCCAAAAATATGAAATATTTGTTTGACCGAAAGATTTTTGAAGCTTTTTGAAAAAATGAATCTAATTGTCTGCATAGCTAAATAAACAAAATACAAATATATTGTAAAAAAAAAAAATAATTTTAGCAAATAATTTACCCTATGTGGAATGTAGTGTAAACACACTGTACATATTAAATAAATCAATATTAATAATCTATAGTATATTATAAGAAAATAATAATTTGCAATGTTTCCAAACAAAAATAAGAGGAATATTTGACCTCTGTAACGGAGTTCTTCTTTTTTTTTTTTTGTATTTGAACGACTGCTCGATTAACATTGAGAATTAGAGTGAATCCCTCTGATTGGAATTCATGTTACTAAAAAAAAAATACTTCAACATTTAAAACTTTATATTCATTACAATCAAATTCTGATGAAAAATAAGTAATTAGCTAGTACTAATTGGGAAATTAATTACTATTCATCCAAAACTGTGCAATAGAATAGAATAGAAAATAATTTTATTCTGGGACTAATAAAGGACTAAAGTCCCTTTAGAATAACAGAATAGTTCAAATTTAAAATATTACAATTGTCCTAAACAAAAACAAAAAGAAAAAGAAAGAGAAAAAGTAAAGAAAGCACTAGTTAAACATACTATATACAAAACAAAAAAGTCTATATACAAAAAAATTGATACTAAATATAAATATAAATATACACTTTTAGAAAAAAATAAAATAAAAAATACATTCAATTCTTCTTTGAAATAAACTCTGTGTTTCTGCAGAAAAAAAAAAAAGCCGAATCTGATAGTAAAAATTGTCTGAGTATTTAAATGATGAATTATTTGTAAATACATCATTATGAATAATATGTAATTACATCATAAAAGGTTAGCAGGTATCTGACTATTTTTGGGACAGGAATCGGAATAGGAAGGTTTTAAATGTAGATATGGAGGAGGAATGTCGAATTTTGATAGAAAGGGAATTTAATAAATTAATAGAGCGAACAATAAAGGAGTTTTGGAACGAGGCAGATCTGTGAGAAGGGATCGAAAGGTCGAGATATTGTGGAAAGGGAATGGACTGAGGACTTGAATTGGAAAAGGTTGTAGGCGTAAGAAGGATGGTGATTGTTGATTTGATAAAGGAACGTACCTAGGAAATATTATTTTCGAATGGAGGGGAAGAGCTACTTTAACTCAGTGTAGTGGTGAGGCAATACTAATTTAGATGGATAAGAACTGGTGAAGAATAACTTTAGCACATTAATTGCATTTAAACCATAAATTTAAAAGTAAACCCATTAATCGAAAAAAGTAAACTATAATCAAAGACATGAGTGGAATGGAAGGTGTAGTATTATAAATTTTGAGACAACACTAAATAAAGTTCTTTATATAAAATCATTTTTAAAGACGTAATCTATTTAGTTCACAGAGAAATAATGTGATTTACCAAAACTCTAGGGTTGTTTATGTTTTAAGGCAAAGATAACTACATATCGCTCATGTCTTTAATATAGTGTATGGGTGTTTGTGTGTGTTGAATTAGGAGCTCAGGACCAATGAGCAGCTTTTCACAATTTTTATCACGATTCTTCTTCTTAGTCCCTTGAATTTATTTTTACATTTGCATTATTTTTATTTAAAATTTATTTGGTATGTTAAATTTTACTAGACCTTTGTAGACCATGGCGTCTATAGGTCTCATTTTTAAACATATCCACTGACACAATTATCTCGTTGGTTTATTGCAAAAAGGCACAAAGTAAATCTTTGGTGGAGATGAACTTTTAAAAATGTTTTATATCTTATTCATCGATAAAATCACAAACGGAAAATCCATCAAATTTCTTAGTGATTTAAGGTTATGGAATGTAACTTAATGACTTTTTGCAATAAACTGGTACTATTAACTATTAAGCAAAGTTAAAGCATATTTATAATTTTCATTGTATCTTTTTTTCAGAAACAAGGAAACATCTGTAGCTGTTGCAAGTTCTTTTTGCCACAAACATAAACATAAGCAGACTAGGTAAAATAGAGATAAATTTTGTACATAATTTATTAAACTTGTCATATTATATTGAGTTCAAACTTTTTAATTATTTATTTATGTTCAAGGGGTAGGTATATTAGTTTATTTGATTTTTTGTTTCAGGAAAAAAGAAATATAAATAAAAAGATGTTCCTTATGCATTAATATAGTAAAATAATCTCAATTTTTTCAGATCTTATATTATTGATAAATAATACAGAAATTTTATAACTAACTGGATGACCACTAAGTAAAGAAAATATCTTGAAAATAAGCATATAAATCTCAAATATCATTTTTATTTATTTAATTAAACTATTAAATTTTAAAAAGTTAATATATTTCTTCCTGAAATAATGAATTACAAAAAAAAATTTTTATATATATATATAGTATCGCAGAGTATCTAATCGCTCCTGCTTTATGGCAGTGAAACATGCAAGGTAACCGAAAGCATCACCCGCACGCTACAGACCTTCCTTAAATGATGCCTGAGAAAATATTGGGAATTTGGTGGCCAGAGCTCATATCCAATGAAGGACTATGGAAAGCTACCAACCAGCTACCAATCGATCTAGACATAAAAAAGCGAAAATGGAAATGAGAGGGCACACCCTGTTGAGACCAAAGAAAAAACAGCCTTACAATGGAACCCTCAAGGAAGAAGAAGGAAGGGCAGACCAAGAGAGACGTGGTACAGGTCTACAGACAAGGAATTAGGCCGTGTTGGAAAATCATGGAATGAGGCTAGGAGGATTGCTGTCAATAGCAATAAATGGAAAGAACTCCTTCATGCCCTATGATCCAGTGGTAGTCAAAGGAATTAATAATAATACCAGAGTATCTACAATTTTGTGAAAAGTTGTTTGGGTTTTTTTCTAACGCCTCTTGCCTTATTTGATTTCCGCTATTAGTCTTCTAGCAGCTACAGGGCTGTTCTAGGAACAGCTGTGGTCAGTTGGTTCTCTTATATAGATATCCAGGAAGCACATAGTTTATAATAACTAGACGTGATCACAAATCATTCCCTCTTCATCAGGAAGGTTGGCAAACTTTTCCCTGCAGACATCTCCATCCTGTTTTTTTTACGGGATAGGGTTACTGCCCCGTTGCCCTATCTGGAAGACCAGGAGCTATGTTGTAAGTGCGAGGATTCACTCATCTTCCTGTGAATCTCAGGGTGGGAACATTACTGTCCTCACGTGGGAATCGAACCCTCGCCTTGATGGACTGAGCAAGGGAGTAGGAATTACACTTATTTATTTTAATTTATTATTGATTATTTTTATTTTTTAAATCCCGTGAACGGGCTGTGTAAGTATATATGTAAAAAGTAATATATTATAATGCCATTAAGCTGTCAACATAAAAGAATTTGATTAAAGAGGAGTTGTTTGGGGTTTTCAATCAATGAAAATACAAAACAAAAATAAATAAATTATATTTATTTTTATTTCCGTTGTTATGACGTTTCGGCCTAAGTTTCAGCCCTTCATCAGGGCTGTTCATATTCATGCAAAGGATGTTGAGTGATATCCTTTTCATTCAATATCCTTCGATCGAACAGGTCTCATGTCTATTGACCACAACAACCCTGATGAAGTTTTACAAAATTCATATTTCGTCCAATAGTAAGCTTTTATAGTATGTTTGCGGGTGTATCTTTTTAGTTATGCCTTGTCATAGTCTCGTATTTTCTTAGTGATTGTAATATATAATTCTCAGAAAGTGTGAGTCTAATAGTATATTTAGAATTCTGATATACTGATAATAGTTATTTACTATCTTTATCCACATGTTTTGAATAACCTCTAATTTCCTTCATTCTATTATGTTTTAATTACATATTTTTTGTCATTTTAATTGTTAAATTTATCCATCTACCTGAATTTTTCTTTTAGATCAGTCGAAATCAAAATTTTGACAAAAGAGGAAAGATTAATTTTCCAGTATGTCAAGGATGGAGATTACAAAACATTGGCTAATAAATGTGCTCAAGGTGTAAACATGAACATTGCAGACATCAATGATAATTATCAAACACCTCTGCATCTTGCAGCAAAAAAGGGTTGTGTGTTTACTCTGCTAACGTTGTTGGGATGTGGAGTCAACATTAACGCTGAAGATAGTGATGGTAACACTCCTTTACACATTGCTGTCGCCGATAATCAGTCTCATATCTGTACTTCTCTGTTGTACAACGAAGCCAATCCCTTCATCTACAACAAGAGCATGAAAAATGCTTATCAGTTAGCCATGGATTCTGAAGATAATGGGATTAAATACATTTTTCAGACAAATCGTTTACAATGGTATCAGAAAATTAGAAAATTAAAGAAAGATGAAAAAAAATTGTTTCTTTATGTACGCAAAGGCTACTACGGAAGTGTTGGTGATCTATGTATGAAGGGTGTCAATGTATTAGTTGCAAATGTGGAAGATAAGGAAAATACAGCATTTCATTTTGCAGCTCTTTACGCACAAAATATTGTTCCTATGGTTTTCACACTTTTAAACTGTGGTGGTGATATCAATGCAAGAAATGTTGAAGGCAACACTCCGCTTCACTTTGCCGTGATGGTAGGCCACGTTGATGCAACCAGCATTCTCCTCCAATACGGGGCAAACCCATTTATTGAAAATAATGATGGTATGACGGCTCACAATTTGGCCTTAGAATCCAGTGATCCAAGTCTGCGAGCTATATTCAATGAACCATTACTAAGTTGGTACCTCAACTAACATTTTGAGTGAACAAATTTTTATAAAAATATATTTGTAATTATTTATTTATTTTTTGACAGAAGAGGTAACTATAAAATTATTTCTGTATCAATAAATATGATAAAAATATATATATTTTTATCTAATATAATTAATTTATTTCAGCATCTTCAAAAATAAATGTACAATATTATTTAATATTTTAAATTGTTTAAAATAAATTTCACATTTTAGGCAAATATTACTAAGATGTGAATTTGTAATAATAAGAAATTTTGTAAATATAATATATATATATTTAATATTAAATTGTCAATTATTTATACACATATTAAAATAAATAACAAATATAAAGTTAAGTATATTGGTAAAATATCTATATTTTAGCTATATACTTAACTTATACTTACCCAACTCGAGTCCAAATTACCAAATCCCCACAAAATAGTTTGTATGAGGATCCTTGTGTGTTTGTATGTGATCAGGCTATCTCAAAAATGAAAAATCGTTGGAAACTGAAATTATATAATAAGGTAGGTATATGCTTAGGATATTACTTTTGCAAAAATGGACTTAATAGAAATGACACTTTTAAGTCATTGATTTTACACATTTTTACAATTTTCTCAATATTTTATATAGTACAATGGTTTTTATTATCATGTTGATCTTATTAAATAGACTCAAAGTGTTCAAATGTTGAATTTTCAGTTTTTTCTATAGTAAAAATGGAAACAACATGGTTGAAAAAGGACACAAATTTTATTTTAACGATATAATCTACAAAGAGAAAAATATATTTAGAAAAAAGTACTTGGACTAATAACAATTGCAAAACATCTACAGTATAGAATAAATTTCAAAACTCATTCAAGAAATAATCAAAATTATGCAGAGATTATGTTCTGAAAGTATAAACCAACAATTAAAAATAAATCTTCATAGAGGGCGCCTGATCATTCTTAAGGAGCAAAAAATTTTAGGTAGATGAGTGAATTAATAAGTATATTTCTTCGATAAAATAAGTAAGCTTTTCAAAAAATGAAGTACTATTTATAATAAAAAGGTAAGATTTACGAAATTTTAATTAAATAAATTTTGCATACAAAATTTTGTATTTAATACTTAAAAAAAATTTTTTAAATAGATTTTTCATGATGTAGTAATGTAGTTATCAAAATTAATAACTGACAATTAAATCAAACAAAAAACAAATAATTAAAACAACTATATTTTTCAAAACATTTTATTTAGCTTTTAAAATGTACTGTCTCAGTTTGTATTTTATATAGAATTTGAAATGTTGACAATGTGGCAGCAAAAGTAATAAACTAAAACATATCAAAATTAAGAAAAAATAAAAATTATTTCTTGTTAAAACAATGTTTTAAAAAAATTTGTAGTAGGAATATTATGTTATAGTTAAAACCTTAATCTAAATTTGGTAAATATTAAAAAAAAATATTTTCATTATTTAAAAATGTATGTAATTTTTGGTATGTAGTTTTTTTTTTTTTTTTTACGAAGAATCTTTTAAATACATTAAGAAATGTTTCTCAAAGATTATATACATATATATATATATATATATATATATATATATATATATATATATATATGTGTGTGTGTATGTATGTATATATATATGTATTTATGAGACTGAAGTAAGCTGCAGTAGCCCACATTCAATATCATGCTACCAGTGGCAGTGTAACTTCAGTTAAGGATATATTCACACTCAGTTGGTGGTAAGTAATCAATATTTTTGTTTATTTATGGATCAACATTACTATTATTATAATGAGATCGTGAAAAATTTCTGAGTACAAGTTACCTAGTCTTACAAAATGGTATTTCCGTGCATGCGAACAATATAGCCCAAAAACTGTCATGAAGCTGAAATTACGTATTTTACTAAACTTGATTTAGCAGAAGTGTCATTTTATATAGTGGACTTTAGGATTTAAGATTTTATTATTTTAGAAACTGTTTTCAACAATGCCGACAAAGCAAAGGATGAAGACATGATAGACGTTTTAAATAGTTAAAAAAAGACGATTGTATAATAGATGCCGCTATATTCTAATCTATATTTTGTAATTCATTAATATGTTTTTGAATAAGTTAATTATATTTCAGAACATAAATCATTTTTAGTGAAATTTTAGACTATACCAAAATGATGTCTTTCAAAAGATCTTTTAGAGATATCATAGATACCTTTCTTTCTAGGTTGGTTTAAAGGGCTAAAAACGGCGTATAAGCCGTCTTATAGATGTCAGTCGGTATATCTTTTAGATAGCCCATATATTATTAAGGCATCTATTAGATAAATCTTTGTTGATTGGGTTATACCGTATTGGTATTCATTACTAATATAAATTTACATAAATCATAATATTTGTTTATCTCAGTTAGTAAGATAGTTATTTTTATTGTTTTTGGGCTCTTCAATTTACAGCTATATTATATCTGTAAATGTGCACTTTATTTTCTGATAAGGAACGATACATCATAAATAAAATGCAAATAATAGATATTTTAGATCTTAAAAATCTTCGACCTATGAATATTGATAAGGTTAATAACGCAGTGTCGGAAATTTTCTGTGGGGAGGGCGCACTTCTGTATCAGGTGAATTCTATACACTAAAGTTTTTTATAAATACACACACGCATATGTGCAGAGTATCCAGTAAATATTCAGAGTTTTGGGTTATTCGTTGTTTTCGAGTTAGAAGTATATAAATATAGATTAATTTTTAAAAACAATCCTTTTTCAGTTAAAATATTAATAATAAAAATGCAGGTTGTGTAGTTATTTTTGGCAAAATAAATTTTTTTCTCACCTTCCAGGGGGATGCGCGCCACCCCCCTCCTGTATCCTCTAGTGCAATAACAAAACATCTTTGTAGTCAAAACTCAAAATTCATTTATCGTACTATGATATAATAACACAAAAAAAACTGATGTATATTATGGTTTTAATGAAAATTGAGAATTTGAATGACAAAATGTACGTTGAATGATCATCAGGACTATTAAATTAAACAATAGGACTATAAAAATGTTCATTACTTTTTACAAAACAAGAATATTTTTATTTATATGTTACAATCAAAAATGTCCAATGCATCGTATTAAACTTCGTTTTTCAAAATATCTTTTGAGAATCCTGTCATATTATCTTAGCTTGTAAATAAAATAAAAAATAATAAGCTTATGCCTTAGTGCACAGGCGGATCTAAGGAGAGGAGGGCTTTCGGGCTGAAGTCCCCTCCCCAAAAAAATGGTAAAATATAACCATGTGTTATGCAAAAAATATTTAATAATTAACTCTAAAAGTATTATTGTTCGTGTAAATTACATTTAATAGTATTTAAAGAACTACTTAAACTCTATGTCATACAGGTACTTAGTTTCGTTCTTTTTCTTCATAAGTAATTATCGTTATATATATTTTTTAAAAAAAATCGAGCTGAAGCCCCCTCCCCCAAAAACTAAATCCTGGATCCGCTAGTGCCTTAGAGAATCTACTTTTTACTTTTAATAAAAATGTCTTTGAGTTCTACCAATGGGTGGTTTCTCTCCATGTTGTACATGTCATGTTGCCAATGTCACATTTACTTGTTGTATTTTTAATGTAATACAGTTGTAAATTTCATTAATCTAAAAAAAAAAAAAATGAAAATTTTAAAATAACGAAAAATCGTCTTTATTACATGTTCTTCGATTGTGCAGTTATGGAATTATATTTTTTCTGTACCTAGCACCACCGTTGCCCGGCAACCTGATACATAGATAACCGGATAAAAACAGTCACGAGTTCGTGCCCACCCCCACCTCCTGGCCCGAGAACCAAAAAAAAGGGTTGGTAGTGGATGAACCATTTCCCTCCCTAAAAAAATTGTATTTCTCTCCTCTTCTTAAAAACATTGCTGGCGAAAGTATAATTTGACAATCCTAGATCATATCCAATTACACTTGGTCTGTCCTATGTTTTTCTCCTAGTTATCTGGTTTGAAAATCTAACTCCAAAAATTCAAAACCGAGTAAAAATATACTCCCTCCCTACCTCCCCCCCTCCCAAAAAAAAGTTTTAATGGCGTAGCTTGCGCCATGAAAATCCTTCTTGGCATCTCTGCCGAAAGCTCAATTCCATATGTCCAAATGGATGATGGTAGTGTATATCAGTTTTTTATAGAATATTGGAAGTTTAGAGCATTAGTCAAGTAAGTGTTTTACTAGTCGGAATATATCAGGAGTTTCTTGTCTTTTAAGTCTAGTATGGGGATTCCAAGTATGATGTTTGTCCTGGGAGAGTTCCAAGAAAGAGTCCTGGGTAACGGATCTGTTCGAAAAGGATCAGTGGAATATTGTTAAAGGATACGGTAGGAGAGGATGTTGTAGGTTTACAACATAATTTTAAAACCTAAACATGCCAAGTATCCCATATAATCTAATAGGCTTTCGGCAAATTGTATCCTACCATAGGGATTCTATTGGATAGTACCGAGTGTGTTAACCAGTGTATGTGAGATTGTTATTTACCAGCTTTCTTTTGTGTTTATTATTGTTTTATGTTTTTCATTCCTGTTCATTATGCCTTAGTTTCGTTCGTTTTGTTGTTTTTATGTACATTTTTAGTTTTTGTGTTTTTATTTTAAAGTGTAAATAGACTTGAACTTTGTAGGTTAGGTTGAACTTGCGTTTTATAGTGCAAAGCGACTTAGTCTTGATTTGCCTTGCGGTGCTTGCTAGTTATAAGGTAAGTACTGCTATATAAAAGTTTCCTTTAGACGCACAAAGACTTATAAGACATTTTGAAAAGAAAACATAATTATAGTGGAAGGTTATACAGGTTAGTGAAATTTTCTACTTTAATAAGACTATTACCGTTGTATTGTTCATTAAACCAGAGAGAATGGAAGATTCGGAATCTCCTACCAACCTTACCCGTACTGCTAAAAGAGCTCGGAATGGTTCTCCTGACGTTAGTAAAAATGCAAAAGATGGTAAAGCAAATACGCTAGTTAGTGATGCTAGACGAATCCAGGAGAGTCTCCGGGCTTATTTAAAGCGGAACGATAAAAAACCCGTTGGGTCAATTCAAAATCATATTAGCAACAAAATACAATGTCTTGTTGATATGATAGAAACCCTTGAAGACGGAAGAAAAGATGGAAGTGTTTCATTTTTCGTAGAAAAGGCGATTAACGAGACACTTCTGTCACATAAGGTACGTGATATGCTTACGCAAATTATAATTGAGGCCTCTGTGCCGAAAGTAATTGAGGCTCTTTCGGCTACGAGTGATATATCTCAGCTTAAGCACATTTATCCTGGGTCCTCTAGAGAGCTGCAATCTACAGCTAGTAAACCTATTGGAGAGAGCTCCAGAGAGGTTGAGCAACAAATGCCAAGAGGTGATATTGACCAAGCTTTGTCTTTGGCAAATACAAGGCCTTTCGAGACAGTGGTGAGTAAACGAAATAAGAGAAAAGCAAAAGCAGCTGCTAAAAGTGAAGATGATACCTCGAAGGAACCGAAATCAAGTGAGAAGAAACCTAAAAGTATGGCAGAGATTGTAAAATCTCTGCCAAAGAAACCCACTCAGAATCTGAGACCAACTTACATCACCATAAGGGGGACTGGAAAGAGTCCTGTGGATATTATAAATGGCCTACCATCACCAAAAGAAATAGGTGTAAAGGCTACAATAGTCCGTGCGACCAAGGCAGGTTCTGTCTTGGTTCGTATGGACGACATCAATGATGCCACGAAAGTGATTGGATGGCAGGGATTGCGGGACCATGGCCTGCAAGCCAAGTTAGCTCTGAAGAAAAAACCCAGGCTGGAAGTAAGGGGTGTTCCTCATACATGGAATTCAGCTGAGTTGGCAAGATTTTTATGGGAACGATTACCCAAGAAGTCGGGCCCCACTCCGCTGATCATGGATGACCTGCGGCCACTATTCTCTTCAGTGGCCAGAAATGGTTTTACTAAAAATTGGGTACTAGAGGTGCATCCAACAGTCCGGTTCTTGCTTCTCGAAATAGGAAGCCTAGACGGAGGATGGTGGACCATAACCTTTAAAGATTATGTCGATGCTCCTCGATGCAGTAGATGTCAGGGCTACGGTCACACCAAGGCCACGTGCACAGTAGATGCAGTAGTCTGCATTTGGTGTTCAGCTAGTGGCCATGTAATTAAAGAGTGTCCAAAGAAAAGAGAACAGGCTAGCCCAACCTGCATAAATTGCGCGCGGGCAAATGTTCCCGTTGTTCAAAGGAAACACAAGGCGGGTAGCAGGGAATGCCCTGTGCATCTACAGTGGGCCAAAGAGGTAGCTAAAAGAACCTTCTATGAGTAAGCTTACCATCCTCCAGCTCAACATGGGCCGCCGACATATTGTGGCAGATGAATTTCGTGCTCTCTCCCAACGATACGACATAATGGCGGTCCAAGAACCGAGCTGCCGTGGGAACATAGTCACGGAGTTTGGCCTCACATCGAGGGTTATCGCCTTGAGCAGTGGAGAGAGGAGGCCCAGGGCTGCTATAGTGGTTAATAACCCGAACCTCGATGTGATGGATCTGAGACAGCATACTATGGCGGATTCCGTCGCTTGCTATTTCAAGTGGGGTAATGTAGCTTTTACGTTAGTATCAGCCTACCTACCTGATAGCAGTGATATTGACGAAGACATATCCGCCATGGAGATGATCACGGCTACCACCAGAAATGTGGTCATATGCTCAGATACCAACTCCTGGAACACGGTCTGGGGATCCAATCAAACGAATAGAAGAGGCGCAAAGCTAGGCGAATTTATTTCCCGGAACCAGTTAGTAGTATTAAACAATCCCTCTGCTACCCCTACGTTCTCTAGCGCTAGGGGGCAGAGTTGGATTGACGTTACACTGGCAACGCCATTAATAGCCAATCGCATCGTTGATTGGACCCTCCGATCTGAGACGAGTTCCGACCACCAAGCGATATCCTTCAGGCTGTTGGAAAATTCAGAAAGTTCCCACGGTACTGCCAAGGGTTATCTAACCCTTAGGGCAGATTGGAATGCCTTCCGGTCGACGCTGGAGGGAAAATTGGTAGACGATGAATGGGATGAAGCGGAAATAGAACAGACTAATGACCTGGATTACAGGGTGTCTAGGATCACTAATATTGTCTGTGATGCCGCTGAGGAATCCCTTCAGCACCGGAAGGCGAAAGCTCGACCTGTCCCATGGTGGACGCCGGCCTTAACAAACCTTAAGAGAGAGCTCTACAAGGCACGGCGGTTGTATCAGAGGTGTGGTTGCGACGAGAGGCGCTCTACACTCCGTGATCAGTACAAGTCCAAGGCCCGGGTATACCGAAACGAGGTGCGCTCACAGAAGAAAAAGTCCTGGGATGAGTTCATTGTTAAAGAGTCCACGAAGAATCCCTGGGGTATTCCTTATAGGGTGGCCATGGGGAAGTTTAGTACGCAGCAAACATTGGCAGCCCTCAAGCACGGAGACGTCCAGGCGACCAACTTCGAGGAGGCAGCCGAAATCTTCATTGCGAGGACGTACCCCAGGGATGATCCGTCTCAAGACAGCGATGAGGAAAACTTCGTGAGAAGCACCACGGCATACCCACCTGATATGGACTTGTGCCCACGATGGGACATATATGATCTCCGTATTGCCGTGGATAAGCAGAAAATCGGTCGTGCTCCAGGACTCGATGCTATAGATGCGGCGATCCTAAAGAATAGTATTCCCTACATTGATGAGAGAGTTTTGGGAATATATAATGATTGTCTGGAGAGGGGATACTTTCCCAAAACCTGGAAGATTGCCGATTTGAGACTCCTCTACAAGGGAGGGAATAGGGATAAACAGCTCCCCAAGTCCTATAGACCCATATGTCTCCTCCCTGTGATGAGCAAGGTCCTGGAGAACCTTATCATGACCAGTCTAGCACCAGTTCTTGCCAGAGCAAGTCATCCACGGCAATACGGCTCCACTAAGGGGAAGGGAACCGCTGATGCCCTGCTGAGAGTACGTGAAGACGTTGAACTGAGGACGGAGCGGTATGTCATGTTGATGCTATTTGACATATCCTCCGCCTTTGACAGCGTCTGGTGGCCTCTTGTGCTCCAGCAGCTGCAGAAATATGATGCTCCCAGTAACTTATATGCCTTGATAAGAAGCTACTTACAGGATAGACGTGTAAAGGTTCGTGGCAGTTCTTATGAGACTGAAGCTTTCATAGAGAGGGGATGTCCTCAAGGATCGATACTTGGTCCAGCTTTATGTAAGCTCGTTTTTGATTAGTTGTTGGGAGTGTTAGAAGAACAGCGGTTCCCTGCCACTGGATACGTTGACGATTTGGCAGTAGTGGTGGCCGCCAATAGCATAGCCGGCGTAAGACAAGAAGCGGAACGATGCGCCAACTTGGTCGGAGAATGGTGCGAGAGGAAAAAGTTATCAATGGCCGCTTCAAAGACTCATACAATTGTCATGAAAGGGAAAACTGATAGGGCACACCCTATTATCATAACGATTCAAGGATCGAGAATACGTCCAAGTGAGGAGGTCACTTATCTAGGCGTAAAATTTGGGAAAAAATTCAACGTTACCCCTCACTTGGACTATCTTAAAAACAGGGTGGCTCTATCTTTGAACGGTCTCAGTCGGGTTGGGGGCTCTTTCTGGGGCCTCAGATACCCAGCAACCTAAACAATTTATAAGGGAGTGATTCTGGGTATCCTGAGGTATGCGTCTCTCGCCTGGAACCAGAACCTCTCGCACCGACAGAAGAGTAAGTTGGCGACAATACAGCGAACGGCATTGCTGCGGGTCCCCAGGGCGTATCGAAGCGTATCCCATGAGGCGGTGCAGGTATTAGCAGGAGGGGTACCTCGACCTTCTCCTGCGAGAAGACATGATGAAGCACATGTTTAAAAAAAATGGCTCAGCAGTTTTACCGGAAAATCTTAAGGTGAGAATTGACGAGAATCCTTGCAATTGGAAAAACATTATGCGGGACGACACATTAGAGGAATGGAACCGGCGGTGGATGATAACCCCCAAAGGATCTACCTTGAGGAAGTACTTCCCCACAGTCCGGTCACGTTTAGAAGCAAGGTGGATCGTCCCGGACTATTGGCTCTCGCAATTTCTCACAGGCCATGGGGGCTTTCGAGCAAAGCTTCATTGCCATGGGATGGACATCGACCCCCTATGCCCTAGCTGCGGTGTTCCGGAGACTGCTGAGCACATCATAGTGGACTGCACCGCCTTTGAAGAACTAAGGGCTAAATTACTGAGGGAAACCGGTCTCTACATTCTCACAGAGAACGATTTCCCTCAGTTAGTCACTGCGGAAAACTACCCGTACTACAAAGATTTTGTGTACGGGTGGAAAGTCGCGGTGGGGCCAGCCCATTTTAATTTAAGAAGAGGAGGAAGAGGTACTATACCATTGGCGGGAAACGGATGAGAAAAGCAACCATGAAGAAAGGGAAAAAAATTGAAGAAAGAACAGAAGAACAAGATTCATTTGCAGTAGTGAGGTGTTAAGCTGACCTCCCTAACATCTTACTATTGCAGACACCCGTATTGCCTACTAGGCACGGCAGGGCTGATAAATAAATAAATAAATAAATAAAAATGTATCCTACCATAAAAAAAAAGTACGACGCATCGTACTTTTCCCAGTTTAGAACATCTCAATTATCTTTCTCATCTATTTCCATTTGAAACCCGTAGACTCCTAATCAAGTCCTTATTATTTCCTCACTTTGACTATTGCTGTACGGTATATAGGGGCGTCTCTGTGAATCTCGAAGAGAAAAAAAGAGTTTGATAAATTGTTTCGTACGATTCATCTTCGGGATCCGAAGAGACGCTTCTGTTTTCCGTTTTTATGAAGAGTTGAAGTGGCTTCTAGCTTCCTTCCTCTTTCAAGTCATCCATACACCTCCGAACTCTTTCAATTCAAATCCCCGATTCATTCCCGCAGTACCCATTCTTGGTCTTTAGATCTATATACTACGGCCTATCGAACTACTGCTTTTGGCAGATCGTTCATTATCCGATCCTCATCCCTATGGAACTCCATCCCTTCCTACATCCGTCGCTCAAATACCCTTCCTACTTTTAAATCCCGCCTGTTTAATAATTTTTTATCCATCCACTCCCCATAAGATTGTAAATATATATCACTGTAAATACGTATATAACTTATTTGATCATTCTTAATTATTTTACTTATTTTTTTATTAATTGATTAAAGTCAGAAAGTAACTGATACTTTTTTTTTTATTAAGACTGTTCGTATACTTTCTGATTATTATTTATTAATTATCATTTATTAGTAATGATTTATTATAAATGATTATTATTTATCATATTATTTAATGATGATGAAACTTCAGGTCGAAACGTCGGCATATGTAAAAATAAATATTATCATTTATTTTTGACTGACCACCCCAACTATTCTTTTCTTCATTATCCACGACAGTCAACCATTTACCAATTATGATTATTATTTATGTATCTCTGAAGCTCCTTAGCATACATTTCTGTACTTTTGTATTATTCTAAAGGGATTCGTTCCAGAATAAATAAAGTATTATTATTATTAAAACTCGGTGATGGGAGATTAAAGCACAGTCTCTTACCCGTTTCTAAATTAGTAAGCTAACACCGATTTTCCTCTAACATTTTTACAGATCATTTTAATCAGGAATAGAGAATTCAGCAAAGATATGAATGGATTGGTGTTATTTTGCATCTCTGTTTTCGTTTTCATAACCTGTAACTGTGATGAGGAAGAAACTTTAGAAGGACCTAATACATGCATCATTGAGGAAAAGTAAGTTATTTTAATACAATTGATAATATTATCATTATCTATAACCGTTATTTTTATTATTATACTTATAGTGACTCGCAAAACCGTTGCAATCATTGCGGTTATTCATAAAATTAACCTAATATTTTGAACCATTGTTAAAGGTATATATAAAAGGCTAAGCGAATCCGATAGTTCTATTATCACACACCTCCCTCCACCGGTCAACGTCCGAACCAGATCAACCTTAATGCAATCTTTCCAACGTCGCTTAGGTCTACCGCTCGGACATTTACCAGTCGGTAAAGTAAATATTAATCTTTTAGGGATTATTTCGTTACCAAGCCCATCAATTTAAACTCCATTTTATTCGTCGTGATGTAATCACGTCACTTATATTTACCGCCGGATACAATTCAGGCAATTCGAGGGGCGGAGTGGCCGAGCGGGCTAATACGTGTGTAGAGCACTTCGCGTTAAAAATAAATAAATAAAAATAAAATTTCACTCAATTCGGCGTTGTGTAACCGTTGAAGTGTCTCTATCCAGTTTTCTAACGGCAATATTCCCTAGGTGTGTTCCTTTCCTAATATTTACTACCAACTTCTTACCATCTAGATTTTTTTACTGTTTATTCCTCTGTCCATTTTTTATACACGAGATCCCAGCCCATCGAACAACATTCTTTAAAAATCTTTTATTATGCGTTTCACCATATTTTGGAATTCCTTACTCTCTTAAGGGTGAGCGCTGACTTCCAGAGCTCAAGGTCCTGGGTTCGAATCCGGCTAATGACTAGTGATTTTTCATCGACCCTGGGATCAGGAGACCCTGGGGCACACCCAGCCTCTATAAAGTGTGTACTCCCAATCACCTCCCTGCACAACTGTTGACCTTGAAACAGTACTTCCTCACACTGTACTGCACCCAAGACCCTTCATGGGTTGTAGTGGTATAGGTTTTACTCTCTTAAGAGTTCATTTATATGATGTATTTTTAGATATGCAATAGCCGAAAAGTCACAAATGTAATAAACATGATATAAAATTTAAAAAAATGTGTTGAAAATTAAAACAGCTTAAATAGTTTTGATATTAATTAACAATTAAAAAATAACTTTTTTTTATTTTTTTATCACAGATATTTCGTAAGTAAAAAAGTAGTGGAACTATGGCCCATGAGAAAGAAGAGTCATGTGTTTTGTTGGAAAGTGCCACCGAGGTGTACTAAATATTATATCAAGATGGTTCCCTTTGAAGTTGAAAAGGTGAAACTTTTAATTATTCTTGTATTTCAAATCGTTATTGTATTTTTACTTCTTCTATTCTGCGTTCCTTCCTTCTATGGCCAGATCAGAAACTAAAATGAAGAATCAGGTAGTCCTCCAGGCTTCCGTATAGATAGATAGATAGATAGAAAAAAAATCTTTATTCTGGAACTAAGTCCCTTTAGAATAACAATATTGTACAAAAGAATAGAATATTACTGGCCTAATAGTTTGAAACAATAAATAAAATTGATAAAATAAAATAAAAAGTAAAGAAAACCTTAGGTGCACAAGCTATATACAATACAGATAAAACTATGTACAGAGCATTTAAAACTATGAACAAAACAATTAAAACTATGAACAGAACTATATATAAGGGTTGAATAACATAAACATAGACTTTATGTATATCTTTCTTTCCACTTCAGATGGAGAGAGGCAGATCAGTCTCCTTTGAAATGAAATGAAAAATAATTTTATTCTGGGACTGAGTTCTCCTTAGGATAATAGTTGAGTTAAAAAAATATGTACATTAGTCTGGCATGTAGATATCGTACAAATATATACAAAAAATACTAAGGAATGTGTAAATATATATATATATGTATATAAACTAAGGAAAATACAAACATATACAAAAGAATATATAAATATCTACAAAAAATACTAGGGGACAATACAAATATATACAAGATACAAGAACTACTGAGAGAGAAAAAAAGAGTTAAAAAATAAAAATAAAATGGCTCCTATCAATCAACTGCTGGTGATCAACTTAATTATGCAACCCAAAAATTCTTAAAAGCTTGCGGAAGTTTGAATTTGTAGTAGGTGGTGGAATAGGAGTTGTTGGAAGGAGATTATGGGCGTGAGGTGGGTGAGATGGCTAAGGAGGTAGCACAGATGACGAAGGATTTACTGAAGAAAGTGGTTTTATGAGAGGGGATATATAAATCTATAGGTTGAGACGGTGGATAGAGGAGCGCAAAGTAAGGAGTTCTAAGATGTAGGAAGGTTTTTGGTTCTGAGGACTTGGAAAAGGAAAAGGCCAAGAAGGAATTGGAGCCGGGAAGTAGGATAAGCCACTTTGACTCGGTGTACCAACAGGAAACATGAAAACGCTTAGGAATCCCTAAGATAAATCTTATGAAGCAATTCATAAGTTTCTTCAGTCTCGCCTCCAGTCCTGTGGACAGCCCTCCATACACCAAGCAACCGTAGTCGAAGTGGGGAAACAAGGGATGTTATAAGGAGCTGTCTAGTTTTTTTGGAATGAAATCACGGATTCGAAGGAATTTTTCAAGGATAGTTATAGATTTACGGACAATCTGGGAAATGTGGTTGTTCCAAGAAAGGTTTTGATCAAAGATCACTCCGAGGTTTTTGACTGTCGGAAAGAAATGGATGGGACGGTTATTGAGGTAAAGTCAAGGAGATAATGAGGGAACTAATGAGGTGCTTGGAACTGGTGAGGATTACCGTTGTTGTGTATAGATTCTGCACTATATGTTCCGCGTTCTGTTCATTTTTTTCGCATTCGCAGAGAAAACTAGAGCCAATTTTGAAATTTCTGTACAGGTAGGCTTTGAGTACCTTCGCAAGCGAAGGATAAGACCTGCTCTCGTTGATTCAGCCATGGATAGCTTTTCTGGGGTCATGATGTGGATGACTTCCGGATGATATAAGCTTTTTTAATTGTTTTATCTCGTGTAGGCTGATGCGGGCTCGTGATCCCTTCCTTTGCCAGCTGATCTATCCTTTTGTGTCCAAGGATCCATTGCGGGACAACTTTCTTGGACAAAGGACATCAAATCTTCAAGTTCTTTGACAAGTTTTCTCAGGATTTTGCTCCACTAGGACCTTAGTAATTGTAACACTGATGTTGCATTAGTAAGGAACACAATTTTTGAGTTTTCAGGTCTCTTTAGGCTGAAGCCCCTCCCTCTAAAAATTAAATCCGGGTTCCGGTAGTGCTAGAGAGAAATTCTTTAATTCTACCCTACTACATAAGATTGCTTTGTACACAGCATACTTATCAATCATATTTGGACATTAAATAGCACTTATATTAAATTAATAATGATTTAATTTCTTAATAATGATTACTATGATTTAGTTGAACATATTCCACTACAACTGAGACTTCAATTAGATGGTTGTCCTGCAGATTACGAAAGAGTTCCATGACAATGGCTAAATGTTAATTATCCCAATCAATGGATTGGCAGTGCAGGACCAGCGGCTTGGCCTGCACGCTCTCCAGACCTGACACCACTGGATTTTTTTTTTGTTTGGGGTGACATTAAACAAAAAGTCTTTGCAAGACCGGTCAATGACCTTAATTCCTTACGAAGAAGGATAATTGAATCTTGTGAAACATTGCCGTTCTGCCACTGCAACTGTTGAAGAAAAATGAACTGTTTCAATGCTCAAGGAAATCACTTTGAACAAGATTTAATATCAATTTAATGTTTACGTTTAATTAATAAAGCAGTTGGAAAAAATAAATAAGTTTTATTTACTCAATATAATGTAAATAATTTATAACAACGAAAATCTTTAGGTGTGAATATATAAGGGTTTGCGGACATACCTTCAGAGGTAATTTTTTGTTTTGTTTTGAGGTCCATAATTCATATTTTCAGTTTGGCCACTTAACCCTGAAACTCCCTGCATATATGTTTTTTCTCTTCCTCTTTTCGGATACTACTCATATAAAATATCATTAATATACTATAGTATATCGTTATACTTTGAATCGTAAAGCTAAATCATAGCTAAGACTCAAATAGAGAAACCTAATATATGCTTACAGTATAAGTCTTTTATTCATTTTTAAAATCTATTTAATAACAGTATTAAACAATGAGGAGATGTAGAAAAAGCTTTCAATTAGTTTTTTTCCATCATAGAAATTCCCTGAGTTTAGAAACGTCACTGGATGCTGTGATGGATACAAGAAAGTTGGTGATAAATGTGAGCCCGAATGTTTGAAACAATGCGTAAACGGAAAATGCACTGGTCCAGGAGAATGCAAATGCAACCTGGGCTACTCAGGAACGAGCTGTGATGAAGGTCAGAATCATTGCCACTAATTTAGGTACTTATTTAATAGCAGGTAGCGTCAAAACCTCCCTTCTTATCTAATCTTATTTCACATAACCTCACTTATCTCATCTAACTTAAGTTATTCCCTTGTTTACTTTTTGTTTCTTGTATTTTTTTATTATTACATTTGTTTTTGTTTTTGTTCACAATTTCAATAATATCAATACAATACAATAAATATGAATACGAAGATATAATAATATGAATATAATACAATAAATATGAATACGAAGATATAATAATATGAATATAATACAATAAATATGAATACGAAGAGCTTATCAGTGTGAAGATTATAATCATTGGTAGATAGCAGTCGGACGCTATTCGCTATTAAATAAGTACCCTAATTTAAATTAATAGACTAAACAAAATACAGAGGGTGTCCCTTTAGTAGAGAGAAATATTTAAAATGTTGATAGCAGACATAAACATCTACAAAAAAGTTCATATAAACAATTGGCCAATTTCCAGCAGAAAAGTAGGAAATTTAAGATGGTGCTTTTTTAAACGAGTACTTTTTTTTTTAATAGATGCGATAACATAAAAAATATTTGATTTAAGTAACTAAATATTGTTCTATAGTAAACTTGACAAAATTTACTTTAAAACGAAAAAAAAGTTTGCCATTGTTAAAACTATTGAAAGAGAACTATTGGATGGACAAACTCAGCTAAGTTTCATTTAAAAAAAAGTTATAAATTATTTGTGATTTTTTTTTCTTTAGCACGGGATTATAGGAAGTAATAATAATAATGTTGGTTACATAGAACGGATTATCAACTATTGTTCGGAGTACTTTTGACTGAATAGATTGGATGCGTTTGATGTTAGAAAATTTGCTGTCTCCCAAAGTTTAAGTCTGCAGGTCCAAATAGGTTTCAGGATTGTCTTGTATATTAATAATTTGTTGTCAGTTGAAAATTGAGATTTTCTGAAAGAATAGGGAATAAATAAAAAATACTTGTCTCACTATATACAAACCAGACAGAAAAAGAAAACAAATAAAAAATATAAATCAATAATGAAATATAATTGTATTATACAATTAATATTTTTATATCCCGCCAAGGATGCTGAGTTTTTCTAATGAGCTAATTGCTTTATATAATTACTTAGGGCTTTCCATTTGATACCTTTCAATAAACTAAATATTTCTTCAGCAGGACAGATTTACTGTCCAAAAGATCGTTACCTGATGGCATTATAGATATGAAGCCACCAAGAGTTGGAGGAAGTGCTCTTATTCTCTGGCGTTACATGCCGGGCAGTTATCGTTGCCTTTTTATTTCCACCACTTAAGTTTAAATTTCCAACACTGTCATCACCACCTGTGCCGATAACACGTGTATCCTACCAGTTAATAACGATCCCTTTATTGCATCCCAAACTGTTCAATCACACATCACAAGTCTTGAAAAATGGTGTCAAAACCGAAGGATTAAAATAAATTCCATCAGATTACCATTACTCTTCGTCGTAAACCTATGACTTCCCTTCCTACAGTATCCTAACAATAGCCCACTTATCCCTGTTGAACAAATCGAATACCTAAGACTCCAATTGATCAAACGACTCACTTGGAATCCTCATACTAGACTGAAACGACCAGAAACCGTCCGACGTTTTCGACTACTGCAGCACTTACTAGACAAACGGTCTAAACTACCCACTGTTTACAAAAGACTCATATATATTACTATAATAATGCCTATTTGGACTTACAAAATCGAGCTTTGGGGCTCTACTAAACCATCGAATTCCTCTCGTATCCAATCTCTACAGTCCAAAATCCTTCGTAAAATCCTCAATGCACCCTACTTTGTCACAAATAAAATCATCCATAACGACCTTAATGTACCATATGTTTCCGATTTGGTTCAATCCAGATACCTATCCTTCCATAATAAACTTCTGAACCATCCGAACCCTCTTGTTTCCTCTTCTATTCCTGATAACCCTCCGAGGCGTCTGAACTTTCGAGCTGAAGCCCCTCCATAAAATGAAATCCTGGATCCGCTAGTGATTGGCAGAGAATATATGTACCACCAGTCAAACCAATGGGCCAACTAGCTGACACGAAAATTCTTACGGGATCAGAGTGGACGCTTATTTTGAAACTAAACGTGAACTACGCTCTTCTCTATGGAGTTCAAACAGAGGTGCCCACCCCCCAATGTTGATAACGCAAAAACCTGCCTCCCTCCCCCTCATCCTCCCATGATATTTTATTCCTCACCTTGTCTTAACAGAGCAAGCGAAGGTAGAATTAGAAAAATCTTAGATCATGAACAATTACACTTGCTGAAGCCTGTTCCATGTTTTCCCTTCGTCCCTTATTCCGAAAATTCATAATCCCATCGAAATTTATCTCCTCGAAAATCAGTCAAAATATGCGCACCTCAAAAATTTCTATGGCGTAACTTACACCATGAAACCCCCTTCTGGGCACTTAAAGGACCATAGGCCAGATAAATAGAGATGTAGGACCACTCTGTTGCCATATGGCACAGCTCATGTTTGGAAAAATGTCCGAATAACATATTCCTTGTCCTTGCCAGCACAAAAATATAAAGCCTTGAATAGCCGAATTCCAGGCGAAGAAAAGGTATAGATGCTTCCTCCTGGTTTATTGCTTAGATACAGAAGGCTGAGCATGATTCGTGGATATCTTGGCCTTTGTATGAATGGAGAGGTTTTGATAGTGGATTCAGCAATAACATTTTAAACAAATGCTGTGGATCAAGATACAAATATTGAAAGTGGAAATCTTTTTAAAAATCCACTCCGTACTTATAAGAAAAATATAGAGAGGAATTTGGCAATAGTGTTTTTGGTCTAGGACTTTGATTCGAAAGAAGGGAAACAATTCCTCTTTCAACTGGTAATTTTTTATTATTTATTCAGTTACAATTTACAGTGTCATATACAAGAACAAAGGTTAGAGGCACCATGTTACTATTGCATAATTTAGATCAGGTTATACTGTTTGTTGTCCTTCAAAAATTGCAGTTCTTCAAAAATTGCAGTTCTTCTGGTTTTCCTGTTGCAAAGCTTGATGGTAGCTCTGGAGTTTTAGCGAAATTCTTGAATAACACAAGCGCAGACAATTTTCCATTTTATGCTCGATGGTTAATGGTTTGTTACAGTTGCTGCATCTTGGATAAGGCTTCCCTTCAAAGAAGTCCCCATGGGTCTGCTTAGTGTATTCTGAGGCTAGAAATCATAGTTTGCCCCTGATGTTTCCCTATTATCTGAGGCAGTGGTAGTGTGTCTTCATAAATTGTCTTCAATTTGTTGGTCTTTGCGACTATGGATCAACAGTAGCGCCATGCTTCTTTGCAGTGATTCAGTATGTCTGCATTGAAGTTGTACAGCACCGTTTTAAGTTTAGGTTCTGGAAGTATGTTGCAGACTCCTTTGGCACCTGTGTTGCCATTTCATTTCCAGGTATACTAGCATGACTGGGGACCCAAAGAAATTTTATTAATTTGTTTTTATCGTGAATTCGGGAATAAATTTTAACTTAAGGATAAATAAGTTGCATACAGCTCGGATGAGAAGACCTAATAAATGGAATTGATTCTGTAGAAAAGCTGGACGTTAAAAGGAATCAGCAACAGATTATTGTGGAAACTATTATTCTAGACTCGGAAATCCTGCATAACCATTTATATTAATTCTGGTTATTGCATTGCGAATTCTTGAGAAAGATATGAAAGAGAAGAACAAGAAAATCACAACATTTGGTATTTAGAATGATAATCCCGTAAAACTTTATCCTTATTGTGTTGTTTTATTTATTATTATCGCTAAGACTGAACAGTATGCTGTGCTATTTAGCAACTCGACACACTTGATTAGCTTTACAAATGTAATGTCAATAGTCTAGAGCTTGTTACAAAATACATTATATATATAATATACAATACATACAATACAATTAGATATTCATTCTTTGTTTTAATGCAATGGTATGACTATTGATTTTAAATTGGTTCCTCACCAAGCCTTGTGTTATAAGATAATATTTATATTATATTTTGTATCTTTCTTTCATAGTACATATTTTTACTTTGTAACTTATATTTTACAGTCTGCCCTATGGGAACATGGGGTATGGGTTGCAGCAAAGAATGCGAATGCAATAACGCTACCTGTGATCCATTCTCAGGAGAGTGCATATGTCCTTCTGGCTGGATAGTAAAAGAATGTGGAGAATTAAATAAAATGGAGTGCAATACCACAGCTTATAGCAATACTACATTGTAAGCTATAATAAACTAATAATTATCATAATGATAATGCTACCTATAATTACATGAATTTTTTTTATCTATTTAAATTTAAATAATAATTATTTTTATTTGATTTTTGGCTGCACTCGGATAAAATATATATTAAAACGTTTCAAGCCATCATCCGCATCTTTAAAACATTTCAATAAAATATTTAATTGTATTATATTTTATGTTATGTTTGTATTTTTTATAAAATAGTACAACAGACAGGGTTTTTTCTGGTTTACCATTAACAGTTTCATATAACAACTTCATATCACTAGTACAGCAGACATTTAACACAATAAACAATTGATTACAACCTGTACAACTACAACCCATGAAGGGTCTTAGGTTCAGTATTTAGTGAGGAAGTACTGTTACTATGCCAACAATTGTGCAGGGAGGTGATTGGGCCCAGATAACACTCAACCACCAGGTTTTTCTCCTTAATTGAAGAAGAGAAGAAAAATAAATTTTATTCTGGGACCTTAGAATAACTACAATGTTCAATTTAATGACAATTGTCTGACATTATAATTAAATTTATTCCTAATTATTTCTAAGGTTATCTAGATCTAAAATTAAAAATTAAAATAAAGAAAAGGCATATGAAATTGCTGGTAGACATATGAAATTATAGATAAATTCTGATGTGCAAGTTCACATATTTGTACACATTAATAATGTAGATGGTACATAATTATCTGTAGGATAACATTAAATGCCACTGGCAGGTATGACAAACATGAACATTATTATAGACATATTCAGAACATTGATTACTGAGCAGATGTATAGATAAATTATGTTTAAATGAGGTCAAAGATGATTTGCGCATTGCGGTTGGTAGGGAATTCCTAATCATGGTAGCATGTATGACAAAGGATTTTTTAAAGGATACAGTTCTATGAGAAGGAATAAACAGGTTTGAGGGCTGGGATCTCGTGTTGAACGAATGGACAGAGGAACAATGAGTAAACAAATCGAGAAGGTAAGAGGGTTTTTTGTTTGGAAAGGTTCGGAAAAGGAATACACCGAGGAAGTATTGCCGTCGGAAGACTGGATAGAGCTACTTCAACTCAGCACACCAACTGGAGATGTGAGGGCGCCTTGGGACTCCAAAAATAAATTTAATGAAACCATTGATTAGTCTCTTTAATTAATTATTTAACCAAGAGCACCCACTTTATAGAGGCTGGGTGTGTCCCAGGAGGATCTTCTGCCCCAGGATTCATCCACAGCTGATGAAAAATTACTAAAATTAATCATCAGCTGGATTCGAATCTGGAAGCTTGAACTCTGAAGGTCAATGCTCACCTACTGAGCTACCCTACTCAAAATCAATCAACTGAAACATCAGTTATATTGACAAATCTTGTTTTGTAATGATTTTTTTTTTTTAAGAAAATTGAAATTGGTTAAACAAGAGTTAAAATATTTTTTATTTATTTATTTCACATTAAATTTTCCATCGTTTAACGCATCAAGTAAATGTGTTGCTGTTTATACTGTCTTCTTTTATTCTTGACCCTTTTTATGTTATCAGCAGGAAATCTTTAGGCCACTGCCTTTTTAGTCGTCGTTGAGGCTCACCAAGTAACAGGGAGGAAGAAAGAGACAGGACAAGGGGCTTTGGATGATTGAGAGTAGAAGAATGAAGTGTTGTGTATGTAGGATTTTATTTTTGGTAAGTTCATGTCTTTGTCTCTGATTTTATTTGAAATAAATCAAGGAGCATTGACGATTTTACGAAGTATTTTGGATTGTGTGGTTTGAATTTTGTTTATGTGGAATCCCAAAGTTTTGCTCCGTATGTTCAAATAGGTTTTAGTGGTGTAGACAAGTCGCTTGTTTTGTAAGTTGAGTGGAGATCTGTAGGTTTTTTTTTTTCTTGTTCTTCCCTACCTTGCCTTTTAGGCTATACAGGATTTTCCCGGGCCAGAGGGTGAGGGCGGGAAATTTTAAATCCCCTCCAGCACCAGGATGCGAACTCGTACTTTTCTTTTAAATTTAAACTTCGGTTATCTTGTCAGTTTTTATTTTTTTAATTTTTGTGTGTATGTTTCAGGTGAGTTTTTTGTCCAAGTATAGTCAGAGATACTGTACATGAATTTTTGAGGGAACTGGCTCGTTTCCTATTGTCACAGCAGGACAAGAAATCTTCCTCAGGAAGAAGCTTACATGACTTGCTGCCATTTATTTTGATTTTCCATTTGTGGAACCATTTTTCAATGTCGTAGAGTTGATTTTGAAGGGCTACTGAAGCGATAGTAGGATTTTAGTGAGAAGAAAGAATTGCCATATCGTCAGCGAAGCTATTGAGAATGGTGCTAGGGTACTCAGGGATATCAGATTTGTAGAGAGAAAAGAGAAGAGGGCTTAAAACACTATATTGTGGGTCGCCCGCAAGTTCAAGAAAGAAGAGAGAAGTTGAGGAATCAATAGAAATACAGAAGAACTTGTCGAGAAAATTAGATTGAAGTATCAGAAAGTAAGTTGAAGGAATATACTGTTTTATTTTCATAATAAACCTTTATGCCAGACGCTTTCAAATGCTTTCTTGATATCTAGGAATGTCGAGTTGCAATAATATTGAGAAGTTAAATTAATTAATTTTCATAAATACTATCAAAACTAACAAAGATGCAATAGAGCTGGGTGCAGATAACTGGAAAGAAATAGACCAAGACAGGCAGAGGTGGAGCAGAGGCTTGTTAAAGCGTACAAGGTACGTAATGCAAAAAGAAAAAAAAAAGCATATCGAGAAGAAATGGTGGTGTTTCCCGAGGATACAATAGGATTTTAGGATAATAGAGGAGGATTTAATAACCGTCGATATAATAAATATTCTTTGTGTTATTTTAATGGTATTAATGAGTTCTTAGCTGTAAGGCTTAAGCTTTAGTTCCGTTAAAAGTGACTTGCCCTTCAAAAATTTTATAAAGCCCAACATTAACAAAAAATAATTTCTATTCAAAGTAGAGCGGTAACTGAAAGTTGTGTGAAGCACGTACCAGATTTTTTCAAATGTTTCTTCTATATATATTTATCATTTCACGATATAGTATCTAAATATTCTATTTTTACGAACCTACCACTACAAGGTAAGAAAACTGATCTATATCAGAAATGAATGAGCCGACTCCTCTGACACCTTTGAACACACCTTTATCCACCATACCCTATTTGCAATAAACAAAAAATTATTTTTCTATAGACTGAAGAGACAAAACAGTCTAACGATTTTGATGAAACTTGTCTATATCTTTCGCCTTAAAGCCCTTTTATTTTCCATTCATTCATTCATTGCTGGTTTCTACAATCCTTGAAGAACCATGGCCTCTGCTAACTTCTTCTTCCTCATATCTCTGTCAGCAATGAAGCGCCTCCACTGCTTTACATCCATCTTCTTTAGGTTACCTTTCACTTTGTCCAACCATTTGAGCCGTGGCTTTCCACGCCTTTGTCCATCTCCCAGCTTTCCATAGAGAAGTTTTCTAGTCAATCTTGTAGGGTCCATCCTTTTCACATGTCCCAATCCTTCCCACATGGTGAAAAAATCGCCATCAAAATTTTTGAGAGGAGCACATTTTGATGGGGTTTTGAATTTTTGAAGGGTTACATATCAAGGGCATTATGAATTTTCGAAATGAAAAGTTTCAAACCAGGGGACAAGATAAAAGTATAAAACAGACCGCTGCAAGTATAATTTATTTGACCTATGATTTCTAAAATTACACTTTAGAAGGCACTGTTATTAAAAATAGGACGGCTGTAAAATATTTTGGGAGAATGGGAGGGGGAAGTTTATGAGCCATCGGTTTTGGGAGGGGGAGGAGGTACCCCTGCGTATTCATGTTTTAAAGGATTCAACCATGATAAGTAGATCATATGCATAATATTAATCCCTGGTGCCCCACCTGTTGAGTCCCAGAAACGCTAGAACATGTTGTGGTATCCTGTGCTGATACGGAAGAACACCGTGCCAGGTTGTCAAGAAAAAACTGGTATTTTGGCCATCACTGAAAAGGACTTTCCCCAACTGATAAAAGAGATCGAACTAACCCTTCTTCCAGGAGTTTGTCTACGGGTGGAAGGAAGTGGTGGGCGCTTCACACTTCACTCTTGGTAGAACCCTGCCACCCGATGCTGTGTGAGAATGAAGAAGTACGAGCAGATGACAGGTACTGACCAGATGGATGCAGTGGACCTGGAGGGCTGGATGGCAATCCGGCAGAAGACCGTGCACCAGGCCGCACCACAGTTGAACCTAAAATACACTGTTTCCATTATTAAACCATCCTTCATTGATGGATAATAAAACATGTTGATTGAGAATAAAGTATTTTATTGGCATTAGTGGGCCTACTTATACCCAACATATTAACCCCTATTACCGAAACCCCATATGCCAGAAATGGCGAGCAGGGGGAATAAAAAAATATGCATGTTTTTATTATTTTTATCAAATTAATTTTATCTTTTTTTTTTAGAGATATGAAGACATCTAATCATACTCCTCAAGAACTTCTCAGGGGAGGTTTAAGAAAACATAAACATTCCAGGTAAATTGGAGATAAATTTGTTAAATAATTCATTAGATTTGTCATATTTAACTATGACTTAAAAGTTTTCAATTAGAAATTTTTTCAGGAAGAATTATCGTAACAAACCTCTTAAAATACCACAATTTTATTAAATGAACAACAAACAAAAAGATTTTCTGTATGTTTGAATATAGTAAAATTTTGTCACTAACAATAATAACAATAAATAGACCTTGTATTATTGACAAATTAAAAATCTTATTGAAAGATATATATATACATTGAAGCTTCTCAGTGACTAACACCAATACAGATTTATAGAGAAATGTTCATTTCAGAGAAACTGCTCTAAATAATGATAAAAAAAAGAGAAGATTATCAGATTAAAATTGTATTTTATAAGTGATATTAATGTAATAGCTTATTCCTTTTAAAAACATTTATATTTTTAGATTTACAATTTAAATATGTTTTTACAAAAAAATAATTAATTTTTTTATAATCAAAGTGTAAATATGAAAAGTATAAAAGAAATAGCTGAAGATAAGTAGAGATGGAGAAGGCTCACGGGGACAAAAGAAATACAAGGTCTATAAAGCCAACAGAAAAAATAAAAAATGTAATCTATATAAAAAAAATAAAATTTCAAATTAGTTAGATTAGTAATTTGTAATTTTTGTTTGAACTATTTGACGAATAACTAATTAGTTTACCAAAGTGGCTTGAATATGTAAAATTAATAAAACTCCTTCACTACTATCCTTCATCTGTAACACTGCCTTCAAAATGAAAATATTTTTCAATACTCGTTTGAGATTTGAATATATTCTTCCGTCATCATTGGAATTGGCTGCATGACATGGACACCAGAAAGAATTATTGTGTGGATCCATAAGTTTGTTCGGTTTTGGTTAGTAGTGCGGATTGTGTGGATCCATAAGTTTTTTCGGTTTTGGTTAGTAGTGTGGATCCATAAGTTTGTTCGGTTTTGGTTAGTAGTGCGGATTGTGTGGATCCATAAGTTTGTTCGGTTTTGGTTAGTAGTGCGGATTGTGTGGATCCATAAGTTTGTTCGGTTTTGGTTAGTGGTGCAGATTGTTTTTAAATATCTCCAGTTCTCTTTGACTTATCTGACAATAATGATGCTTATCGGAAAGATCAAAGTCTGCTCTTCGAGACTGTTGTGTTTGGTTTCATTGTCATTAGTTTTGTTTGTGTTAGAGCTTAGTGAATATATCGAATGATTAAGTGCATTTTTGGTATAGTTTTATTTTTTATTTCCAAAAAGGCAAGTGAAAAATATGTAACCTAGGCCGACCGAGATTGATTCGAGTGATATCAAGGCTCTGATTGAACAAGGTCGGTCGCTACAGGTACAATAAATTGCTTAGACACTGAAAATAGGTTTTAGAACTGTTCAAAGGTATATAAAACAACTTGGTTACATGTCCCACCTCCATGTTTGGGTGCCACACAAACTGACTGAAGCAAGCCTGACCAACCTAATATCAATCTGCAACTCTCTTCTGAACTGGGCAAGAAAGGGGCTAATTTCTTAAACAAATAGTGAGCAGGAGATTACTGAAAACTGCTGACGAGCTGGCTAATTCCACCCCGAAGGCTGGCCTACATCTGAAAAAGATTTTGCTCTCCATTTGGTGAGATTATCACCAAGAAGGTGATAATCTCTTTTTTTGGTGAGATTACAAAAAAAAAAAATGAATGAACAAAAAAAAATATGTATTTTCAATTCTTGTATATATTGAGACCTGATGCATTTGGGCAGTATCCTTTTATCATAAATAATAAAGTGTACCTCCCTTTTAACGAAATAATTAAGGAAAAAAAATAAATTAAATAAAAACTGTACCAGTAAGGTCCTAGGGCTACTGTTAAACTACTTTGTTAGGGACTACTGATTCTTAGTCAATGGTTATGCAAGGAGGTGATTTGAACAAGATTACACTCAATCATCAAGTTTTCCCGCTTAATCAATTATTTAATTAATTAAGGATACCCAGTTTAGAAAGGCTTAGTGTGCTCCAGGAGGGTCTACCTACCGCAAGGTCGATCCATGGCCGACGAAACAAAATAAATAATTTATTTGCTATCAACCAGACTCAAAAATTAAATCTTCAATTAAGTATTAAAGGGGTTAATATATATTTCTTTCTAAAACAATGAATGAGATTATTAATTTTTTTCATACCAATCTTAAGCAGGTTTAATAATTAAATTTCTTATTTTGCTATCTCCTGAATTTTTGTTTCAGGATTATTAAAGCCACAACACTGACAGAAGAGGAAAGATTAATCTTCCAGTATGTCGAGGAAAGAAATCACAGATTATTAGCTGACAAATGTGCTGAAGGTATTATTAACATGAATATAGCAGACATCGACAATAATTATCAAACACCTCTCCATCTTGCGGCAAGTCAAGGATGTATAATTACTTTGCTAACAGTGATAGCATGTGGTGTAAAAATTAATGCAGTGGATAGTAACGGTAACACGCCTCTACACATTGCTATTATCTATAAGCAATCTCATATCTGTAGCTCCTTGTTGTTCAAGGCAGCCAATCCTTTCATCTATAATAATAATAAAAAAACTGCTTATCAGTTGGCAATGGATTCTACAGATCATTGGATTAAATACATTTTTCATAATAAACATTTGCATTGGTATCAAAGAATTAGGAAGTTAAACTCAGATGAGATAAAACTGATGCAAAATGTACGCGAAGATAACTATCAAACTGTTGGTGATCTATGCATGAAACATGTTGATGTATCAGTTGAAAATGTGGAAGATGGGCAAAATACAGCATTTCATCTTACAGCTAAGTACGGAAAAAATATTGCCCCAATGGTCCTTACACTTATACACTGTGGTGGTGATATTAATGCAAGAAATGCTTTTGGCAACACTCCACTTCACATTGCTGTGATGTCAGGTGACTCTAACAAAACCAGTGTTCTCCTCCTACATAGAGCTAATCCATTTATTGATAACTATGAAGGTTTGACAGCTCACGATTTCGCAAAAGAGTCCGTTGAACCAAGTCTGCGGACTTTGTTCGAGGAACCATTGCTTAGTTGGTATCACAATAGCCATTCTGTCCTCTGAATGAATGAATTTTTTAAAAGAATATCTTTTGTTATTTTTATATTACTTATTTATTATTTGGAAGATGTAGCAATGAAATTATTTCTGAATTCTTATGGAAAATTAAGAAATAAATTTTACCATTTAATTGATTTATTTTAGCATATGTGCCCTTTAATAGCTTACACTAGTTTAAATAAAATTTAACTCTTCATATATATATATATACTGCTCAAAAATGAATAGGAATATTGTTAGTTATATAAGATTTATTTTCTCTAAAATTTTTATTTTATTTTTATCATTAAATACATTAAAAATTAATATTAACAAGATTGTATTTGGTGTGGGCGGAGTGGCCGAATGGGCTAACGCGTGTGCACAGCACCGCCGTTGCCCGGCAACCTGATTTATGACAAATGATATAAAAATAGTAACGAGTTTGCGTCCCGGTGCCAAGGAATTCTTTTAAATCCCCGCCCACACCCCGCGAGGAAGGGGAGGACACAATAAAAAACAAAAAAAAAGATTGTATTTGACCTCGAGAAAATTTAGAAAAGATGTATTACAAGAATAATAATTTGATTATTCTTTAAATACACCTCTTTTATTTGTAATCTTTCTTGTATTTGTGATATTTTTTTTATTTTTACCATAAATATGGTAATACTGCACTCAGTTGCTGAAGGATAAGAAGCTGCAAATGGTGGTCAAAAAGCCTTCTCTGCAGTACACACCACATGTGGAGACAATATGGGAAGTGGCAGATGTGAAATTTCCAGATTTTCAAGGCATCGATGGGCAATTTTTTCCCTATGTGGCCGCATATGTCAAGAAAATGTAAATCTGTGCCAATTATGGCTCTGTTTTTTGTTGGTATGGGCCTGGGCAAAACATTCAACACTTCATTTAGACTCTATTGGGCACTATGAAAAGTGTTGCTTCTTGCATTAATACCAATATTTCTGCCATCCCTTGGTGCTTTAACGTGCTGAGATCCACTTACACTTGGTACTTATAGTTTTTCTGAATCTGGTTAAAGCTCGGGGGACTACAATCTGGAGGACACCAACTTCATCGGTGATATGCACTTGCCGGTGCCCTTGACCACTCATATTCTCACGAGAAATTCTGGTTCAATGTGATGTCTTTCCTTCGTTAAATAGAATATTGCTAGATTAAAACTGAGACAAATCGAAAACCTTTGCAACCATTGTTGGTTTACAAATTGAATGTTCTTCATGTTTACTATCTTTTGGTTAATAATTTATTAAAAATAAAGAATGCTTATTGTTTACTTTTTATTTTTACGAGAATCTGTAACATACAAAAAGAAATAGGGTTTTTTAATTAAAACAAATAAAATAAGCATCAAATAGAAATATCCCTATTTATTTTTGAGCAGTTTTTGTCCCACTTGAAAAACAGTATTTAAAAAACCCATAGGATGTCTTAGTCGACTGATATAGAACTGTTTGACAGAGGAGAAAATAAAGAAATGTAACCTAGACCAGTTTTGCCAATTTAGGCGTCATCTGGGAAAAATATAAATTATCATATTTAATTTATATAGTTCTAAATACACAATTTGTAGTGTGAAGTGTTAGTATTTTGGAATCCTTGCAGGTATAACTGGACTCAATTTTTATTTATTTAGCTGCTCAAAAGTCCACTTTAAATGGTTTTAACAAGGACAAACTCTATTTTCATTTAAAGTAAATTTTGTCTGGTTTGTTGCGACAAAATCGCTAATTACTTTAATCAAGTATTTCTTTAGATGGCGTAGGGATGTGGCGACCCATCGCCCAGTCATCTGACTGCAATCAGCCACTGGTCCTCCAGGTTGGGGGAACCCAGTGCTGGGAGATATAGCCCGGCCCCACCTTTCCTCCTTAGAGGATATAAAGGAGGCTTGTTGTCTCGAGGATACGGGGCCTCTCCTACTGCGCCAATCACCCCTAGTAGAGCTCAACTGATTCAGAGTATATCAAATAGCCTCAGATTCGGACAGTCTCAACTGTTACAACGCGGCTCTTGAAAGAATATTAGAACATGGAATATAAAGACTTTGACTGGCAAAGAGGTTGAACTGATGAAGGAGGTGGAGACATTCAGAGTAGACCTCCTAGGAATTTGCAAAGTGAGGAAAAAGGGGCACAGTGAAGTACACCTAAACAAGGACGATGTGCTTATCTACTCAGGAGTACCAGCTGGGTTCAGAGCCAAGGAAGGTGTTGCCATCATCATGAAAGAAAGCTTATTCACTAAAATAGAAGAAGATTGGTAGCCCATATCTTCATGGGGGCGGGGTGGCCGAATGGGCTAAAACGTGTGCACAGCACCATGAGTTTTTTTTTTTCTTGTTCTTCCCTACCTCGCCATTTTAGGCTATACGGGATTTCCCCGGGCCGGAGGTTGAGTGCGGGGAATTTAAAATCCCCTTCGGCACCGGGATGCGAACTTGTACTCATTTTTGTCTCTCAAAACTTCATATATCTGGTTTACAGCACCACGAGTTGTCCGGCAAGCAGATATATGAAGTTTTGAGAGACAAAAATAAGTACGAGTTCGCGTCCCGGTGCCGGAGGGGATTTTAAATTCCCCGTCCTCACTCTCCAGTCCGGAGAAATCCCGTGTAGCCTAAAATGGTAGGGAAGAACAAAAAAAAAAAGAAAAAGAAAAAAAAAAGCCCATATGTTCAAGCATTATAACAGTGTACTTGGATAAGTCAATAGGAAAGATTGCAAGTTTATGCCCCAACAGAGGATACAAATGTTATCGACAAAGAACATTTCTATGCTATGGTCTAGTGAGAGAGGTCATCAGATGTCAGAACTGTAACAGGGATTATCCTAATGGGTGATTTCAACGCAAGGACCGGAAGAGACCATTCAAATGCCCATGATGTTATTGGCCTGACATGGAGCAGAACCCACCAAAAATGGAAATGGTCAAAGGCTTATAGACTTCTGTAACGACCTCCTCATTGGAAACTCTTTCTTCCCACATAAGATGGTGCACAAAATAATTTTTTCAGCTGAAGAAAGAAGCATTAATAGTGTTATAGATTACATTGTATATAGTAGAAATATAAGGAAATACTTTACAGATGTAAAAGTAATAAGAGGTGCTGACATTGGTTTCGGACCATCTTCTGTTGATAGGAGACACCCAGATCCTACGACCTACAAAGAAAAGGGCCAAAACCTACAAGAAGATTGACATTGCAAAGCTACAGAATCCAGATAAGAAAAGTGAGTATGCAGAACTTCTGGATCAGAAACTCAGGTATGTCAATGCTAAAGGAAATGTAAACAGTACATGGGCTGCGTTGAAGAATGCATTACTTGAGACTTCTGAAAGTGTATGTGGAACGAAGGTAGTCTACACCAAAGGTAAAAGGTCTGGAGTGATCTAGTAAAAGCTACGGTAGTTAGGAACTTGCCTGTCAAAACCATCAAACCCTTTCTTGGAAAGAACATGTATTCAATATTTCCCACCATGTCTTCCATTTTAAAACCTCTAAACTACCTTCACCACCGTAAACTCCTGATCATTTCCTTGATATTTCCCCACTTTGACTATTGCTACACGGTATATGGGGATCTCCGGGGAGGGGGGGAGAGGAGGCGTCTCTAGGCATCTCGAGGCAAAACTAAAATGTTTGATAAATTGCTTTGTAGGATTCATCTTCGGAATCCCAAGAGGTGCTCCGCTCTGTACCCTGTTTTTATGAAGAGCTGAAGTGGCTTTATCCTTCCTACCGTCATAAATATTTCCTTGCTTCTTCCTTCCTCTTCCAAGTCATCCAATCCCATCGTCTTTCATACATCTCCAAACTCCTTCAATTCAAATCCTCTGTTTATTTCTGTAAAACCTGTCCCCGGTCTTCAGATTTGTATGACAAACTGCTGCCTTCGATAGATCTTCATTATCCAATACTCATCCCTTTGGAATTTTTTTTTAAATTGAGAAGTTAGAAGACAACTTATACTTTTTTATTTATTATTTCTATTTGTTTTTATTATTGGTGATAATTCTCTGAGGCCCCGAAACCCACATTTCTGTCTCTGTACATTATTCTAAAGGGACTTGTCCCAAAATAAATAAAATATTATTATTATATTCAACTGTAATTTCATTTGTTAACTGTAGTTTTGTTATCTCTAAGCAATAGTCGATCTAATTGTAATATAGGGTGAAAATGATTCAGGTGGTTGAAGAACCCAAAACATATATAAATAAAATGTATCACTTAACATTTAATATACAGTGTGTCCTGAAAGTAGAGGGAAATTTTTAAGAGAATGACAGTAGACATCAAGAGCTACAAAGTTCATGTAAACATGAGGTTTATTAGGAAAAAACTTAAGATTCCCCTCAAGTTATGTAAAAATATAATTTGATTTTATAACATTTCACTTAAAAGTACCCATATTTTAATCAAAAATCAATACAATAAATTATTGTCAAGCTTTAATTTATTTATTTTTTATGACCTGGGATGTATAATAATAAATATAAATGAGAAGGAGTTGCGGTCAAATTAATACTAAATTAAATAAGTAGAATTATTTAATTTTTGCCAGACGTTTCGACCCACTTTTTAGGTCTTCATCAAGGCTACAAAAGATACAAAACATGGTGACATTCATTTATTTTCACCATGTTTTGTATCTTTTGTAGCCCTGATGAAGACCTAAAAAGTGGGTCGAAACGTCAGCAAAAATTAAATAATTCTACTTATTTAATTTAGTATTAATTTAAACCCTCCGAGGCGTCTGAAAAGAACATGGCCTCGGGACCTTCTAATATAGAACTTTAATTTGAGTTCTACCAATGGGTAGTTTCTCTTCATGTTGTACATGTCATGTTACCAATGTCACATTTACTTTATGTATTTTCTATGTAATACAGTTGTAAATTTCATTAAAATAAATTTTAAAAAAAAGTATTAATTTGACCGCACTCCCCGATCAACTCCTCATATTATATCAACGGTCAACCATCTCTACTTCAATAAATATAAATGCATAAGCACACTTTTTATTTCTAAAAAAAAATGTTAAAAATAAGTTTTTCGATTATTCCTCCAATGTGATAATGTAACTGTGAATGAGGGAAGGAAAATTTCTGCGGGGTTATGAATTTTTGGAATGAAAAGTTTTGATCAAGATGATGAGAGAAAAAGTATGGATCAGCATACAGCAAGTTTAATTCTGTATGATCTACGATTTTCCCATTTCCTTGAAGGGGATGGGTACCCCTGACTATCCTCAAAAAGTTTCATTGGAAAATTAAGGAATGTATTTTCGACACCACAGGCAGATCTAAGGGGAGAAGGCCTTTCAGGCTGAAGCCCTCTCCAAAATGATAAATTATATCATTGTCTTAGAAAAAAATATATCTAAAAAGTATTATAGTTCGTTAATTACATTTTATTGGAATTTAATAACCGCTTAAATACCGTTTCTTACAAATATTTAGTTTCTTTATTGTTTTTCCAAAGTAATTATAGTTATATAAATAGGCAAACACAATTCGGTTCAACCGATTTTCTTCCTTCTTTTTTTGTTTAATAGATATTGACGAGCTTTAGTGTTATCAATAAATAAAATTATTAAATAGTATGTGAATAAAAATATAAATGGTAGTTTGTTCAAAACGGCTTATATCCGAAAGTTCTTCACCGATTTTTTTTAAATTTTGACACAACGTCGCAATAATATTTAGAAGTTTTTTTGTATATGTTTCATTATCATCGGGCCATTCCTTTCGAAATGGCGGCCGAAAAACGCGATTCCCTTTAGAACGTAGCGCCAATACAGCTTCAATGATTTCAATGAAACTAGGCTAAACTCTTCCCCTTGAAACCTTTATAATTTATGTATATAACATACTTTCAAGAAAACAAGCTGCATACATTTTTATAATGAATTCAGTATTTTATTTGCGAATAAAGTACACATTTTTTTACTGATAATACCAATACTTTTTTTAAAGCTTTCTTGATTTCCTACAAAATGATTAAAAAATCATCGAAATCGGATTATTTGTTGTAGAGATATATCATTTTAAACATTTAGTACGTTTTCTTTCCCTTCCACCCTTCCAAATTCGATTTCTTTTATTTTGTTTTTTGATAAACCGAAAACTTTTTATGTTCTGAGATAATTGGGTCTATTATATGAAGAGATGATATTATGTAATGTTAGCTGAATGATACATAATAAATTAAATTAAAAAATATATTGTATAGTTATACTCATTGTTAACTTAAATACTGCACAAGCATTAGTTAATGAAACAGGAATGAGACTGAAGTATTAACGGAGGCTACTTTAAATTAAAGAATTTTAATTCCAAGAATTAATTTAAAATTTTCTGACACTATACTTGCATTCGACTTTCAAAGAACAACGTTCCTATTAATTGCTGCATTTGCTATGACCATAATCAAATCGCAGGATAAAAGTTTTGGAAAAATGTGTATATTATTGTGACGTCCAGTAATTTCGCATGGACAATTATATGTGGCAGGAATCAGAGCACGTTAATTTAAAATATTGAAATTTATACGCGAACACTAGTAGTTATAAATGTATATAGAAAATAAATAAAAGCTTTCGGGCTTAAATCCCCTCCCCCTCCCAATTAATTTCTCAATCCACTAGTGTTCAACACTACGGCAATCTATCAACCTCGTAGTGATTAATTTTAATTTCCCATATTAAATAAAATAATTTTATTAGATGTGACAATGATTTAAATCCTAGTAGGGAAAGGACTCTTAAGTAAGAATATTAGTAGGAAATGTTTCCCTATTTTTCCCTTCTCAACTCAGGAATTTTTCTAAAAATGAATATTTTTCGCCAAAGTGAAAAGGGTATACAATATATCCAGATAGAACGCAATTTTACGAATTTAACTTGCCCCGTTTCGGATTGAAAGACTTATCACATAATTCCTGGTTTACGATTTTATACTTTTTTTTTAATTTACATTTATAGAAGAAGGAACAGGAAGATGTTTATTAATTGTATTATATATTTACAATAGGTGCTGTCAGCATCGAACCTTCTAATTCGTTAAGCCTTATATATATTTAAAATTGTAAACTAAACATATTATTTATTCTAATAAAGAAATTTGGGAACGAACAGGGAATTCGGGATATTTCGCTACTGAGGGAAATTCACGAAGTTGAGATAATAGATCGAGGTTACACTGCTGGTTACCGGACACTTGTTTGAGTTTCCAGAGGACACGAAAGTATTATTTTTGTATATTATAATTTTTATAACTGAGGCATTACTACTAATATAATATTAGTAGATAATAATTATATTATGCTAATATAATATATATATATATAGTTATATAACTTAATTTATAGTTGATAACTTTATGTGTTATTTAAATAACATCTAAGAATATTTTACTACTTGTACAAGTAAATATGTATTATTCCCATCTTACGAATTCAATATAGTTTCTTTAATCATTTAATTTAGAAAGTAAAACATATTATTTCATACTTTGAGCTCAAAATTCTTATTGAATTTAAAAGTTGCCCCATTACTAATAATTAGTTATACGTTTATACTGTTAGTAATACGTTCTTATAATCAATATTATTTCGATCATTTTTGTGATGATAATTCATGAATAAATACAGAAAAACAACTAGTTCATTGACGAAACAATATTTAATTAACGTTTTCGAAGTTTTAAGAGACAAGTCGGTTTTTATTTCATCATACTTCAAAATCAGCTGATCAGCTATCATTGCTTGTTAACGCCCCCAAATATATCGATATGTTCAGTGACATATATCGTTGTCGTCAAAATAGTTGTTTTTTTTCGGTTAAAAATAATTTCTCAATAATTTCTTACCATATTGACATGTTGTATTAATATAAATACATATAAAGAATGACCAAGAGTATTTTTTCTATAACTAATTGTGATTTAATCTATCCCATTTCAGTTGAAATCTAATTTGTTTTTCTTATCTATTGATCCAGATAAGTCAAGAGCTTTTTAAAAAACTATCATTTATTCCAAATACTTTAATTTACCTTAACTACAAATCTCAACATTTTAATATCTTTCTTAAATTTTATTTTCCTATTGACTCCTTGTCTGGAGGGGGGAGGGGATAGATGACAGTTTACTTGTTCAAAGAAATAATATATGTTTTTACATCTCTGAATATCTTAAAGTAAATATGCCCATATTAGTCATTTAAATTTATTGCATAAATAAATACAACTCAAATAACACAATCGAAAAAAGTCTATTTCTTCTAAATAGAACAATATAACCATCTTATTATACAGGTCTAAAGTTCTTACATATTATAATTTAAGTCAATACATTAATAATAATTTCCATAAAACAACCAATTTATTATTTATCTATTGTTTATTTCCAATTAATTGCTCAATAAAGTCCTTACACATGAAAATTATATTGACACTGCTTCAATAATATTGGAACAGCTTCAATAAAAATCATAAAAAATATTTATATCAATCATTTTGATTGATGTCAATATAATTGATATCAATGTAGCCCTTGCACTGCCAATATTGACAAAATTCAATATTCACTCAATAATATTGACCATGTAAGGAGACTCAAAGATTCATGTAGTTGGAATAAACAATAGTGGCAATCCAAATATAGGATGTTATATTTTTAAATATTAATATATGTATCTGAAATTGCCCCCACTTGGTACCTTGAAGATGATTGATAACAGACAATTAAACAATGTTATCTAAAAAAAATAGCAATGGTATTAACTCAACAGTCTCAGTTGGATGAAATCATTTCGCAGAAGGAAAAACAAATCATTATTGTGATTAATCACTGTTATTTAATATTTTTATTCATTACTGTCATAAATTTTGAGTAAGTTGGTACCAAATACTTAATTTTAAACATGGTTATTGATTTCTTTCTTAAATTTTCTGAACTTTTCTCTTTTTCAGGTAATAATTAGAGTTATGAAAATTCTTAATATTGAATGGTTGAATAATTCAAATCAATGATAATACAATATTTTTTCTTTTGTTAAAAATCATAATTCCTGTTGATTGTCTAGAAATTTGTTTTGTTTTTTTAAATTTTCTTATTTAAATATATTATTATAAACATATCTATGATAACAATGAAGTCCTATTTTTAATAGAAAAAAATTAATGAATAAAAAAAGTAGTCAGATTCTTCTTCTAGTTTTTATCTAATCATTAATATTTTTTACTAATTTATTAAATTAATAACATTTTAATGTTTTAATTGCATTAGGTTGAGAATCTATGCTTAACCGAGTTGAAAATATTTGAAAAAATGGATACAGGAACTTTCGATGATTTTTGTGGTTCATCTTTATGGGTAAGTGTTTATCCCAAATAATGTTGTTGTTTTTTTGTAAAAATTATAGAAATATTTTATTGAATTTTATAATCATCTTATTATTTAAAAAAAATGTTCATAAACAAATATTTGATAAATATTACAGTTAGTAATATTCAATAATTTCATCAAGGAATTACTTCACTTATGATTTTAAGGATAATTTTATAGTAATTTTTATTCAAAAAGAGGATACCTGACTTTGTTAAATAAGTTTGAAAGTCAGTATTAGAGTTGATGTCTCTATTGATTTTCGTGCAATTCTGAAATTTCCAAAATCATTATTGTTGGCAAAAAGTTTACTTTTTGTACATAATAGATTAATTAATAATGTAATTAATAAATGATAAAAATAGGTATTTATAGTTATAATAGATATTTATAGGTATACGTATGATGTATCAAAGGTATGATATGATGGTTTATTCATGATAATAAATAATTTTTTTTGTTATATTCCTAAAAGTGTTTATTAAAAAACAGTTTCGGAGCCATAAAAGAAATGTATAGGTTTTTAATATTTGTGTGCCAAAGAGAGTAACTGACTTTGTTAAATTAGAAGTCAGTATTAAAAAAAGTCAAAATTATGAAGAAAAAAAAATTAAGTCAGTTGAAGTTTCTATTGTTCTTTTATTTGATATTATCATTCCTATACCATAGATTGTTTATTTGTTGTTAAATTTCTTATATTGTTAAAATTTATATTTGTACCTCCACTAATATGGTTATTATAATTAGTTTATTTTTGCATAGTTAGTAGCCAATCATATTTTCTTTTATCCTCCATTAACAGTAACTTGTAAACTAACGTTTGTATTGATTGTCTTTGTAATTTATTATGTCATAATATTTTAGAAGCAGAAAGAATAATTAAAATATTTACTGAATACTTGATGGTTGACCGTAGCATATTATTGAGTAAAGAGATAGTCTGGGTGGCAGTAATAAAAAGACTGAAAAAACTATTTTTATTTCAAGCCAATGTTTCGACCCAACTTTGCAGGTCTTTTTATGGCTAAAATGAACAAGATACAAAAGGATTTTTTAAAAAATATGAAATTTACATGATATTTAGATGAAAATTATAAATAGTCTGAATAAATAAAAAATTATAAATGTGAATAAACTTATTAAAATTGTAAAAAAAAAAGTGTGAATAGAAAGTACATATTAATATTAAGAACTGTTCTGTACTTTCTATTCACAATTTTTATAAGTTTATTCACACTTAAATTTTCTAGTTATTCACACTGTTTATAATATTTATCTAAATATCATGTAACTTTCACATTTTTATATCCTTTTGTATCTTGTTCGTTTTAGCCCTGAAGAAAACCTACAAAGTTGGGTCGAAACATTGGCTTGAAATAAAAATAGTTTTTGGACATTTCAGTCTGTTTATGACCGCGACCCCAGCCCATCTCCATACTCAATTAAGTTATTTATATATATATATATGTATCATGTCCTATTATGACTATTTTGATAACCTGGATTTTTTCCGAAAATGATTTGAAAAACCCAGAAAAAAGTTTCAATAGATACCCTGATGATATTATTGGCAGCCATGGCGATTTAGCAGGAAATTACATCGTTCAGATTTCTAACCATTATTTATAAAAAAATATATTACAGATTGGAGTGGAACAAGGGCTTAAGTTTTTTTTCTATATTATCTCTATTTAATTAAAAAATGTAATAATTGTTTATAATTGTCAAATTACCAAGGCTTATAAATAACTTTGTTTTTCTAGAAATTGATTATATTTTTCATGATTTTGATTATATTATTTAAAAAACAACTTTGTTTCTTAGGACGATAACTTAACATGGCATTCCGACACACCAAAGTTTACTCCTTGTTGGGGAAAGACTGTTCCTATTTGGATTCCAAGTGGATTTTTATTTCTCTTTTCAATTTTTGATGTGTACATTATGTACACAAGTAAGAAAAGAGATATTCCTTGGAATTGGAGAAACGAGGCTAAACTGGTATGTTTAAATCTTTTCTTATTTTAATAAATATTTTTGTATATATCATAATTGTATTGCAAAAAGTTATTAAATACATTTTTGATGGAGCTTAAATTTTAAGAACATTTTTTGAATTTTGTTCTTATTAATTAATAAAAAAAAACACATTAATTTCACTAAAACGATACAAACCATTTTATATATCAAACAAATACTTATGAATACTCAATTATCTGATTTTACAAAGGGAAAATTCATGAAAATTTTTAGTGAGTTATGGTTATGAAATGTCTCTGATTTTTTTTCAGTAAATCAATAATGTATACTTCTAAGCACTAAAAATATGAATATTTTGTACACATTATCAATTTTCCAAACTATTAAATAGAAAATTCACATTTTTTTTATCTTGAACATATAAAATATATAATTTTATGTTTAAATGAAGTGAAGTTTTTTTCGCTAAGAAGTAATACCTCAGTTAGGCTTGTTTCACTTGTGGTTTCATTATGTACTATTCCAATCGGGTCCAGTGAGTTTGCTGCATTAAGATTTCACATTTGTGTAGTTCTTATCTGGGTGTTGTATGAACAGTTGTTGTTCAGCATTAAATCTGGTTCTTATATGGTCTAAATCTTACGGCAACAAAGGTTGTCTGATTAAGAACCATACCTCCTGAAACGGCATAGGTATGAAACAAGCCTTACCAACTTAACCCTCTGCCTGGAACATCCTACGATACACCCGTCATGTCAGCTATTAAAAAAAAAACTATTTTTTTCATCTTTAACATTATTTTATAATAAATTCACTCATTATTTGTTGAAAAGAATAAATCAGAACTTAATAGATGAGAAAGAGAAGCCTCTAAAAGCAAAATAACATGAATAAATCATTTATTTTTTTACCATTACTGTTATTAAAACGTTATGTGAAATATATAAAATACCAGTTTTGTGGGTGATCATTTTATTCACAATTTTTGGGGTAACAAGAGTAGTCAGCAAGAGGTTTTAAATCTAGACTAATCGCCGCTTAATTTTTGTCATCACAATTTTATTACAATGTGTTTCGCCACTTGTCTAGACCGTATCGCAGATTTGGATGACCATGAAGAGTAATGTTTTCACATAAGTAAATTGTAGGTTCAGACTCTTCCTCAATTTCATCATATTCAGTTATGAGAGGACAACGTTGAGGCCTAGATATTCCTTCTTCGTCACTCAAGTATTCGGAAGGGGTTGGTGAAGCTGATCTGGAGTATTTATGGTTGGAAGTTGAAGGACCAATGAAGTAGAAGTAACAATGAACTCAATTAAAAAATAACTCAGACGGAAGAACCAGGCATTTTGACCGCTACGAAAATAGTGCTGCAGATAGAACACCCATCAATGTGATTAACATGGTAACAATAAAACATGGCTTATCTAAAAAAAAAAACCTATCGATTTCACCTCTCTGATATTTCATGGTTGCTTGCAACAACAAGGCCGAAGATATCACAGGAAGACAGCTTCCCTTGAGAAAGCTCATGTGATCTGCTGAGGTATTTATGATCTATAGGTGTCATAATGACACCCATGATATGTTCCGGTCAGGAGGTTAATTAATAGGTGCATAGGTTATAATATACAGTGATATAATACATGCAGTTTGTAGAGGGTTTATCTAGAGACCTATGAAAACAAGTAAAACAAGAATTATACCAGATACCAATTATTACTTTTGTATTCAAAGAAGTAATTTGACATGTGATATTCCTCTTTTCATTCCAAACTCTTTGGTCACTCCAATCCTCTAGTTCATAACCTTTTATCCAATACAATTCCTCACCAATGGGTAGCTTCTTCACAAGTTCTTATCATGTTATATATTCCTGTAGCCGATTTACTTGTTGTATGTATGTATGTATGTATACAATTGTAAATTTCAATAAATGAAAAAAAATAAAAAAAATTAATTTAGCCCTTAAATTGTTAAATATTCAATATATAAAACAAACAATTAAGTCCAAAACGTGCAATTTCATGCAAAATGAAATTTCAATATGTTATTCTACAGATCGTGAAACGGATAGATTGTTCGGTTTGAAGTTTTTACACCTAAGCGAACAAAATGTGGAATAATATGAAAATCCGGTCTCTAGTCATAATACAGAGTAATTATAAGTTCTGTAATTTAATTCTTAATAACAGACTTTTAATTTTATTTCATTGTTCCAGTCCGCTGGTGTTCCTCAAGGTAGTATCCTACGTCCTATCCTCTATACAGTTTATACAGCTGACATCCCTACCTGTCCCAACACTGTCATCACCACATATGCCGATGAAACATGTATCCTATCAGTAAACAATGACCCAGCAATTGCATCCCAAATGCTTCAGTCACACTTCATAAATCTAGAAGAATGGTGTCAAAACTGGAGAATTAAAATAAACTCCAATAAATTCCACCAAATTACCTTTACCCTTCATCGTAAACCAACGACTTCCTGTCCTACAGTTATCTTTAACAATACTCCACTTATCCCTGTTGAGCAAATCCGATACCTAGGACTCCACCTGGACAAACGACTAACTTGGAATCCTCATACTAGACTGAAACGACAAGAAACCGCTCGAAGTTTCCGATTACTTCAGCACTTACTAGACAAACACTCTAAACTTCCCATTAATTACAAAAGACTCATATACTTGACTATAATAAGACCTATTTGTACTTACGGAGTTGAGCTATGGGAGCTCCACTAACCCATCGAATTCCTCTCGCATCCAATCCTTACAATCCAAAATCCTTCGTAAAATCCTCAATGCTCCTTACTTTGTCACTAATAAAATTATCCATAAAGATCTTAATGTTCCTTATGTTTCAGATCTGGCCCAATCCAGATACCTATCCTTCCATAATAAACTTCAGAGTCATCCCAACCCTCTCGTTTCTAACCTTGCTTGCTCTTCAATTCCTGATAACCCTCCGAGGCATTTGAAAAGAAGATGGTCCCGTGATCTCCTAATGTAGTCATATCATTAGAGTGCTACCATTGGGTAGTTACTCAGCAAGTGTATTCATGTCATTATATCTATTATGTCCAAATTTACTTGATGTATTTATGTAATACAGTTGTAAATGTCATTAAGAAATAAAAAAAAAAAAAAATTAATTGTTCGGCACTGGAGTACCCAGAACACGATGACATGGTGCAAGTTGTGACATCAAACTTTTTGAGAGAGGTTATGAATTTTCAGAGAAACCATGTGTTTCTGGATTTTTTATTTAGAAAATTATGAAACAAAGTAAAAACTAAATTACAATTTTGATAATTCTACTTTCACTTGCACCATTTTTAAGAAGAGCGATTAAAAATTTTTTGGAAAGGCATAAACTAATGACCTTGGAGAGCTCCGCAACCATTGGTCACAAGATAAAGCTCAATTTCTTTTGGAACTTAAAAACTGTCTAAAATTGGAGTGAGACCTTTTTTAGATATACTGTAACTATGAAAAAAAAAGTAACAAAATATGATGAATTTTAATTTGCAAAATAAAAGCTATATTTCATAATTTAAATTCAGTTATTTTAATTTTTATAAAGCAATAGAAAAATAGGTCATAACGTTTATTTTTATATATATAATTGGTAAATGGTTGACTGTCGTGGATAATGAAGAGAAGAATAGTTGGGGTGGTCAGTCAAAAAAGAAAGCAAAAATAAATGGTAATATTTATTTTTACATATGCCGACGTTTCGACCTGAAGTTCAGGCCTTCAGCAGGGCTAAGAAAATAACCAGATAACAAGGTATGAGAAACATAAGTAGTGATGGTAAAAAAACAAAAAAAAAAATAAATAAAATGAAATTGTTAGAATAATGATTTTTTATAATGAATTTTTGCCTTCTTTTTTGACTGACCACCCCTACTATTCTTCTCTTCAAAATTTTTATATAATTTTTTAGACAGAGGAATTGATATTATGACATTCAGAATTGATATTGTACTACACATTAAATTTCCTCTCACATTTATTAAAATAATGATGCGTACATATATAATAGGTTAAGATTATTAGAATAATTACTTCCTTAAAATGCAAATGTGAAGAAAAAAAATAATTTTCATGACAACTAGTAAAAATATGTAAGAAAAATAAGAGGATTTGAAAAAAAATTTGATTGTATCTAAATTATTCATTTTGAACAATAATAAATTTATTTAAAAACATATTTCAAAACAAATGATGGATTTATCACTACAGTCCAGAATCTACATGACAAGTTGTTTTCTTGTTTGATTAGCCATTTAAACACAACAGTAATTTGTTTTTTTTCTCTGGGACCGACCTTCAATTAACTGTTGATATTTAGCAAACAATTTAAGATGTCATTGTTTTCTCACTAAATGAAGGGTCAGCTAAAAATAATACATTTAATGCTAACAATGAATTTTTACTAATTTATATTAATGCTGAGATTTAAAGAAAACAAAATATTAAGCCATAAAGTAAAGTTTTGCTCTGGTTTATTTTTTTTTAATTATTTTATTTTCATCTAAAAAGTAATATAAAATGTATTAAGATGTACAAAGTAAAAGCGTAGGATAGAATAGAAAAATAATATCATTCTAAGACCAATGCCCGTAAGTGTACAGGAAAATAAAAATTATTTTTGGCTGAAATACCTATTGCATTGTATGAATAATAAAACCATTACGTTTTCAAAAATATATACAAGAAAAATGTTAAAACAATATATTCACTAAAAAGAGAATTTGTCAGAAGAAAGATAATTTTTATTAATTTTCCCTAGAATATTAATACTCTAGTTGGTAAGCAAAAACACAATTAAAAAAAAAAAGAATTAGAAGAAAGAAGTAATAAAATGACTTATATCTCTCTCATTTAAAAATATATACTTTATCTTAAAGTGAAGAATAATAATAAAAAGAAAGATAATACATGTATATGCTAAGATACAGTTATGTATATGCAGTGAATAAATGGTATGGAGAGTACAAAAACAAGGCTAGCAAAGCATTAAAAGTGAAATTAAATGTTTGTCCAGACTTGTAAGTAACATATAGATTTTTTTTTTTTCTGCTGCCATTACAGATCATGTAGATCTTTTGCCGCCTTAACAAGACTGCTCCATCTTTGCCTGTATTGGGATATTTCTTTCCATTTATCTGCACTCAGATCTATTGCATCTTTGTTGATTCTATTTATCCATCTGCTTTTTGGCCTTCCACGTATTCTTTTGCCTTCTATCGAGGCATTTTTTGTTACGTAGAGGCTTCCAAATGGATTGCTACTAGCTACATGCCCCGCCCATCTTAACTTCCATACCTTCATATCATGGGATATTGATGACCAGTTTCTGTAAGACCAGTTTCTTTCTTCTCCATGTGTTAGTACTCTAATCTCAGATCACTCCGGTTATCGTGCGGAGTATTTTTCTCCTTGTGCTGGTTAGTATCCAGCTCTCACAGCGATATATTAGAACTGGCTTTGTCACAGCATTGTACACCCTTAGTTTTAGATTTTTTCGGGATTTCATACCTTTGAGAGGGAGAAAAACTGTTTGCGCTAGTTATACACTGGTCTATTTCTGCTTTTAAGTCATTCATTGAGGTTATTGTGTTGCCGAGGTATTTGAATTTTTCTCCTCGGGAATGATTTTCCTTCTACGCAGATCCTGTTATTGGGATAGAATTTTCGCCTTATTATTATTTTGTTTTGTCTTCATTTACTTGTAGGCCGATCTGCTATGCCTCTCTTATCAGTGTTGTAGTAAGTTTCTCAATGTCTTCTTGTTTCTGCGTATCCAAGGATTTTATGATTCATTCAGACGTGGATCCCTCCATTTTCCTGTGATGTTGCTCTTATTAGCTTCTCCAGGGCTAAGTTGAACAACATCGGTGATAGTCCATCTCTCTGCCATAAGGCTGTTTGAACTTTGAAAATGTAGATTAGTAAATATTAAATTATAGATAAAAAGAGCTATTAAAAACAAATATATGAAGTAACTTAAGAAGTAAGGAAATCTTGTGTACCTATTAAAAAACAAAACTAACAAAGTATTAAAAGTGAAATGGAATAGTCCATATTCATAAGTAGAATGTGATTAATTAAAACTAGGACTTGTGATACATGTTTAACCATTGTCTGACTGTTTTCTTAAGAGATTGGAATTAGAGGGTTTTAAATGTGTTTAAGGATGATTTTAGCGAATTTTAAGAAGAAGGGAATTCCATATAAAAATGTCAATAAACATATTATAATTATAGGTTATAGGTATAGGTCTACTCTTGAGCCCATGATGGCTAAAAGGCATCACAATCTATGGATCTTTGAGTCTATTGGCGCTCGTTCGATTCTGGTTTGGGCAGACCCATGTAGTGAATCTCGACCTCCGTCCAGTTAGCATAAGTTGGTTATACCTATAGAATAAATGACAAAGTAGGGGAGTGAGGAGGAAAAAAAAATATGGGTCTATCACGCACAGGTTTAATCTCTGTACCGGCATGAAATAATTTGGCTTATTAATGTTGAACACTAATTTTATAACGTCTTCATACAATTTTTTAGCAAATTGTATAAAATATGATCGACTTTGATTATTGTTTGTTTGTAAATAATGCTTTACTTTTACAGATAATTATAACCATACTGATTGGTCTAAGTATATTTGACTTCTATAATATTTCTACCAGCTATCAAGTGTATCCAGTTGATATATTTTCACTAATTGTTAATTTGGTTTCCTTGGTGAGTTAAAATTTGGATTAACTTTTATAAAAGTATTTTTTTCCATGATATTATTTATATAACATTTTACAGGTATTTTGTAGTGTATTAGTCATTTTTCATCGAAAGTATGGTCAGCAGTCTTCAGGCTTGCTTTTTATATTTTGGTTTCTTGTCATCATTTTTGGATCTTCGAAGTTCTTTATTAATTTACAAGATCACCAATATGTAAGTATTTTAACAACTTTTTCAATTATGTTATTTGTTATTTCTAAATATATATCCCTTCCTGGCCCTCTGGAGTGATGGAATTTGATGAATTAAGTATCAATAGAAAGAGAATATCTTGTAGAATCCGCGAATCATTATTTTTATTACTAATTTTATTCTAGGACCTAAATAATTTTTTTAAAATATTTTTTTATTTCTTAATGATATTTACAAATATTAAATAAATACATCTAGTAAATTTGAACATATGGATATAATGATATGAAAAAACTTGCTGAGTAACTACACAATGGTAGCACTCTAATGATATGTCTACATTAGGAGATCACGGGGCCATCTTCTTTTCAGATGCCTCGGAGGTTTATCAGAAATTGAAGAGGAAGCAAGGTTAGAAACGAGAGGGTTAGGATGATTCTGAAGTTTATTGTGGAAGGATAGGTATCTGGATTGGGCCAGATCTTAAACATAAGGAACATTAAGGTCTTTATGGATAATTTTATTAGTGACAAAGTAAAGAGCATTGAGGATTTTATGAAGGATTTTGGATTGTAAGGGTTGGATGCGAGAGGAATTCGATGGTTTAGTGGAGCCCCATAGCTCAACTCCGTAAGTCCAAATAGGTCTTATTATAGTCAAGTATATGAGTCTTTTGTAATTAATGGGAAGTTTAGAGCGTTTGTCTAGTAAGTGCTGAAGTAATCAGAAACGTCGAGCGGTTTCTTGTCGTTTCAGTCTAGTATGAGGATTCCAAGTTAGTCGCTTGTCCAGGTGGAGTCCTAGGTATCGGATTTGCTCAACAGAGATAAGTGGAGTATTGTTAAAGGAAACTGTAGGACAGGCAGTCGTTGGTTTAAGGGTCGTTGGAGTTTATTTTAATTCTCCAGTTTTAACACCATTCTTCAAGATTTATGATGTGTGATTGAATCATTTGGGATGTAATTGATGTGTCATCTTTAATATATTAAATTCAGATTAAAATATTAGGTTGCGTGAAGTATTCACACGGGTCAGCTAGTCTGTATTAATACTTATTTTTTAAGAATTTAGCTCTTCTAAACAATACTAATCACAGAAATATTAACTTTGTTCATAATGGTCATTGTTCAACAAAAGTAATGTTAAAACAATTTTTGTTGTTCCCAGCAGCTCTAAAAATATTCACTGGTATTCTCAGAAAGTTTGCCTCAATCATAGTTTCAATGCCTTCTCTATCAACAATGCCTTCTTAATTCTTTAGAACAAAAAACATTCATGTATTCTTGACTCCTCACCCGGGGTTCTTCCTTCCACCTTTTTAATACATCTTGATCTTAACCTACTTATTTGTCCCTTCTTGTAAGCTTTGTTTGAAAAATCCTTTGTATGTGCTTCGTTTTATTGGAATTCCGTCACCATCTCATTAACATGATTTAAACACCATTTATTTTGCATAATTATTAATCTTCCGTTTATATGTAAACATCTGTTGTGAGTTTGTACAAATATGTATCTATTCTCAATTTTTACACTTTTATTTATTATTAGTATTTAGTTTACAATATAATTAAGTTCTAATTAATTCAGCCAGAACTTTCAATTTAATTCAGAAGACCGATTTTCAATTAATTCATTCAGATTGTATTTTCAACTAAATGTTGTCATTAATAAAAAGTAATAAATTTCAAGTGTTTCAAAAGCTTTGAAGTGTTATTTTTATTGATAACTATTAGATATTTTCGTAAACCAATGGTATTCCTTGAAAAACATAAATAAGGGAACATTTAACCAGCTCGTATAACTAACGTTTTTCTCTCCTCATCTAAGCTAATAATTGAAGACAAAATTAATTTAACTGGAAATATTTTATGAATGATCATAATTACAAATCCTATTTCTTTTGTTTTCTTGTATCATTTTTGGCCCAATCACCTCCCTACGCAACCTTGCCTTGAAACAGTACTTCCTTACAATGCTCTGAACCCAAAATCCTTCATGGGTTGTAGTGGTACAGGTTTTTTTTATTTATTTATGTTTATAAATATGTATATAGATACAGATTAATGAAATCGGGTTTTACAGGAAGAAACACAAGTTATGAGGTTAACTTATATTATCTATTATTGCCTGTGTTTTGCCATGTTATTACTTAATTGTATGGCTGATTTAGCACCACAGGATTCTGATTATCCTCCAGTCAAGGTAAACTTTTTATAATATTTTTTTCAAACTAAAATTTCTAATTAATAATGTAATTTCAAAGATATGAATAAATTATGCCTTTATGTTGAACACACAGTATTTACTTCGATCAGAGTATGAAATATGTTTATAACATATTTTACTTTCTTTTAGCTCTGTTACTTATATATTTATATGTCAATCAAAATGTATAAATAAAGATTAATCTAAGGGTTTTTTGTTTCTTTAAGTGCTTCCTCTATGGCATTGTCTCTTGAGTGGCACAAATTTCGAACCAATAACTTTGAATCCTTTCTTTCTATTATTAAATTTTCATTTCATTCATATCTGATTTATCTGTTTTAAGTACAAGCAACTTTTTCAACTTGTCTTACCGTTTTTGAAAATAAATTATTGTGTAGAATATACAGACCAAAGAAGGGTAATTCAACCTGAGAATTTATACTGTTAACAATAATAGTATATATTATAATACGCAGTAGATGAAATGGGTGTCTAAAATTGTTGGATTTAGCAATGAAATAATCTCTAAAAGGTTAATATTTGCTATGCTGACTAGACTTCTGAGGGGTAGACTGAAGGGAAGGTGGGAAGATCATGTTAAGGCTGATATGCAGGACTGGGTTTGGATGGCAACCGATGGAGGGAGATGTGTAGACAGACATTGGTAGTGTCTGCATCAAACCTTCGGGTTCGCTTCTTCTTCTTTAGCTTCTGCTTTTCGCGCATCGCAGCGTAAGAGGGTGGGCAGCCACAAACTCCACTCTTTTCTGTTCTTTGCCAGGTTCTTGGCTCGACGGAGATCTTTGCCTCTTCCTTTGCAAAGTCTATCGATACTCCAGTAATGGATCTTTATGTTCCTCCATCCTAATCCCATGGCCAAACCATTTCAATTGGCGGATTTGCAGAACCTCCTTCAATGAGGTGACCCCCCACCTCTTGGCGTATACTTTCATTACAAACCCGGTCCCTCCTAGTCTTACCGACTGGTTTTCACAGAAACTTCATTTCAGCAGCAGTGATTTCAGAGCAGACTCTCTTGCCTGTCTGTCAATATCCAGCTTTCAGCTCCGTATAGAAGTATTGGCTGGTACACAGATTTAAATATGTGGAGCTTGACGTTCTTATCTACCTCTCTCTTTCCAACAACGGTGTTGCAAATTATAGTAGACTGCATCCGATCTTATGACAGTAGGTAGGTAAAAGTCTGAGAACATTTCCATTTGCTCTCCTTTGCAGTGTACATGCGTATCTTCATTTTGCCTTCCTACTTGTAGTACCTTACTTTTGCTGGTATTGATCTGCATTCCTTTCCGGTAGAATTCCTTATAACATTAAGTCTCCGCCTGCTGTAACTTTTCAGCCGAATAAGCGACAAGGACAATATCATGGGCTTCATCACCACCAGACGCCAGTTTCTTCTCCCCAGGAACGTCTTTTCTGTTCTTCTTTTACAGATGGCCGCTACCTCATCCATACAAATTAGAAATAGCAGTGTGCTCAAACTATCTCCTTGTTTGAAGCCCCTTGCCATGTCAAAGCAACCGGACTCCAACCCGTTCTGCCTAACAACTCCCTTTGGGTGTTGATAAATGGACTTCACAGCCTCCACTAAGTTCCTTGGGACGTTTTTAGCTCTAAGATCTTCCCATATTTCATGCCTGGGAACCGTGTCAAATGCTGCTTTCAGATCAAGAAAAGCTAAGTACATGTTTTTATCCTGGTCCCAAGATTTCTGTAGAACATTTCTTAAGGAGAATATATGATTCGTGGTTTACCGTCCTAGTCTAAATCCAGCTTGTTCTTCCCCCTTAAGATGTTCAACTAAGGGCCTTAATCTTCCTTCCAGGACAGTCTTCTAAAGCTTGTAGACCACTGGTGAGAGGCATGTAGGACAATAGAGCATTTGGCCTGGACTCTTTCTTGTGAATGGGTATGATGATATTGTATTCCCAATCAGTTGGGATCCTCTCCTCATCCCAGGCTTTTTTACAGACTTTCGGGTTCACTAAGCCTTATTATTATTAAGTACAATTATAATCATTAATTGGAATTGATCTCTCAGACAGTAAAACTAGGGTAATTGATATTAAATATATTGAATTAAATTAATATAAAAATGCTATATAAAATTAAGTAAACCTTTTTTATTATTTTTGTTAAATTAATAAAACAATAAAAATTAAACATTTAGTGTTAATGTTGACAAAATTTAGATAATTTTATAGGGTAAATGCATAACCTGAAGTGTAATTTTAAATGCTTATATTAACCATTTGAATGGAGTCAATCAAAAAATATTTATTAGTATTATTATTGTTATACACAGACAAATTTTTCAAATTTCATCAGAACCTCAGTTATCATCCAAATCCTGTTGCACAATGTGTATCTAACTCCAGCCATCCCTACAATTCTCCCCGGAGGTTAAAACGGCAGTGGCCCCGCGACCTTCTGTAAATATTTATATATTGGAGTACTGGCAATGGCCAGATTCTCCTCTCAGGTCTGGCTTCCAATACCAGTGATGCGGCTGGGAAAGAAGCACTGGGATCTCTTGGAGTCGTGCCTTGGCTTCCACATTTGAGGGACAAAGCATGACTCATGACAAAGCATGAGTTCCCTGGGCGAATGTAAATATTGTACATAGGTGTAAATGTGTTTTATTTATTTTAATTTTATTTAGCTTCTATCTATTATTTCATTTTTTTGTATATGCATATTAATTTACTTATTTTATTTTTCTGTATTTCATTTTCTTTATTACTTAGTTATTGTTTGTATTTACATATTGTGTGAATGATTAATTAAAGTAGTTCTAATATTAATTCCCTTCAATGTGGCAGAATGTATTAATATTCAATTAATAAATAAATAAAAAATATTGCTATGAATTAATCAAATTTTATTATTACTTAATTATATAAGATTTATTTTGGTTTTAGAATCCTTGCCCGGATGAATCTTCTTCTTTCCTTAGTATGATAACATTCTCTTGGCTCGATAAAACAATATATCGTGGTTCCAAAAAACCTCTTTCTGTTGGCGATTTTTGGTCGATGAAATATCAAGATTCAGCATCACAAGTATTCGGTTTATTGGACAGGTTCTTAAATCCAGTCTGTTCAAATGATAAAGAGTATGTTTTATAATGATCTTAATAATATTTTATTATTTTGTATGTGTATTATAATTAAGTATATAAAGCTTTAGTTTAGTAGCTCCAACATGATGATGGCTCTTGGAATTTCTTATCAGCCATTGAGAAATGTTCAAATAGCTATTGCTGTATTTTCATGTATATGGTTATACTTTTTGTTTTTTAAGGGTGGGAAATGTTCATTAGCTGTAGTCACATTCTCATCTTCCTAGTAAAGAAATATCAAAATAAACACAACTTTAATTTTTTCTATTAAGGATAATTTGTATCCCTCATACATATTGTGGATTACTAAACCCAATAACTACTAATAATATTAATTATGACATTAGGAATTCAATTAAAATAAAAAGTGATTAAATTGAGGAAATACATAAAAAGTTATAACAGTTAAGACCAAGTTAGTAGGATAAAAAAAAAATCTGGTGCGCGCATCACACAACTTTTAATTACCACCCTCTTCTTAGCAGAAATAAGTATTATCTTACAAATCAGAAGTGAAAGTAAAAATTATAGATGTTATATTTATTTATACTGCATTGTGGATATTTTTGTTTGTTTAAGTACCCTTATATATAATAATAATAAAATAATAATAATAATAAGGCTTAGCGAACCCGAAGGTTCGATGCCGACACCACCAATCGCTTGTTACACACCTCCCTCCACCGTTCGCCGTCCAAACCCAGTCCCTTCAGATCGGCTTTAATGCAATCTTCCCACCTTCGCTTCGGTCTACCCCTCGGACGCTTACCATTCGGCACAGCAAATATTAACCTTGTACCCTTATATATACAAATTTTAATTTTTATATCGCTTTAATCTATATAATTGATTATTAAATAATACCAATGATATTATTTATGAAAACCGCATATGTATGTGTACATAATATTGTCGGAGTCCCTATTATATTAAGCTCATGTTATATATAGAAGCCTGTTGTAAGCTTTTGGGTGAGCTCGGGCGCACTCCTATTCCTTTGGTTTCTCCGTTACATTTATTATCTGTTACGATCTCTACGGTATTAATATTCTCCTTTAGTTAACAATCAAATTCTTTTATATTTATCTATTTTTTATATTAGAGATTACTATGAAATGGTTAATTATTTCAAATAAAATAAAATTAAAAATACTTTAGAGAAAGCTAATATTGAAAATTAAACATTTAAGCCCTTTTAGAGAACATCATTAAGAATAAAACCTACATTATATTAAAATTATAAGAGCCGTTTTCTAGAAAATTGTAAATAATTGTTAAATTGATGATATAAAGTGCCACTTCAGGTTAGCTGATTTTGACGAAAAAATTGCTGATTATTACATCTCTGGCATAAACAAACCTTAAATATACAATTCTACTTTCTTAAGACTTTTGTTTTTGAACTAGACTATTAAAACACATACACCATTTTGTGGGACTTGGTTATTTGGACTCAAGGGACCTCAAAACGTGTATTTTTGTTGAAAACTGAGATTCCGAAATTTTCATGATTGCAATACTTTCCTTTACTATATATTTCATATACAGATAAGTGAAAGTAAAAATCTGGTGCTGCATTACATGAGGTACGTAGGCAATTTAATTCTTATTTAAACTGATTATAATGAATTCCTTCGAGAGATGAAGTATCATTCTATAAAATATTAGATCATTCTAATCCATCATTGATAGTGAATGTGAATAACTTGAATCTGTTAAACTATGTTTGAATGACAAAATTGTGGGGAAACATAATTTTTCTTAATTTAAGGTGGAGTAGACTGGTAAAGTTTGAAAGACATTAAAATATCAGGCCCAAAAATCTTGTTTTCATGGTGGAAATTTCTATTATATTAGTGTCTTCAAGGGAATGGGACAACGGTAGTGCCATATTCTACAAGGTCACAATAAATATGGCCACATTTTACAAAATGGAGGCTGTAGAACAAATCATGTCATGATTATTTTCTCTAAGGCAACTTATTTATAAAAGAAAAACAAAATAGATAAGAAACTTAGTTAGTTAACTAATTTAATGTAAACTAAATTTACAAAAATAAATCTATATACCAAATTAAAGAAATTTATTATAATTGCTAAGAAAAATAAATTCTACCATCTTTATTTTATTCCTCCGCCAAGAATTCAATAATATAAAAATATTGGATTCAATCCATTTCAAATTCAGAAATAATTGAATAATAGTGATTTATAAGAATAGTTTTTTCCTATGCCGTCATGTTACAATCGATTAGATAAGGTGTGATAGTTAACATGTCAATTAACCTTGTTTTCTTTTTTTACAGATTTATTTTTATCATACTGTTACATAATGGAATATATATATATTTTTTTCTTTTTTTCAGATCAGTGACAAATAAGTCTCCAGAATATTCAAGAAATGATTTTGAGAATGACATAAAAGGAAATAAAAGTTCAAGAAAGAATCCTTTCTCTATTTTACCAGTTTTATGCAAATCCTTTGGCCCGAGTTATTTAGTAGCAGCGTGCTTTAAATTAACTGAAGATATATTAAAATTTAGTAATCCGCAGCTTCTGAAGTAAATATCCGTTATAATAATTACTATTTTTTGTTTGATTATAAAATTAAAGAATTCTATAAACTTAGAATACTATTTCTTGTTAAAACAACTTGACGCATATATATTCAGTGCTGCATAAATAAATGAAAACATGAACAAATTGCAATAGGCTGTATCTTTGCTAATGATGGTCCAATTTTGATGATTTTATTATTTTTATTTAAAGGGAACATTGAAACCTTTCAAATTATTATGGGTCTGATGTACCATAAATTTTATACTTTTTGAGTTGTAAATAACCTAATAAAGTTTAAATGTCAATAATTTGTTTTGGCAGGAATTGCAAATTGCCTTCCGCTTTTATATCGGGAAACGAGGTTATTTACACTCGTGAATATTAAAACAAAACCCCGGCATTGGATATAGACTTTTTGAGGGTGTTTAACTGTCGTTGGGAATTCGGGAATCTAATACCTTTTGTAACACTGAGTGACAAGAAACAATAAGAATATATATATGAAATGTGCGATTTAGAAAATGCACTTTGAATGAATTGACTCGCCTGGTTTGTTATTCTTCAATCGTGAGGCATATACGACAACTAAATAAATAAATGACTTTTCACTCGTGTCTAACAAAACAATTTATTTTACAACTATAATAAATTGACTCTATTAAAGTGTTAAGTGTCAAACTGACAATCAGATCAAAACACTCAGACAAACTATTATTATTTACATTAAAATTAAACACTGATTTTACATTAAAGTCAAGTATGAACTGGCAAGCTAACCTTTTTTCTATAGATACTATTTCTTCCTTTGTTGCACTAAATTAAGTTGTTTTCAAATGATTTCCAATGTTCTGCCAAACACAACTTATAAAATGGTGACACTTTCTTCTACTCAACTCAAGCTCCTCTCTCTTGTAATTCCAAACAACGTTCAAGATGTTAATACTATTATTATGTTTTACTCCCTGGAGCCAGGATAACTTCTCCTATCCTCTCTTCACTGCAGCCACACAACAATTGCTTGCCAAAACAAAATCCTTTGTCCCATCTCCTCTTTGGGATTTTCCTTTTTGGGGAAACTACAGAGCAGTTATTTTCTTTTCCCTGAACTAGTAGAACTAGATTAGCTTACCTTTTAACTGTGGAACATTGATTTATTAAACTATTTTTAACAACTTTCAATTAAGGTGTATATTACAATATATTTAAAATATTCTATTTTGCAGGTGCCTCATTGGTTTTGTTAAAGGAGATGAACCTTATTGGAGAGGTTTTCTCTATGCTGCCTTATTTTTGATTTCGAACACATTGCAACTCATTTTCTTAACTCAGTATTCTTACAGATCAATATTAATTGGTCTCCGGATGAAAACTGCCATTACAATGGCAGTTTATAGAAAGGTAGTGTTCTCATGTTACTAAAAAACTAACTACCCCGGGATGAAATCACCTCAATTATATTACTCGGATATAGTTCACGCAATTCAGCGTTGTGTAACCTTCTAAATTCTCCGGTCAATTCATCCTTCTTCGGTTCAAATATTCTACGCAATACTTTATTTTCAAAAACCTTAAGTTGATGCTCATTCCTTAATGTAAGCGGCCACGTTTCGCAACCATAAAGAACTGTAGGTAAGACAATGATTTTATTAGACTCTAATTTTTAAGTTGCAGGACAAGAAGCGCGAGCTAAGTAGTTTTGTCACAGAAAAATAACAAGCATTTCCCGCCTTCAGCCTAACCTTAATCTTTTCTTCAATTTCATTTTTTCTAGTTATCGTAGACCCTAGATACCTTAAATTCTCTACCTATTCAAACATATTACCATCTATATCGATATCACCAGTTTTGCAGCTAACCATATATTTTGTCTTATCCGTGTTTATTTCGAGCCCTAGTTCTTTCCCGGCTTTCATTAACGTTGTCGTATTTAGTTTTATAGTTTCCGTGTCTTCGCTTAACAGTACCAGGTCATCCGCATAGCCCAGCAAGGGTGTTGTCCCACCCAGATCCAACCCTTTTTCAGTACGCATCACCTCCCAAATGGCATAAAAAAAATTTTTAATATATATATTTTTTTTTAATAGAGAATCCTCATATTAATTTTTTTTAGGCATTGAAATTGTCAAGTTCTGCTAGAAAAACTTCTACAGTTGGTGAAATTGTAAACTTAATGGCTGTTGATGCTCAGAGATTTTATAATATACTTATTGCAACGAGTAATATGTGGTCTATTCCTCTACAGATTACATTAGCAGTTTTCTTCATATGGCAGATTTTAGGTTAGTGTTATTTTCTTCATAGCTGTCTTTTATTTTTATGTTATTTTGTGTTAAAATATTACTTATTGTTGGACTAATGAAAAATAAATATGTGGACTATTTTGTGATGTTATCCCTTTGGTTTTTAAATATTTTTTATCAGTTGTAAATAACATGTTCAAGGTTTAATTGTAAATATCCCGTTGCGAATTGAATTCCGTTTTTTTGGAGAACTATGTTATTTACACTCGTGGTTATTAAAACAAAACGCCAAGCACTGGATTTAGACTTTTTGAGGGTGTTTAACTGTTGTTGGGAATTCGGGAACCTCATACTTTTGTGACACTGAGTGAGAAGAAACGATAAGAATATATATATCTGAAATGTGGGACTTAGTAAACACACATTGAATGAATTGACTCACCTGTTTTCTTATTCTTCAATTCTGAGGCATATAGGACAACTAAATAAATAAATGACTTTCCACTCCTGTAAAACAAAATAATTTATTTCTACAACTATAATAAATTGACTCTATTAAAGTGTTATAACTATAGACTTGATCTTCTTAATCTTGTAGTAGACTTCTCTTCTCCGTTCGTCCTCAAGTGCCTTCTCTTCTCTCCAGCGTCCTTCTCCAGCTGTTGCTATCTGCTCCGTCCTCTTCCTCCTTTCTTCTTTATCGATATGAGACTTTTCAATGAATAATTTGTCCACTGCATAATTGAGTACAATTCATCGTGCAATCTCACATTCCTCTATATTCCTTCTCATTTCCTCACACAATGTTACTTAAACGAGTAAATACAGGGAGCTACCTACTACACAGTTTTAATCTTATCGTCGACTTTTTGAGTCCTTAACCCTTCTTTCTGAAAGATTTTTCTTTATAGTTATATTTGTCCTATTATAAAATTCTTATATTCCACTCTTTATTACCTAGTATTCGCAATATATTAATTTAATTTATCATTTTCTTAAAATTCAACAATCACAACTTTACATTAATGCGTGTTGTTTTTGTTTCAGGACCTTCTGTTTTAGCTGGCCTTGCTGTATTGACAATTATGATCCCTATCAATGGCTACATGGCCAATTTATCAAAAAAATTACAAATTAAACAAATGAAGTATAAAGATGAGAGAATTAAAATGATGAATGAAATTCTTTCAGGAATAAAGGTTAGTCTTTATTCATTTTTCTTTCTGCAGTAAGATGGTATCGAACAAAGAGGATTCCTGTTCTCTGAAAAATATTATATGAGACATAGAACAAACACAGTTTCAATCTTTTATGTTTTTAAAATAGAAAAGTAAGGAGATAAGAGCTGAATACGGCGCGGGTCACCGTAAGCTCCTCTGGGTATTAGATATGAAATTAAATATTATAAATTATAGAGGGACTGTCATCGGTAAACACAAAATGTCTTAATCTTTAAAGAAAATAAAACTGTCTAATATAAATTCTTCAGTTTGTATTAAGCTAGGTTAATTTGTATCAAACAAAAGTTTTGTTAAGATGAACAAATTTAAGATTCCTCCTTGATCATCTCATGTGTTTACAGTTTTACCATATTATTTAAATGTCATTCGTTGAAACTAAAAACATTTTAAGGCAGTGGTCTGATAGTTAGCCAAAAAAGAAAAACATGTTTCGATCCACATTACAGGTCTTCATTAAGATAAAATAATCTAAAATTAAGAAAAAAAAAATATGTAGGATTACTGATGTAAATATGAATGTACAAAATAGGAAAGTGTAAAGTTTTTATGTCGGTAATTCTATATACTTATGTTTTTATTAACCCTAAAATTGTTTAACATTTTTGGATATTTAATATTTGACCGTTGCATTATAAAGGAAGGAGATGATCCGGGGTGGCGGTCATAAATAGGCTAAATAGTGGCAAAACTATTTTATTAAAAGCCAACGTTTCAACCCGACTTTGCAGGTCTTCTTCAGGGCTAGAATGGACAAGATACAAAAAGATTGTGGAATTTATACATAAAGAATTGTGGAAGTTACGTAATATTTAGACAAAAAATTATAAACAATGTGAATAAGCTTATTGAAATTATAAACAGTAAGTATATTAAAATATAAACAGAGTAAGCTAAGTAACAAGATCCTAAGCTGAAGTAAATAGATGGTAACAATTGTTGTAGTGTAATATATAATATATGGAAATATGAATATACTTCTACAGATCTACAGGAGAGATTGAAAGAAAAGGAAAAAGGATATAATATAAAAAAATAGACATAAAGGAATGTAGAGAAAGAAAAGAAAAAAGAATACCAAAAAATTAAATAAATAAGTAAATACAATTAGAGACTTACAGGTGTGTTCAGCTAGGAGTTTCACTTAGAACTGGAAAATTAGGGTAAGGGCAGGTATTGGGGAATTTGCTGACTTGTTTGGGACTTTATCCACTGACAGTTCTTAATTTTTGTTTGTTATTTGTTATTAACTAATTGTTAATGTATTTACTATTAAAACCACATTATTGGTGCCGTTTCATTTCTTTGACAGCTGGTGAAGATTTTCAACTCATAATAATACATATTTCATATAGTGTCATCATTTTAATAGTATTGAAAATCTCGAGTTCTATACCTACAAACTGTGATTTGCGGATAGCATTAGTATTTCTTACCATTAAAAGAAAACTGCTGCAAAACCACATGAAATGCTTACCGAAGCTTATGATAAGCATGCTCTATTGATAAATTACAGTTCTTTTGATGTGAGAAATGAAGAACATTGAAAACTACTAAAAAATTAATGAGTATCGCATGAAAAACAACCAGACTAAAAAAAAACTACACAAAAGATTTAAATTCATAATAAGGCACCATCACACAGCTAAACCAATGAAAGAAACACTTGAGGCATTCAGTTGGGAAGTATAAGCACGTGCTGCTTACTCACCAGACCTGTTTCCATTTGACAACTATTCATTTGCATTGATGGGATGAGCACTAATTCAGCAACACTTCACTTCTTATGAAAATGGCTTAGTGACTGGTTTGCCACAAAAAAAGCAACAGTTTTTCTGGAATGGAATTCATAAATTTCCAGAGAAATGGAAAAAAATGTATAGTGGTGGGAAGTATTTCAAACAATATATTTTTTATCTGTATTTTATATATAAAAATTCCATTTTCATATTTACGTAATTGGTAGAATGTGAGTTAAAAGGTCAGGATTGAATTTGTTATCCGAATTTATTTAATATATTTTTTTTACCAATTCCCAGGCCATCTCCTTCTATAATTATCATACGGTCTACTATCAACGCATATAAAAATATTTTAATTTGTGTCCCTTTTGCTCTAAATCCATGATATGTATATTTAAACGTTTATTTCATATACTTGGTTTATATTACTTTTGTTGATAATTTTAGGTATTAAAACTTTATGCTTGGGAACGCAGCTTTGAAGAACGAGTTCAAGAAATAAGAGGAAAGGAAATAAAAATATTAAAACAATCTGCTAATCTTAAGGCAGTGACAGCACTGATTTGGTCCTGTACTCCATTTTTAGTATGTCTTATATTTCTTTTTATGCTGTATATTTTATTTTTAATTTGAATGAATCGGTTATTTCAGAAACAGCATATGCGTAATGTTTATTGTAAGCCGTGGTACAGATCCCTTTTTATCAAATTATTAACATCCGTCTAAAACTTTGTGAATGGCTTCACTTAATCGTTAGATATAATCTTTTTATGTACAAAAATTCTCAGAAATGAGGCGTTTTCTCATATTTAAATGAGAATTTTTTTAAATCACACAATTTTCACTTACACAACCTCTTCTTAGCAGAAATAAGTATTTTCAGACAAAGGGGAAGTGAAGTAAAAGTTATTGATGCTATATTTATTTACAATGCATTGTGGGTATTTTTATTTGTTTATATAGTCTTATATATACAAATTTTAATTTTTATAATGCTGTAATCTATACAATTAAATATTAAATAATAGCAACGATAGCATTTATGAAAACCGCATATGTATATGAATATAATATTGTCGGAGTCTGTATTGTATGAATAAAAAAAAATAAAGGTACTTTAGAGGAAGCTAATATTGAAAATTAGCCATTTAAACCCTGATAGAGAACATCAATGAGAATTTTGACCACTGGGCAACACTATTCCCCCCCCTCCCCCAATGGTCAAAATTCTATCACAATCTTTGTTGCAAATTTTAAGGAAAACATAAATTTACAAATTCTATACATTTTTATCTACTCTTATACATCTGCACATACACTTTACACTTTTATATGTCCTTATTTGTCGTAAACCAATGACTTCCTGTCCTACAGTTTCCTTTAACAATACTCCACTAATCCCTGTTGAGCAAATCCGATATCTAGGACTTCACCTGAACAAACGACTAACTTGGAATCCTCATACTAGACTGAAACGACAAGAAACCACTGAATGTTTCCGATTACTTCAGCACTTACTGGACAAACGCTCTAAACTTCCAATTAATTACAAAAGACTCATATACTTGACTATAATAAGGCCTATTTGAACTTACGGAGTTGAGCTATGGGGCTCCACTAAACCATCAAATTCCTCTCCTATCCAATCCTTACAATCCTCAATGCTCCCTACTTTGTTACAAATAAAACCATCCATAATGATCTTAATGTTTCTTTTGTTTCAGATCTGGCCCAATCCAGATACCTATCCTTCCATAATAAACTTCAGAATCATCCCAACCCTCTCGTTTCTAACCTTGATTCCTCTTCAATTCCTGATAACCCTCCGAGGCGTCTGAAAAGAAGATGGCCCCGTGATCTCTCCTAATGTAGACATATCATTAGAGTGCTACCATTGGGTAGTTATTCAGCAAGTGTTTTCATGCCACTATGTTCAAATTTACTGGATGTATTTATTTAATACAGTTGTAAATAACATTAAGAAATAATAAAAAAAAAATATGTTCTTACAATAAATAATAGTTCACTACCGTTTTTATAATTTTTGAGTTATTCACAAAAAAAAAATTCTGAATTCATCATTATTTTTTGTTCAGCATCTTTTTGGGGAAGTATGTTTAATAAATAAAGTATAAGGGCTTCGAGGAGAAGAATTAAGCCAAGTTTCATTAAAATTGTTACAGACATTTTGGCGCTAATGTCTATCGTGACTCATGTTTTTGTCTACCATTTCGAAACGAAAGACCGGACGGTAATGAAATGTATATAAAATCACTTCTGAATTTGATTTCAATGTTATATAAAAAATTCAAAGCAGTCTGTGAAGAACTAACGGTTAAATTTTTAATTATATACACCTTCCAAATTTTTTTTATTGTTAACACTAAAGCTCATCGATAGCTACTAAACAAAAAAGAAATAAAGAAAATCGGTTGATAAATGGAGAAGAAAAAGGTACTTAACTGTTTGGCCTTTGCTTATTTATATAATGATAACCTAATCTTCATCGTCTAGTTCAAATTTAAAATTCGTGCAAGTGCCAAATTTGGGAGCCGCTTAATTGAAATATTTTTCTAATCTGCAATAACATTTTATTTTAATATTTTTAATTCAATTTCAATTTTCTAGGTTTCGCTTACTACGTTTGCTGCTTATGTTCTGGTTGATGAAAATAATGTTTTGGATGCGACAAAAGCATTTGTTTCATTATCTCTGTTCAATATTCTGCGGACACCAATGATGCTGCTTCCACAAATGATTTCAAATTTAATTCAAGTAAGTCATTACTTATCTGGGTAATTGTTTAAGCACAGTAGAGTTTAGTGAGTACCTTCCAGAATAGTCATGTTCAATTTTTGCTGCCGGTCAGGCTCAGGTCAATGAACTGCATCATTTATCATATCAGGATAAACTTATCTCATTTAAAAACATTGTTATTTCGATACTATTACCTATGTCAGAAAAACAATTTTAATATGTTAATAAACCCTTCAATATTAGGTAAAACAAAAAAATCTGGTGCGCACAACATACAACTTTCACTTACCGCCCGAGTTTGAATAGAAATTATTTTCTGGTCTTGTTGGGCTATTATAAAAATTTTTAATTACATTTTTAACAGAGCTAAAGCTAAAAAATTGCAGCTAAAAAATCATAAACACCATTAAAATAACAAAAGTTTTATTTATTATATCATCGGTTGATTACGGATTGTACGATCCATTGATTATGGATTGTACGACTATCAGTTATTAAACTGTTATTTTCCATTGCAAAGTTTAATAGACATTTAAAAAAATAGCTAGTGCATATTGATTACCTCTTATTTATAATATGTTTTATAATGGTATGGAAATAATCGACAGTAGTTTTATTTTAAGAAGAAATTTTTCAGAGGGTCATATATATATATATATTTTTTTTTTTTCGGTTGGCACTACAGACTATGAAGATCTTTGATCTCGAAATGTGGTCTCCTAGACCACATCCTGATTCCCGATTTAAGTACACGGGGTAGGGTCATGAGTCCTACGCCCGGTCGGTATGAGTTGCCTCCAGTAGTCTGACAGACCTCACATACCCAGGAGGCGAAGGAATTTCAGACAGTGTGGTATTCCCTGGTGAACCGTCATCCATCCAAGTACTAACCACGCTCAGCGTTGCTTAACTTTGATTACCTATTACAAGCGCCTTAGCCCGCACGGCTACCCCATCCTCCCCTCCCCTATATATATATATATATATATATATATATATATATATATATATATATATATATATACACAATATGTGGAGGTAATATTTATTAGATTCTCTATGAATGTAAATATCTTTACCATTTTCCAATTTCTTGTTTATATTTTTATTTTTTTCTAGGTTACTGTGTCAGTTAAGAGAGTTAATAAGTTTCTGAATAATGAAGAGTTAGATCCGGATATTGTGGGTAATAATGTTGAAGAATGTAAGTCTTAAAAAGTATTTGTTATTAAGCATCATGTTTTTAAAAATTATTCTAATTTATTTTTCCCTATTCTTTTAATATGTTTGTCTTTTAGTAAATTCATTGGTAATAGAAAATGGTACTTTCTCGTGGATTAATTATGAAGAACCTACACTCAAGAATATAAACATGAGAGTAAAAGAAGGTTCCTTGGTTGCTGTTATTGGTGATGTAGGATCAGGCAAATCTTCTTTAATCTCTGCTTTCCTCGGTGAAATGTATAAGCTTAATGGAAGCGTCAATGTGAGGGTATGTTACTGTATATGACAGCCAATACTTCCTTTATAATATACTCTTGTTGATATATAATATTATTAACATTCATAATATTAAGGAATCAAAATTATACAATGTGATCTCAGCCTTGTACGATTAGACAGGATCTTTTGGTTGCTGGGAATTTTTAGGATATGTTAAATATTATGGTCTAATGAAAATTATAAAATTTTCATTGCCTGTCATAGATAGGTCAAAAGTTGTCACACTAATTTTAAGTGGATAATGTTTGGATTTCCTTTCGGTAAAATTCATCAAATTATTCACTAATTTAATTTTCTAAAGGGTTACATGACGATTTTTCGGAATTTATTGTAAATAACCTACTGAAAGTTGAATGTAAAATAAAGATGTTTTGGCGGGAATAGCGAATAGCCTTCCGCTTTTATATCGGGGATTTAGGTTATTTACACTCGTGAATTATTAAAACAAAACCTCGGCACTGGATATAGACCTCTTTGAGGGTGTTTAACTGTGATTGGGATTCGGGGATCTATTTCCTTTTGTGACACTGAGTGAGAAGAAACAATAAGAATACATATATGAAATGTGGGACTTAGTAATCACTTTGAATGTGAATTGACTTACCTGGTTTATTCTTCAATTGTGAGGCCTATAGGACAACTAAATAAAATGACTATTCACTCCTGTCTAGCAAAACAAATTTATTTTAACAACTGATAATAAATGAATATATATAAGTGAACGGTCGGCTTGATAATCTTGGTCTTCAATGTAGTAAAGCTCTCTTCCCAGATGACGTCTTCTCTTGTTCCTGTCCAGGCCTCAAGTCCGTCTTCTGACAACCTCCTTTCTACCTGTCCCAGACTAGAATGCCTTCTCTTCTCTCCAGGTTTTGCTACCTGCTAGGTCCTTTCAGTATCTCCCACCTTCTCCCTTCTTCATCGATTGTTTATCGATATGAGACTTTTCAAAGAACAATTTGTCCATTCCACCATTGAGTACAATTCACAGTGCAACCTCACATTCCTATATATTATATATTCCTTCTCATTCCCTCACCCAATGTCATCTAAAGGAGTAAATACAGGGGGATGTCTACTACATAATGGATGTTGATAATTATTTAAATATAATATCAGATCGAGAATTATTAAACTACAGTAAATGTATTTGTAATATGTAAAACATTTATTTTATACATCCATGTATAAATAAAATTGTGTTATATTGATTTTATAAAGGGTCACTTCCGGTTAGCTGATTTTGAAAAAAAAGTTGCTGTAATATCTCAGGCATATATAAACCTTAAATGTGCAATTTCTCTTTTTGTTTTTGAGCTAGACTGATAACATACACACAGACCATTTTGTGGGACTTGGTTATTTAGAAAATAGAAAATAGAAAAATCATCTTTATTCTGGGACTAGATCCCTTTAGAATAACAGTATTGTTCATATATATTAACTAGAAATCTGGTCAAAAGACTTATTACAATGAATAATGACAAAATACATGTAATACATTAAGTATTAATTAAGCTCTTAGGATAAATATAACGAGGACAGTTGGGTAATAGGGGTTCAGTACTACAATATTGGAGCTAAAATAATTGCATAATAATCACTGAATGAAATTAGAAAGGAAAGTAAAATCTATTTTATAGGTAAAGCATTGTAGTGATGGAATATAAAAATTAAAAAAAATAATAATAACTGTTAATATGTAGGGAAAGAAATTGTAAAAACTGAAACAAAAAAATAAATAAAAAAACAAATAATGATATACATATGTTCCCTAAGATATTTAAGTGATTATGCGTAAAGATTAGGAGAAGAGAAAATAAAATAAAGTATATATATTTACACTCAGGATATCTCAAAACATGTATTTCTGTTGAAAACTCAGGTTCGAAAATTTTCACGATCGTAATAATGTCTTGATGTCAGTATTAAATGTTTTTTTTTTTTTTTTAAGTTTACACTCAAATTCTTATTACTTGTAGGTCATTGTGATCAAGCTTTACCAAGTCATTGTTTTGGATCAAAGAATGATTTAATTAGTAGGAGAAATTGATAATTTCCGTATTTGTCAATTGAACAATGATTGTATGTAAAATTTAATTTTTAGAACAATTTTTTTTCTTGTTGAAAACTAAATTTCTTTCTTTCATTAATATAGAATAAACTGCGCATTCCTTATAATTTTGCTATATTAAATCTAATTTTTTGTGTGAATATTTTAGTAAATAGAATGATTTTATTTAGTTTTTTTGTTAAAACAAAAGATAATGTATTTTTGTTAGTATTAATTAATATATTTTGGTTTATTATTTTCAATAATGAAACATTGTGATCGACCAAAAAATTCAAAAACATAATTCCCTCTCAAAATTTGAGGTTTCATGTTTGAAGATGCGTAGAATTCGAAAAACAAATAAAAATTTTTTTGTCCGTCCGCAGTCCACGCATTTTCTCTGAAACTACTGGACCGATTTTTTTTCAAATTTTGATATAAAATCAGAGGTCACCCGAGGATGATCCTCCTTCATTGACATTACTCTCCGCCTTTAACTTTCAAAATGGCGGCCAAAAAACCTGCGTTGCTATAGACTGTAGCTCCTAAACGAATGTACAGATTTCAATGAAACTTCGCTAAAGTCATTTTCTCGATGCCTTTTAAATTTATCTATATAACATACTTCAACGAAAAGAAGCTGGAAAAAAAGTTACGAGGGATGGTAAAATTAAATTCCGAATAACTCGAAAAGTTTTTGCTTTTTTGTTGATATTGTATATAGTTTTTTAAAATTTTATGAAATTTCCAAAAAAGCAAAAAAAAAAATAGTTAAAATCGGACAATTAGGAGCAAAAATATGGTCTCCGGTTTTTTTAAATGTATTCTACTCCAAATGTTATATCCTTGGTTTGGATTTTAAATTTGTTACTGAACTAATGCTATTTTTTTTTAGCATATTACTAATGATTAAAGAAAAACAGTTTAGTCCAATAATTGGAATCACCTTTTGTTTTTTTTTTCTTTGTAACTCGGAAGGTAATGTTACTTTAGATGTATTATTGTTTAGAGATAATAAACCATTGTGAAATCATTTGCAGTGTTTTTTAACTATTAATATGACCTCTTGGAAGATCACTTTATACTGTTGGATTAGTTTCTAAATAAATAAGAGGTTATTAAATAATAAACAAAATTATAATTATTTTATCTCAGGTATGGGTTACTGACAATCAGATCAAAACACTGAGACAAACTATTGTTATTTACACTATTGATACTAAAATGAAACACTGATATAAATAAAGTCAAGTATGGATTGGCAAGCTAACCTTTTTTTCTGTATCTACAGTTCTTTCCTTTGTTGCATTAAATTCATTTTCCTATGTTCTGCCAAACACAACTTCCAAATTGGTGAGACTTCCTTCTACTTAACTCAAGCTTCCTGGGAGATGCTCTCTCTTTTAATTCCAAAAACTAATCCCTCTGCCAAACAACAATTTCCAATATGGTAACACAATTACTGGATTTTACCCACTGGAGCTAGGATCCCTTCTCATATCCTCTCTTCACCCCAGCCAAACACCAACTTTCTGCCAAAACAAAATCCTTTGTGTCCCCTCTCCACTTTGGGATTTTCGTTTTTTGGGAAAATACAGAGCAGCCAATTTCATTTCCCTGAATTAGTGAAACTATTTTTGAAATTTAAACATCCCCTGACCTTAGCCAAATTAGATTAGCTTGTCTTTTAACAGTTCATTATTAATTTACTAAACCATTTTTAACAACTTTCAATTAAGGTTTATATTACAATATATGTATTTTTTTTTCAGGGTTCCATCGCATACGTATCACAGCTTTCATGGATACAGAACTGTTCATTTCGAGACAACGTGTTGTTTGGAACTGCCTTAGACATGAAAAAATACAATAAAGTTATTGAAGCTTGTGCTTTAAAACAAGATTTAGAGATGTTGCCAAACAGAGATCAGACTGAAATTGGTGAAAGAGTAGGTCCATTTTGATGCTAAGTACCATAATGATAATTAAAATACTTTTTTTCTATTTTATTCCCTGTCTAGCCATTTCTAGTATTAAGATTTATATCGTCTTGAATGAGTTGCTGTGTTTTTTATATTCTACAATTGTATCCAAACCATTTGAAGTTTGTTTTAGTATATAACAAACTAAATACGTATAGCTATAAATACTACTCGGAGAATACAGAGGTAAATGGTCCTGAAATATAATTAACAGTTTTAGCCTTACCAATCCTGTGTGAAATTTCGCTGACCCTTTCTCCAAAAGTTGAATTACTGGTCCTAGTTAATTTTTGATCGACGCAACTTTCATCTCTTCATTCTTGCAGGAAATATGGATTTCCTGTTATATCTTGCTCGCTTGTTTGTTTAATTCTAAAACTTGTAAATCGAGTGATATTTTGATTATTATTTTTAACAACTTTTAGAAATAGTTGAAATAGTTTTTGAAATTTTTGTACAGGGTATCAACCTGAGTGGAGGGCAGAAACAGAGATTGAGCTTAGCACGAGCGATCTACTCCAATAGAGATGTCTACTTATTTGATGACCCGTTAAGCGCCGTTGATAGCCATGTAGGAAAGCACATATTTGAAGACGTAATCAGCTCAAATGGGGTTCTGCGAAATAAGGTAAATTAAAATAAAATATTTAAATAAATTAATTAAGCAGGGTGGTGCTTTCTTGGACTGATCATTCTGGTCTATTTTAAAGTGTAAATATAACTGAATAGGTAGAGTGAGGCAGCACACTAGACTGCCCGAGCAGGCCGTGCTTTTTGAACCAAAAAGGAGGGATATAGGTTTGTGTCAGTTGGTGGGTTCGATATAACATCTCTAGTTAGCTAAGAGAAGCTCATTTATGTATGTTTCAATAAATTTGTTTAACTTATACCCTTTCAACTATAGTCATTCTTGCTAACTAGACAATTGTATATTTAAAATTACAATACCTATTCAGTTTTACTTATGCTCTAAAGGTGGTGGTCATGACAGTTCAAGTGAATGCCGTGCTTTACAGCAATGTTCAACTCTTATTTCAGTTTAAATTTTAGAAAATTCATTCCGTATGACTTGTGATTTTATTCTATTAACAGATCGGTATGTTCTAAAACTTTTCCTCGAAAATGCTTCTTACTTCAGCCTATTTGTAGTCTGTTTTCACGTCTTCTTATGCCTGTTAATTCTCTACATCCCTTTTCTATTGTATATTTGGCCTTTCTCATTTTCTTTTACCTATGAGGAATATTTTGCAGCTAACCATAAATTTAGTCTTATCAGTATTTATCTTGATTCCTAGTTCTTTACCGGCTTTCATTGCCGTTGTTGTATATAATTTTATTGTTTCCATGTCTTCGCTTAACAGTACCAAAGCATCAGCATACCCAAGCACGGATATTCTTTCACCCAGGGGACATAGGATTGAACGCCCTACTCACATATCTATAGTTCACAAGATACCAAACATTCATGGATTCTCATACGCCCATTTTAATAGCTGCAAATCTATCATTTCAATTATATTTACAGTATAAATGACGTGAAGCAGTGTAAATTATCTGGTCAACTCATATTTTTTTTATCCAAATATTTTGCACAATACTTTATTGTCAAAAATCTTAAGACATTATTCATCCCTTAATGTAAGCAACCACATTTCCCACCCATAAAAAACCGTCATAATTATAATAGTTTTGTAAATAGTAATTTATAAAATTTTAGAATATGAAGCCCACTAGCAGGGAATTTTATTTTAAATAGGGAAAAGTCTGACAATTTAACTGACATAATCTAGTAGAAAAATATATTTCAAATTTGATTACCTGATACAATTTTATAAAATAACTTTAACTTTTTAATGGTTTGTTTGTTCATCAATATTTTTTTACCTAGCACTTGTAAACACAAAAATTTAATCTGAATTTGAACTCTCTGTTTCTCTCTCCTTTTATTTATTTTTTTTTTTATTGGAGTGGGCATCCTAAAATCTCACATTAGTTCCATTTCCTTTATACTAACTGTTCATTATACAATTTGCTAACATTGCTATGAATATTGTATTTGAAATTGATCTGCTTTATATTAACACTTTCAGATGAGTACTCTAGTTCTCATTCAATTTCACTAATAAAAATATTTAAAAAGCGTCAATTATGGAAAAGCATATTATTTTATTTATTTTTTCTGGCAAAATATGATTTTGTTTAAAATCTTTATACCTTAAAAAAAATTATATTTTTTCAACAATAAAATTATTACAGGTGTATTTGCTCATTTAATTAATATTAAATGTAATATAAAAATTTTAAACTGGTTTGTTACAAATCGTAATTTAAGAAGTAATATAAGTTTATTTCTCTGCTTATAATATAAATTTTAAACATTTGTTTTTCTTAAACATTTTTATTGATAATTGATAATTAACTGCCCATATATAGATAGAATTTCTAATTCTAGGAGACTTATCTACATATTTTTTAAAACATATTGTTTATGAAGTTCAGATTTTTATTATATTTACATTTTAAAATATTTTATTTCACCTTTATCAATTCCTAAAAGTTCTCTTATTTTATTTTTTAAAATAAATACAGACGAGATTGTTTGTAACGCATAATATAACCTATCTCACGGAAGTAGATGAAATTATTGTTATGAAGGATGGCAGGATTTCAGAGGTAGGTACATATCATGAACTACTACATAGGAAAGGAGCACTAAGTGAATACCTTGCTACATACTCGCCATTGGTCGATGAGGGAAGCTATCAAGGTCAATATAAATTTAAGAATAACTTTATTTGTGATTGTTATTATGTATAATTATATGATATCACTCATTCAGTGGAACAACAAAGTAACTACAAATTATGCGATTATATTTATATATTTATCGACTCAACAGATGGCTAAAGCTGCCCTTGGTCCTCTCAACTGCCTTTTCCCAATCGTTGCGGTCAACAGCAAGTCTGCTGTACACTCCGACTCTCCTCAAGTCCTCAGCCACCAAGTCTTTCTACCTCCTCGCTTTCTGACTCCATCCGAGGTTCCATAATATGACTGCCTTGCTTTTCTACCATCATCTACCCTGATTATATGTCCTAGCCATTTGAAGCACTGAATTTGCACGAATTGGGAAGCTCGGAGATCATCGTTTAAGTTTAGATCTCTCTGTTCCTTCTCAAGCGGTAACGTTTCCTGATAAGAGCTATGTATCGCCTCGTCACTTTTCTCTCAAACCTGTCTATCTTTTCAGCCAGGATCTTGCGTGGAGTTCAAGTTGTACAGGTATAGGACAACACTGGTAGTATGATTGTTTTACACGGAGTAATTTTGATATCCCGACTTAGCAGTTTATTATGGAGGAAACTTTTCCTTTGTAGCTTCCATAATGCGAATTTGAATATCTTTCTCAGTACTTGTATATATAGTGGGTAGCGTCCGACTGCTATCTGCCAATGTTTATAACCTTAACACTGATAACTGTGATAAGCCACTGATAATATCTTCGTATTCATATTTATTGTATTATATTCATATTATTATATCTTCGTATTCATATTTATTTTATTGTATTGATATTATTGAAATTGTGAAAAAAAACAAATATAATAATTTTTTTTATTTTTTTTTTTTATATTTGTTGGCCTTAAGCACGTCAACCCTACTGGGTCCATTGTGCGCCAATTTCAGTTAGTCGTTTTGTTTAAAACATTAATCCTGTCGCTTCCGCGTATCTAAGTAGGCTGATTGGATTGACCGACTCTGGGGAGATCCATCTGTTCCTCCCCAAATACCACCAGTCTCAGCCTTATAAATCTATCACATTTGCATATGATGTGAAAAGCTGCTTCATTCTCCTCCTGACAGAATCTGCATAGCGGATTCGTCATTACTCGGAGATTGAACATATGATTATTTAACTTACAGTGACCTGTATAGATAGCTGTAAGCTTTTTAAGGGCTGCTCTGTCCATGTTCAGTAGCTGTTTACTTCTTTTTTTTACATGGACCTTCCAGGAACAGCTTCGAATGTCTCTGTTTCTTGTCGGTCCAATAATTACTAAATTTGTTCCCATAGATCTCTCTGATCCTGCCCTTGGCAGTACTGAGGCTGATTCCACAGACAGGCTCGGGAGTTACAGGAATGTAATAATAAAAAAATACTTTTATTTTACAAGATATATATTAAATAGACCAAAACATTATACATATATAATAAAAAAACATTACGAAAACATTGCAACATATATATAAAAATAAATGAAATAATTAAATTAGGTAAAAAATAGACAAAAATAAATGAAATAATAAAAAACTACTTAAACAGCATATGTACACATATGAATTTTAAAGCTGTTAAAAAAGAAACCCTCGAACCCTCTAATCACGTTCCTCTCCTTATACCACTTATAGAAACGGTTTTGTTACAACTATGAAAGCATCTCCATTTAATCTTCTCTTCGAACTTCATTTGATGACCTTCATCATAATATTTCACCTTTGAAAATATCCCGGCGTCTTGAAAATATTTGATAGTCTCTTCTTTTGAAGACGGCAATTCCCACAATATGACAACATCCATAATTAAATAAGACTAACTCACAGCTTACAAAAGGAACAAAAATAAACAAGGGAATAACTTAGGTTAGAGGAGATAAGGGAGGTTATGTGAAATAAGATTAGATAACAAGGGAGGTTTTGGCGCTACCCGCTATTATACAAGTACCTCTTTCTCTTCCTCCATATGATCATTTATTATGGAGCCAAGATACTTAAAACTGGACATGCACTGGAACATATACTTTCCCTCTTCCTAACGCTTTAGCAAATTCATATATGATTTCTTCCTGAGCACTGTAATTTTCATTTTCTCTTCTTTTATAGATAGGTCCATTCTTTCAGCTTCTCTTTCTAACCTTTCGCAGGCCTCCTTTATATCCTTGAAGTACAACCCAATAAGAGCCATATCTTCAGCATAACTAAGAACTTGCATCATTTTATTAAAGATTGTATCTGACTGATTAAGCTTGGCCTTTTTCTCCATAACTTGTAGGCCACATTAAATAATAGTGGCGAAAGGGAGTCGCTCTGTTTAACTCCTGTCTTCAATGCAAAGGTTGGCCAAGCCATTTATTTTTCACTCACCATACAATTATGTAGGTGAGGCAAATTAGAATTATTATTATTATTATATAAAAAACATAATAATAAAATTTATTGTACCAGTGTACAATTTTTCCATACATTTAAATATTGTTTATATTATACTTTGGCATCGATTCGATTAAACATGATTTTTTGACAATTTAACGTGCTAAAACATTTTTTCTAAATGTTAAAGTTCTACTGTTGTTCCACCATATGAGCGATATGGTTTCTTAGATAAACTCTAAAGTTTCTTTTATATGTTTTCTAGAAGATTCAGATAACAAAGAGATTGTTTCCGATCAATCCAAAGTTCTGGCTAAACTAGACAGGCAAAAGTCTGTAATTAGTTCATGTTCATCTATTACTAAGTAAGTGATTTTTATTTATTTACAAAAATATTTTTAGAGTTTGATGAATAAAATTCTTCTATTGATGAATTGATTGAGAGCTCCTTATAAAATAAAAATCCTAATTATGTTTAACTAGTCAATTTTTTCATACCCATAATTTTTATTTCATACCCATGTTCTCTTAATTTGCTTGTATAATGAATATTTTACCTTTCAATTAAAAAAAAAAAAAGAATGTTGTTAACGAAAACCTCAAAATTTAAAAGAAAAAATATAATGCTGTTTTTATTTATTTTTGGGTGTAAAAGTAACCAACAAATTAACCACTATAAAACGTATTAGAGCAGAAGTTCTCCAAGGCAGCGTACTGGGACCATTACTTTTCAACTGCAGACTTTCCAAAATATGACAATACTTTACTGGCAACATTTGCCAACGATACTGCACTATTTATGACTCACCAAAACCCAATTATCGCATTTCTTTTCATACAGGATCATCTTGATGAAGTGTTAAATTTGGCTATGAGGTCGAAAGTATAAATGAACGAGACTCTTTATTACCGACAATGACCGACTGAAAAAGTAGAAGTCAAAAGTGTTACATGGTAGGTTTTTTCGCAAGCTTCAGCAGACTGAAATAGATAAATCTTGTAGTTGGCTGGTAGGAGGAAGTCTGTTCTCCAAGACTGAAGATTATTTAACTGCAATCCAGGACCAGGTTATAGCTATGATAGTCTTGAAGCAACAAAATGTATGAGAAAAATGTAGTGCAAGTGCATATGAATCCATTCAACACCTAACTGCAGGTTGTGGAGCTCTTGCAGGTACAGAATACATAAAAGACATGAAGATGTTGTCTAAGTTTATCACCAGAGGATTAGTCTGAAAAGTAAATTATTAAACGATTCAGAACCTTAAATTACAGCCTTAAATGACTCTGCCAGAAAGATGGGATAAAATGATATAATTTATAAAAGACCATCTCGTGACTCACAACAGTTCTGATATTGCGTTAATTGACGGTAATATTAAGGTATCTGAGATTATAGACATCACTGTGCCAAACTATAGACACATTAACTCAGTCTGCGCAGAAAAAATAGGGAAGTATCAAGGTCTAGCAGCTGAGTTTAATAGTTTGTATAAAGTTAATAAAGTAACCGTTAAGGGCGTTGTGATCTCCAGCAATGGCCTGATACCGGTGTCTACTGTGGAAGCTACTGACAGGCTGGGCCTCCCAACTCATGTAATAAATGAAGCTCAGAAATCTATGCTGTTGAATATTGCCAGAATTGTGAGGAGCTTTCTCAATATCCAATAGAAATTAAAATAGAACATACCTGTGGTAGTTACCTTAATAGGTTCTTCCCCTCTCAAGGTAAACAAAAAACCTTTTGTAAAAGTATTGACAAATAAATAATAATAATAAAAAAAAACTGCAGAAAGTAAATTTAATCATGATGTATTAAGTGCTTATGCTAATAAAAAAAAATAAAAATAAACTTACAGTTGGAATCCATTATCAATGCTCAAAAAACTTGTGGAAGTATCACATTTTACTCCCATAATACTTAGTAATGGTGTCTGGAGAGTTAATATGATTTTTTTTCTTTCTATCCTGGCGATGCCTTAGTTGAAGAAACTTGAATTATTTACTGATATTTCAGACATAAGGCTTTTTTTTTTTTTAGAATCCTTGACATTTCCTATAAGTAGTTTTAGTATTATAAGTAGTTTTTACTCTCATTTATTTATTAATTTTAATTTTTTCTAAATAGTTCCATGTCTAGATCTACTGAAAAAATCAAAGGAGGAAAAAAAGTAGGAGAAGTTATAATTAATGAAGAAAAAATGGAAGTTGGAGGAGTAAGTTAATTTTTTTTTTTTTTTATTTGAATCACAATTTACTGTCTTTTCTCCAGAAGCCGGACTCAGAACTGCAGATCGTTAATGAGACATCATTATAATAGTTGATCTCATTAATGGGTGTTTGGTTCCTTGAAATGTCAATATTGACACCATAGTTCATTGTCAGATATTCTTTGACTTGAGTGTCTGAGATCATCATCCTGAACCCTCTGTAATATTTCCTAGTGTCCCTCATGGGTAAACATTCCCGAACATAATTTTGATTTGGCTAGTATATAAACTTCTGTTAAAAAACTTAGTTTCCTGAATATTTTATGTATTTAAATTTTCTATAAGCATTACAGAAAACCTCATTACGGAATTGATTATTATAGTATGATATTGATATTGTGAAGGAAGGTAGTCAACTGTTCTACATATCATAGGTGATAAATAGTCAGGCCACAGTCATTTTTAAACTTTTTATTGGTGCAGACATAGTGACGAAAAATAAAATATAAAAAAAATTAGTTCATAAAATAATTTTTAGTTTTTATAAATAATAATAAGTTTTTTTATTAACTCGAAGAAGGTTAAATATAAAATTAAGTATTTAGTATTAGTTTTAATAATAAGTAATTGTTTATAATAAGTCTTAGTTTTAAGTATTAGTTGTAAATATTATTTTTAAGTGAGTGTAACAGAAAACTGCTGTTTGGGAGAAAAGACAGTTGAGAGAGAGATGGCGGACCCTCGTGAGTGTCGAGGCACGCTAAGGATTTGGTTGTGTGAAATACTTTAGTTTTACGGTGTTCACCGGATTTTCTTCTCCTATCCATGAACCTGTGATTATCAGCGACGAGTGCCGCTTGATTTTACAAGTTGGTGAATGAACATTTTCACAGCTTAAAGAGGTGGACTGGGGAGGCCTTGACGACGCTAACTCGAATAAGTTTCCGCTTCTTTAGATAACCCAATTAAAAGCCAGTTTTATTTTCTTATTTTTCTTCTGTTTGTTTTCACGTTTTAAGTATATTATATTATTTTTTTTAAGGTTTAACAAGGAACTGTAAAATCCTATTCAAGGGATTAGGGAAAGTCATTATTAACCAAGTAAGAAGGTTCGATAGATTATGAGGTTAATTAACATATGTTTTTAAACCCATAGGTTCCGAGTTCGTAGCTCAATCCACGTCCTAATCTTTTTCTTTTTTTAAAATTAGATTTATTTATTTATTTTTATTTTTTATGGTTTTCGCTATTTTCCAAATTCAACCAATTAAATAGTGTGGCGCTCGTTAGATAGTTATAATATTTAATTGACCCTTGATTATTTTTTTTTGTCTCCACTGAGCATCCGGAAAGTTTGTTGCGGAAACAATTTTTTGAAATTAAAGACCATAACAACGTTACAACCCAAGCATGTTGGTCATCATCAAGGCTTTTTTCGGGAACTGAAGGTGTTCAAATACTCACTAATACTAATACTACTTCGAGTACTTGAATACCTTTAGTGTTCGAAACGTGCCCTAATGGATGACCCATATGCTTGTGTTGAAACATCAGCACCAATAAAAACCTTAAAAATGACTGCTTTCCTGATTGCTTATCACCTATGATATCTAGAACAGTCAACTAACTTCCTTCAATAGCTTCTTGTTAGGGACAGTGTGGCCGAGCGGGTTGACGTTGGTGCGCAATATGTGTTAACCGCCGATTTTTTTCTCTACCTGGCCATTTCTGGTATAGGGAGAGTTGCCCAGCAACCAGTTAAATCTAATTATAATATGATAAGTTAATTATGAGCTCGTATCACATTGTTAGAGAGAACTTTTAACTCTGGCATTAATCACCTGTCCTCTCCCCTGGTCCGGTAAAAACACTGTACAGCCAAAAAGGGGAGGGAAATTTTTTTTTTTTCTTTTGTCCTCCCCTTCCTCGCTCTTTAAGAATCACTTTTACTAAATAAAGACTAGACATCAATAACGGACTAACAAGTATACAACTTATAAGAGCCAAATCAAATTTGAATTAGATCTGAAAAATAAATTTAAATAATAGAATCATCATAAGTGTAAAAAACCTAATAAAAGTTAATGTAAATAATTTGTTTTGCGAATTGCCTTCCGCTTTTATATTGGGGAACTAGGTTATTTACACTCGTGATTATTAAAACAAAACCCCAGCACTGGATATAGACTTTTGAGGGTGTTTAACTGTTGTTGGGAATTCGGGAATCTAGTACTTTTGTGTTACTGAGTGAGGAGAAACAATAAGAATATATATATGAAATGTGGGACTTCGTAAATACACTTTGAATGAATTGACTTGCCTGGTTTATTATTCTTCAATCGTGAGGCATATAGAACAACTAAATAAATGACTTTTCATTCCTGTATAACAAAATAATTTATTTCTACAACTGTAATAAATTGACTCTTTTAAAGTGTTATAACTATAGACTTGATCTTCTAAATCTTGTAATAGACTTCTAATGTCATTCTGCCTCAATGTCTCAGCCTCAAGTAAGTTCTCCTCTCTTCTGACAACCTCCTTTCTACCTGTCCCGGCCTAGAATTCCTTCTCTTCTCTCCAGCTGTTGCTACCTGCCCGATCCTTTTGGTACCTCCAACCTTCTTCCTTCTTCTTCAATTATTTATCGATATGTGACTTTTCAATGAATAATTTGTCCACTGCACCATTGAGTACAATTCATCGTGCCACCTCACATTCCTGTATATTCCTTCTCATTCCCTCACACAATGTCACCTAAAGGAATAAATACCGGGGGGATGTCTACTACATGAGAGAGAATAAATATTAATGATTGACATTTATGTTATTCATGTTCAGTTTTCATATTTATTGTATGTTTACAATTTGTTGCAAGAAGAATGGATTATTTTTAAAGGTAACCATCATATTCTAAAGAAAGTGAGAAGCTCAAGATTGACTTGGTGAACTTTGCAAAAAATAAATTTCAACCTTCCTAGGCTATATTTGAACTGCAACCGCTTCTGGCTTAAACATGCTATTTTCTTGAGAAGATCGCACCTTAACATATTCTTCTACCACATTCTTTTTTTTTTATTATTTATTTATTGAATAACCCTCTTAGTAACAGAATAAAGATATAGTTGTTTTCTTTAATTAATTGAAGAATTGATGTGTTTTATAGGTGGGAATAAAAGTTTATGGTCACTACTTCAGAGCCGTTGGATTTGGTTTGTTATCGGCTACGATTATTCTAACAGCCATTCAACAAAGTTTCTCTATCGGTTCAAATTTTTGGCTCTCAGCGTGGTCTAATGCAAAAGATATTGTTTCTAATGGAACCACTGATACCAGCAAGAGAGACATGTACTTAGGAGTATATGGACTTTTGGGTGTAGCTGAGGGTGAGAAATATATTTCATATTCTAGAACAATGTTTATAGTGACGATTATTAATTTTTCAATTATTGAAAATGAATAGATAAAATCTTATAGGTATATATTGTAAAAGTTTTTACATTGACTTACCTATTTATGAAATATACAATAAGATAAAAATATAGTTGAAGAGAAGGATGGTTGGAATGAACACTAAAAATAAATAATTGTATTTATTTTTACATACCTTAACATTTCGGCCTGAAGTTCAGGCCGAAATCAGGGCTAAGAAAAGAACCAGATAACAATAGGTTTAAGAAACTATAAACATGGACTAAAAAATGTAGGTAGAAAAACAAAGTAAAATGAAGTAGATAGAGGGAACATTAAAGTAAATTAAAGTAGGTAGAATAATAATAGTAACAGATAACTAAGAAATAAATAATAATAACGGTAAAAAAGCATGTACCAATGAAATAAACATAATCAAAATAAGGTAAAATAAGAAATAAAAAATGCTAATCTTAGAATAAAGTGTAAAACAGAAAAAAGAAATATGAAGTTATATAAGGAAATAATAGATGTAAATAGAAAATGAAGATGTAAAATCTATCAACTGAAAATACGTATAAGAAAATAAACAGTTAAAATAATGTAAAAAAGATGAATGAGCAATGTATGTTTGTTATTTTAACTTATATATATATATATATATATATATATATATATATATATATATATATATATATATATATATATATATATATATATATATATATTTACTCTCTCTCTCTCCCTCTCCTACTGATTATATTTATTTAAGTTTCATATAAAAAATATAATAATATTTATAATTTTGGACTGATGGTTGACTGTAGTGAATAGTTGAATAGAAGATTGGCTGAGATTTGCAGTAAAAAAATAAATAAATTGTATTTATTTTTACATTTTTTGACTGAACACCCTAAATCTACTCTTCAATAATATTTATACTGATATTTTTCTCGTTTCAGTTGTTGCAGCTTTCATATCATCTATTTGTTGGTTTATTGCTGCTGCTGATGCTGGTATCAGAATTCATGTTTTGCTACTTTCAAATATATTTCATTCTCCGATGTCGTTTTTTGATACAACACCATTAGGGCGTATTCTTAGTCGTTTTTCCAAGGATATTGAAGTTATAGATAATGTGCTTTCTTACAACTTAAAGCAGTTACTCATGTTCCTATCAATGGTAATTAATTTTATCTTTTAACTGATCATTCATATTTGACATTTTTATTTTCCTTATATTAATATAAATTTTGGATATATTAGGCCTTTAGATTAGAATGTTATATAAATAAATCAACCGCATGAAAACCCTCACATTAGATGGCTGTCTATCCTTCTCCATGATGCGTTGGATATATTAGTGACATCAGCAAAACATGTTTATACAAAATAATATTACCAAGATAATTTATTCAACACATATAAATGTTGAAGCTTCATACTTTATCATGAATGCTAACGTTACAATATACTTAACAAATACACGGTGGGCCAGAACCCCTGTGCACCCTCCCCCTCCCCCTCCTCCACATCCCTATAGATTGCATATTGTTGTGTTCCTCGTAACTATTTATTAAAAAAAATTTCTCTTTCTAAAACAATGATTATTTTTTCAAATATTTGAAGCAGTTCCGTAGAAAATGCACTTAAGCGGCAGAAAAGCGGTATTGGCATGGATGCCTACAGTCCTCTACCACACCATTCAGTGCTCATAAATGGCCTAGTGATAGTGCTATAATAAGGTTTTTTGTACATTATATTGATTGTTTTAATGAACAAATATTAATGCAATAATTTAATTGTCCAAAAAAATTTAGTTTATTGTTTTATTTAAAAAAATTTACTTTACTTTATTCTATACAGAGGTCATTTAAGAAGGCCTCTATTGTAATAATGATATAATTATAATAATAAAACTTAATTTAAAAATACTTTGCTGAATATCTTGAATTTTTTAGTTAACATTTGCAATTTAACACTTTGTTTTGTATATTTAATGATTCTTAGAGGTAATTTAAATTGTATATATTTCCCTGGAAATGAGTCATATTAATAACTGTTTTGTAATAATGTATAATATATAGCTAATCTGAACTACATATAATGAATAGGTGATGGGTTGTTTATTAAAACTCATATATCATAGACAGTCCCAATTTGCAACTTCTGCCCCGTGTGTAAATTGAGTTTCTCAATCCTTATCGCTCTGGCAATCGACAATATTTCTTATTGTAGCTTCTACGATTCTTGAGAAGAGTTTTTTTGGTACACTAAACAGGAATGAATCTTGATGAATATTACATTTCCTCATATCTCCTATCTTGTAAAACGACAAAACTACAGTCCTTTTTTATGATATGGTCCAAATTCCGAACAAAATAAAGGAAATAAAAATTAATTTTTTTATTTGTGATATATGAGTTTTACTAAACAACCCATCAACCATTGCACATCAATAGTGGTGCCCATGAGCTCTGGGTTGGGTGGGAACCCCTGGTGCGGATGAATCTGAATAAATGTTTGCAGTCTTTTTAGCTCAATTTTGAATATTTTTATAAAATTCATGGGATCTCGCTATATAATTTGGTCCATCAAACTTAAAAATTGGTTGCTCCATTTGCTCAAAAAATTGCTACATAATTAACAACAAATTAAACACATTCATTTGATTTACTTATTTATTTTCCTTCCAGGTTATTGGAACATTAATCGTGATCAGTTATTCAACGCCTCTATTCATAGCTCTTATAATTCCAATCGCAGTTGTATATTACTGGATACAGGTAAATATAAAAAATAATTTAACATGTATTTAAACATCTAATTTCTTAAATCTACATTTGATTCTGTTTACATTGCTCATCATTCACTTTTAAAAAGCATTATGGGTATACTTAAGATGACCAGAATTTAGCATTGGTATAGCAGGATACCATTGACTGGGGAAGAGGGGAAGGATAGTCCAACTTTGTTGTTATATTAATTAATTTTATATTATTATAATCAGGTGATACAGTATTCACTAAAATAAGGTAGAGTATGTAGTTCTAAAGATGCATTTTTGAGAGTAAATAATTTGATGGTGTATTTAACGTCTTATTTACGACTTCAATAATAACACAGTTTTCAAGAATTAAATGTTTTTTATTGTCAGCATTTTGTTCACAATCAAGAAGCTCTTTTTGAAAATGCTATAAAACTTATTGATGGTGATCGAAGTAGGAAATGAAGTTAACTTTCTGATGCCAAAGATTTAACCTTTTCCTTATCAATATATTTTTTAAATAACGATATTTTATTATAAAGACAATTTTCGGGTTGTTTATTAAGTCCAAACAACTGATCAACAATACGAACTTTGCTAATCAGTTCTCAACAATTATTCGATATTATTAAAGTTTCACGTTACAAAAATAATATAAACCTCATATTCAGACGAAATAACCATATGGCCGCTGAAAACCATATATTCTCTTCTGGTTTTTCTGCCGCTCTCTAGGTTCTTTTAAATTCTTTCCAAAAATCAGGACTTTTTAAAACGTCGCGGGACATCTGGTCATCTTAGGTATACTGCACTGGTAATGGTGAGAAATTAGTCCAGCAACTGGGCCTAATTGTTCTTTTTGCCGACTCCTGACGGCTTCCTTGATGTTGCCATTGTGTACTTACTAGAGTGGGATTGTCAATATTCATTTCCTTGGATCCCCAAGAAATAAACATTAGCCAATCTATTTGAAAATCGAACCCATAATCTTCAGAATCAAGTATTCTACGACCCATTCCTCAATGTGCTCTTTTCTTATTTATCTCTTCCAAAAATGACTTTCATTAAACAAGAGGATACCATTGGAAGGTGGAGAGGGGGAGGGGGAGAACATATGGAATATATTCATGCAAGTTACTACATAAAAATGCATAGAAATTAAGCCAAATTGGGTTATTTGTCTTATATTTTAGAGAAGAGGGAGGTAACTTTGAAAATTTGTAAATTTATTTTTCCTTATTTGTAAACCTATTCATTGGTTTAGAAATAAGAAATAAAAAAATCACTGACATTATAAAAAATAATAATAAAAGCTTATTAATTGATTTTCTGAATATTAAACTCTCCTGGTGAAAATATTTGTTCCATAAATCCGCCCAAAAACAGTCCATGGTATCAATTATTCATGTTATAGTATATTTTTAAGCCTTATATTTCCGATTAGACAATTTCTAATGCTCTTAGCTGATAACAATTTCTCGCCCTCATCAAGATCAGATTCATGAAAAATCATTTTTGGAAGAGATCAAATGATTATAACAGTCATGAATAAAAATGAAAAAAAAAATACTACCTGAAAAGGGATTTTTTTTTTTTCGAGAATTGAATTGAAGAGTCAGCCCTGCATAATTTTTTTTACTACTTATTGATCAATTAATCATTGATAGTGGAATATTCCTTTTATTTTTCAACACTACCTTTTAATTTTGTTTAATATTATTCTTTAACATCTTAACTTTTCAATGTTTTAAGTAATTTACTCATCTTAAGGAATATGATTGATTGTGGAGTGTAGCATTAAAAATAAACCTTAGTTTTCAATCCTAGGAACTTATAAATTATAAATTCAACAGTCTTCAAAATATGAAAAAATAATTTTTGTGGATGTAATGACAATATGGGAGTGATATAGCTAATTATGTATATAAACAAATAGTAAAAATGTATATAATAATTGTATTCTTCATGAAGGGGAAATAGTCCTGTAATAATAAAAAGTGTTATTATTTAAGAATAATGTTAAATAAAAATTACTAACTCATCCAGTGATTAGATATAATCTAATTTTTTTTTTATAGAGAATGTACGTGACAACTTCCCAACAGATTAAGCGTCTAGAATCAATTTCAAGATCTCCTGTTTTTTCTCATTTTGGAGAAAGTATTACAGGTATAATTTTTCTGAATTAATATGAATTTAAGTTCGTGTGAAGTCAATGATTATTTTACATTCCATTTAATTGTTATATTCGATTCATTTTTGAATTCCCAAGGCATTCTTACTTTTCAGGTTGGTATACAAAGTTAAATAGTTTTATACTTTTTCTGACAGCAACATTTTGAGTAACTCTCGGTCAGTGAACAGATTGGTAATATCGAAGAGAGAGTTATCTGCCTTTATGAGGGAATGAGATATCAACAAAGGGTGAGCTATCAGATCTGATATATAGGATTACAATTGAACGGATGGGCACCCAGACCTTACATGGAGAGATGGAAGGATTTATGGGGCCAAGAATTAACATGAACATATCGAATTGAGGAAAAATTAAAATAGTTGAAAGGCTAAATAGGGAGTAAAAAAAGCAACTAAGCTGTGTGCTTTGGACCACACGATAGAAATGAAAAAATCAATAAGGCCAGATTAATAATATGAAATATAAATTATAAATAATAGCTCATTATAAAGAGGATGAAATGCTGAATATTTCTCTCGATTAAAGTAAATAGTTCTCATTTTTAGTTTCTGAGATATTTTAATCGATATCTTCCATAAAACTCGTTATCATTTGGTTTTGACACTAATTTTCCTTTTCTCCTCTTTAACACGGTGTCGCTTTAAGTTACAATTTTGAATAATAGCCCATTACAGAGAGGATGAAATACTGAACAATTCCCTAGCTTACAATATGCAGATTTTTAGTCTATGAGATATTTCAATCCATATGGAAAAACACTTCAATTAGTCAACTCCAGCCGACTTTACCTGAGTGTTACACTTCGAAGATCTGAAGGCTCAGTCTAATTCACTCTTCGAAAAAATTGCAAAATGTGCCTAAAGAAGTTTTCACTTCAAAAATGGTATCAGAGATGTTCAAAAGGTGGTTTCATCAAAATTTTTGAGGAAGGCATATTTTATTGGGGTTTTTAAATTTTGAATGGAGGTATATTCTGATAAGATTATACTTATTTGAAGTGAAGAGTTTCAAGCTAGGAAATAAGGGAACAAGGAAAAAAATATTAACCAGATCACAGCAAGTGTAATTGTATATGGTCAACGATTTTCTGATTCTTCTTTTGATTGGACTGTGTTTATGAAAATCAGAGCAATTGTATTTCTTGGAAGGAAGGAGAAATTCCTGTGCCATCAAGCTTGGGAATGGGTATACTGATACCAGTTAAATATTCACAATGAAATATAAATAAATTTAGCCTCTTTAATCACTGGTATTCTTGTTGTATTAAAAAAATTGCTTGACACTTAATTATTTATTATAATTATATAAATAATTAAAATGTGCAGCTTTAGAAGGAAATAATTAGTAACAAAAATGCCTAAATTTAATAGATAAAAGGGTAGGAAAAACATGTAAATAATCGGTTTAAAAATATACTGTCTTTAATTATTTGCTTTGATTTCCCTATGTATGAAAATATATATTTCAACTCAAAGTAGGGTGGTAAGTAAATGTTGTGTGATATTCGCTCGGCACCATATTTTTCACTGGTTTTCTTTCTCTTTCCTAATAGGAAAGAGATTACTTATGGTACAGACCCCTTGTTATCAAATTATTAACATCCTTCTAAAATTTCGAGATTGGTTTTATCTTATCATAACTTGCAATTTTTTATCTATAGAAATAATCAGAATTGGACGTTTTCTCATTAAATTAATTAATCAAATGATGCCTCATATTTTGATATATACATATATGTAACCTCATTATTTTGAGATGTTGTGACGGGGACGGAGGTCATGCCGAATGACACAATATTTTATAGCCACCTTTTTTCTTGGTATTATGATGAAATTATCCAGCGATTCAAGTGGAAAGCAAATGGGTATTAATGTGTTCTTAGTACCTCATTAAATCGTCAAGGTTGCTGATCTCCAGATTAAAAATGCTCCGATGAGAATTTTCATAAATAAAATTGTTGTAGGTTACAATGAGAAGAAGCCCAACCAACTTCTTCTGCTATAAGTTTCTACAGTCAACCGTTTAAAATATTTATCTTTACAGGATCCTCGATAATCAGAGCTTACAATGCCCAGGAGAGGTTTATCAAGGAATCGGAGAACAAAGTGGATAATAATCAAGTTTGCACATTTCCTTCGATTGCAGCAAGTCGGTAAGTTCTCTGAGTCCAGCATGTTTCCAAGTTGATCCTTTTATCATACTCTTTTTTTATTTTTGCTAATAATTAATTAAGATTAATTGATTAATAAGAGAGGCAATCAGAGAAAGTATTAGATATAGACGATTAGATGGATAGAAAATAGCTTTATTCTAGGACAAAGTCCCTGACAATAACAAAATCAAACAAAAGGTTTACTTCTGGCTTAAAGGTTTGAAACAATAAATAAAAGTTTAAAAAAAAATAAAGGAAACATTAAGTGAACAACCTAAATACAAAACGAATAAAACCATGTACAATGGTAAAACAGTACAAATAATAATAATAAGCTTTATTGACATCAATCAAGCTTTAATGGGATCAAGGATTTGACAAAAGCCTCTCCCTTTGGGAGGAATTTTAATGGAGTAAGCTGCAGCACAAATAGTACATATTACCACTTATTTTAAAACATGTAAAATAAAACAAAATATATCAGATTTTCCTTCATAGAGTAACAATTTAAGGTATAAGATAAAACAAAATAAAACGGCACAACTAAATATTATTCACAACCTTTTCCCATCTGGTTCTATCCCTAGCCACAAGCCACCAGTTATCACCTGCATACTGTGTCATCCCGTTCCTCCAGCTAAGATGCGACCGGCTTCTTTTCCTGCTGTTCTCCCTTGGGATCCACTCGATGCATGCTTTGGACCATCTTTCACCTTTGAACCTCGTCATGTGTCCAGCCCAGTTCCACTTTAACCGATGAGCTTCAACCCTTAAGCTTTTAATATTTACACACTTCTAAGAAAAAAATAATAAATAAATTAAATTCTTCTTATAAATAAGCTCCAAGTTTCTACTAAAAAAAAAAATTGAACCTGAAATGCTGAATAATATGTAAATACATCATGAAAAGATTATGATCATTTCTTAATGTAACTATCTGTAAGAATTTAATTGTATATTTAAAAAAATAGTAATAAAATATCTGGTGTGTCCACTCACAAGACTTTCCTCCCTATTTCAGAAAAGTTTTTATATCTTTACATAAGTTCATGAAGCAACAAAAAAATATTGAACTAGATTTATTTTCCTGAAAATTGATCAAAGAAAAGATTTGAGTACGATTTATTTGATAAATTAAAGCAATGTAAACCAGCTTAAGCTAGATCAGTGTAAACATTTCAATACTCTCTAATATTGCTGATTAAAAACTTTTTGCCATAGCTTAGTATTGTCAAAGAATAATTTCTGTTAAAAGTAAAGGAAATAGTGAAGCTTGTGTGATGCGGGAAACAGATTTTCTTACTTTCACTTAGTCATCTTTTTTCTCTCATTCATCCCTTTCTGACACCAGGATATGAACCCATAATCTTACATTGGAAATTGAATTGCTGTAACTTTGTTATTAGTTGTCCAAAATGAACAATTTTTATATAGTTCTGTAGGAAAGTTCATTACCTTTCAAAAAACATGCTAAACAGTGTTTTTTTTTTCAAATTTCTACCACAGGCATCAGTAGTCAAAACCCTACAAAATAAAAAAAGAAGCAACAAAGTCGGTTCAGTAGTTCCCGAGAAAATCTTGGCACAGACAGACAGACCAATGGCTAAAAATGTGTTTTACGGATTCAGGGGGTTCTGAAACGTATAGATCCGTCGAAAACCGCATATCGGAAATTTGACCCGATTGCAATATTTTCCTTACCTAGTATAGGTAGGAAAGTAAAAACAATAGATGCATTGAGGGTAGTAAATTATTGTAATATCCTTAGCAAAGAACAATACTATTATTTGATGATAAATGACATGAAATAGATGTTTAATGTCAAAATGTTAGCATGTATCTGACTGTTTTTGGAACAGGAAGGTTTTGAATGTGGATAGGGAGAGGGAATGCCGAATTTTGATAGGAGGGATTCCAGAAATTGACAGAGCAAAGATTACAATATATTTTGAAAAAATATACCTATGCATTAATTCTATTTTATAAATAACTGTTTCAGGTGGTTGACAATTAGACTACAAATGATCGGTAATCTTGTTGTTTTCTTCTCAGCCCTTGTTACTGTTATTAATAAAGACTCGTTGAGTCCTGGCATCGTGGGTCTCATGATAACTTATGCACTTCAGGTTTGATTAACACACGAAAATTATACTTAATTTCATTTTTTATTTCACATTAATAGAATGATAATCTAATTGCTAGATAACTCTATCGTTAAACTGGATAGTCACTAATTTTGCTGAAGTTGAGACTAACATAGTTTCTGTGGAGAGATTAAAAGAATATTCAGAAACACCACAGGTAAAAAAAAATTCTATAATTTATGATTACACTATTTATTCAATATAAATAACCACTAAATTAGATTTAAAATATATAATGAAATATTTAACTATAGTTTTATAACATGATATTATGGAAGGATCATACATTGTCACACTTAATGTCAACTCCTTCGATTTCTAACTCTTTATCCGAATTTTCATGTGAATCAAATAGTGGGTCACACATTTATCATACCAAACATTTAGTGTTAATGTTATCTCTATATGAGCAAGTAATCCACTTTGATGATACTTAGTGGAAATACTTAAAGTAATATTGAAAAAAAAAAATCGATTTTGTTTTTCAAATAGATTCAAGTCAACGCCATTATTTTATTGTTTTATAATATCCTATATTTAATTAGTATTTTTCTGTTTTAGGAAGCTGCTTGGGATTGTACTATTAACATTGTTGGCAAAGATTGGCCGCACGAAGGTAAAGTGGAATTTATCGACTACAAAGTCAGGTATAGGGAAGAGCTTGACTTAGTGCTTAAGGGAATCAATCTTGTTATAAATGGTGGTGAAAAGGTAACCTTGATTTTAAAGATTGTTTTAATCTATTAACAAACAACTTATATTTAAGCAAATATATTAAAAATACAGTAAAACATCTCCGGATGGACACCACTTCTGATGGATAATTTTTAAATGTCCTAGTCTGGAAGTATAGGATTTAGATCCCTTTATAATGGATTCGTAAACCCAAATTGTCATCAAGGGACATAACCCGTTCCAAAAGACATTTTAAACACATGATAATTAAGAAAACCATTGTTTATAATTTTATGTTTAAGAAATTAGATTGCTCTCCTCTTCATAATCGCAATTATAATGGATATCTCTGTCTTCTCTGCTTTGAAAGCTCCTCTAAATTGAAATCTCACAAAAATATTGTTGTATCCAAAAATTTAGAACAAAAAAATTCTACCCCCATGAAAATGTGCTCCCTGTCTCAAAAATTCAAACTCTCATGAAAATGTCATTTCAAACTTTCCATTTGTCTTAAGCAAACTTTTATTGACATTTTATCATCCCAAAATCTGCGTGTTAAGTGAACGAGTTAACATATATTATTAAAATAAACTCTAATATATTAATCGATCTTAGATCAATATTTAGGTTGACTCTTTATTTAACAGAAGGAAATTTCAGGAAAAAAAAACTCGACCTTGGACAAATAATATATATGGTATGCTAAATTTAGTTCTAATGTTTCTTATGCCATTATCTTATTTAGTGTTTTAATACAATAATTTTTTTTTCTAATGCCTCTCGACCGAACTATTGACTTCCGTCATTAGTCCTCTAACAGTTACGGAGCTGTTCCAGTTGACAGCTGTAACCGTTTGGTTCTCTTATACTCGTATAGATATCCAGACGCGATCCAGAATCACTCCCTCTTCATTAGGATGGTTGTCAATACTTTTGCAGACTTCTCCTTCCTGTTGTTTTTTACCGGATAGGGTTAATGGCCCTGTGCCCAACCCCCAATCTGGATTACCAGGAACTATGTTATAATCTGTGAATCTCACAGTGGGAACATTACCATCCCCATGCGGGAATCGAAGCCGCACCATAGTGGTCTAAGCAATTGAGTAGGGACTGCACTTATTTATTTAAATTTTAATTTATTATTAATCATTTTTATTTTGCTATCATGTTTTGTTTGTTTTAAATCCTGCAAACAGGATTTAAACTTGTAGCTTAGAATTTTTGCAGGCACCTTAACTCGCTCGACCACCACTACCCTGAGTACAGTAAATAAATAATTTAATCATTGAATGAATAAACTTAGTATAATAATTTAATCAAATATCAGTTATAAATTTATTTATGTACTCATGTCTTATGTTTTTCTGTTTAGATTGGTATCGTGGGCCGCACTGGTGCTGGTAAATCATCTATAACATTAGGTCTGTTCAGAATCATAGAATCTGCTGGTGGTAAAATTTTGATTGACGGTATTGATATTTCGAAACTGGGACTTCAAACTTTGAGATCTCATCTTACGATTATCCCTCAGGTAATTAAAGCTTATATTGTTAGTAAACAAGAATTTTATATCAAATTGTTTATATTCAACCTGTAAATATCGGGTGGTATTTTCTTAAGGGCAAATAGTGTCATTAAAAGTATTTTGTTTAACCTGACTTAAAAACTAATATCTCATTGCAGTTCCATAAGATATTATCTCAATTAAATTATATATTTTATTTAATTATTAATTTATTTTCTTTTAAAATTTCAGTTTATCAACTTCAACATTTTGTAACCTTATTAATATGAATCTAAAAACAATTTTAAATATGAAACCAGACGATGAACAATGTTCAACTTATTGATTTTTTAAATAGAAAGACTAAAGAAGGTATTTTATAGTATTAGTTTGCATGGAAATTTCAAAATTATATAATGAAACATTGATGTTATAATTCAATATTTTATTTAAATTTTATAAAGATGAATATGATATTTTGGATTAAAAAAAATTTTCAAATTTTCAAATGTTAATAAAATATATTGAAAAGAGACTAACAGACAGTATATAACTTCAACATTTAAAACATAAAATAGTCTAATATTCTTAATAATTAATACCTTTTTTTTGGCCTTTGTAGATATTATTTCTAAAACTCCAAGATTTTCAGAGAAAGAAATCTTTTTATTTACTTTAAAAAAAAATTAAAGAATAGATTCGTTTTTTATTATTTTTTTGAAAAGCTATTTAGTTTTAGAATAATAATTAATCATGTAATTAATTTAAGTCCTTTACACAAACAGATAACTATTTACTATCAGGTTATGTAACTAAAGTTTGCAACAAATCTTCTGATTGTTTTTGCTGTACTTCTTTGAAGTACTTTGCTAGGCTTATGCTTTTTTCATCTTTTATTTTTTGATCCGTAAGCTCTTGATTCTTCCAGAAGAGAATTTGAAATGACGACTCGATACTTTTTGTAGCAATTCCACCTCAGTTGAAAAAAATATAATATATATTTTCAAATAAAGTAACATTAAAAGTTCATTTCTTTAACTATTGTTTTTTTTTCTTCCTTTTTTGTAGGACCCTACACTATTTTCTGGTAGTTTGAGGATGAACCTCGATCCGTTCGGGTATTACAGCGATGAACAGATATGGAGAGCTCTAGAACTTACTTGCCTTGATTCTTTTGTAAAAAAGTTACCGGCTAGATTGCAGCATGAAGTTACAGAAGGCGGTGAAAATCTAAGGTTAGAAAATCTATACATTTCTATTTTTTTTTATTTTATGATTTTAGAATTTTTTTGTACTCTTTAATTTGATTATTTGCATTTTTTAACTATTTATAAACAAAAAAAAAAGTTTTTTTAATATAATTTTGATGTAGAATATGTTTATTTGAGAAAATGATTAAAAATATAAATTTAATTTTGACCATTCATATGTTATTAACAGTGTTGGCCAAAGGCAGCTCATCTGCCTCGCAAGGGCCCTTCTTCGCAAGACAAAAATTTTGGTCCTCGATGAAGCTACTGGAGCTGTTGATTTAACAACTGATGACTTCATTCAAAACACGATTCGAACAAAATTTGCTGATTGTACTGTATTGACAATAGCTCACAGGATTAACACCATAATGGATTATGATAGGTTAGTTTGATAATTATTTGTGGATTTTTGAAAGAAACTAACAATGGATTAGCTTATTTCCTAAGTGAAAATTGAGTTAAGTATCAATTCCTATGTAAAAATACCCAACCTAAATATTACAAAAAAGGTTGTGAAAAAAAGTTAATTTCCAAAAGCCAGTATTTTTGTTTTTCAAATAATATAAAGATTGCATTTCTTAAATATTTTAAAAATATAATTTATCAAAAGCTTTTTTGACCTTTTTTTCTAATAAACATTAAAACTAAATTTATTTAATTGTACCATTATTGTAAACAAAAACTTAAATTTCTATAAAAAAAAAAAAAAAAAAAAAAACCTGTATCACTACAACCCATGAAGGGTCTCGGGTTCAATATTGTTTAGGAAGAAAACTGTTTCAAGACCTACAGTTGTGCAGGGAGGGGATCGGGCTAGGATCATACTCATCCGCCAGGTTTTCCCCCTTAATCAATTATTTAATTAAGGATACCCACTTCCTTCCTACCCCAGGGTCGCCCCATAGCCAATGGAATAGAATAAATAATTTTTCTGCCATGATCCAGGATTCGAATCTGGGACCTTGAGCAACAGAAGCTTAGTGCCTATCACTGAGCCACCTCGCTCTCTAAATTTCTACAGTACAATTTTAATAACTCGCCATCTCTCGAACTTTTAACCAGTTTTTTCTCTCCAAACCAAAACCTAGTCAACTTTTTTTTAAAATGTTTTTTTAATTACTGTTAAAATAACAAATGTTTTCAGAAATATTTGTAGTACAAATAAAGAATTTCTTAATTTGTTGTTTAAATTGTTTGTTGTTAAATTTAAATTTATTGTTTTGACATTACGATTGGAATATAAAATACAGTTTTTCGTATTTCCTGAAAATTTGTTAAATATGATTAGTGTCCACTTTGGAAACAAATGGCTCAATTTGACTTTTACTAAAATATAATTTTTTTTTTTTATTAGAGTTCTAGTGCTGGATCAAGGATGTGTTTTAGAGTATGATCCTCCTGCAATTCTCTTAGAAAACAAATCATCAGCGTTCTACAAAATGGCTCACGATGCAGGTCTCGTATAAAGCTGTTCAAAACAGTAGCAATGAATGTAATGTAGAACAATATCTTAGTCAAGATTATCAATTCTCAGTCGATTAATCTTGAGGATTGTCATTGTATAAAGAAAGATCTTGTCTATCCAAAAAAATACGACGTACCCAAAAAATGACGACGTTTCTTGCCTTATACAATAATGTAATATATATATGTATTAATTTGTTAAGTAAATGAAAATTGTTTTAGTTTATGATAGAATTTTATTTAGGTATTTGTAATTTAAATAAACATTGTATTTTATTAAGGAAAATTTTATTAAATGAACCCCAACAAAACTCTGACAAAGGTTATTTAACATGACACAAAAACCTACCTACCTCCTTCCCTCCTAAGATATTTTATTACTCACATTTTCTAAAAAACAAAGAAAAGGAAAGCAGAATTGGAAAAATCTTAGATCATACATAATTACACTTGCTGCTATCTGTTCCATGTTTTCCCTTTGGCCCTTATTCCAAAAATACATGAACCTGTTGAAATGTGCCTCCCTCAAACATTTAAAAACCCGTCAAAATATGCCTCCTCAAAAATGTTTATGGCGCAACTTCATTCTGCTTCATGATGTAAGGTAGTTTAATATTCCTTTCATATCAAGAACCCGGTATCAAGCTGATTTAAAGCAGTATATTGGCTGTTGTTTTTAATATCTGCTTTGTTATCAAGATTTGAAATTAGATTGGATTGTCTAGATTGAAGGGTCCTGAAATATAGATGGAACTATTACCTTAGGCAGTGAACGAAAAAAAAACAAATAAATAAAAAAATATATATTTATTTTAAAAGGATATCATCCAAGGTAATTCATATTAATTCTAAGAATGAAAAATTGTCAGGATGTGCTGTCAAAACATTATGTAATGTAAATTATAATTGTGAAGTTCTTGTCCGATCCTCAAACCATTGCTCTGATGACCAATGTTTGGATCAAAACATCAGAAAACTCAAAAAACAAATTTTTTTTACTGCACTCGATTATGTTTCATCCTTACAATCTCAACAATCAACTATATACCATCTCTAACATATTAATTCTAATTCCCTAATAAGTTTAATTATACTAAACATCATTGTTAATGCCTATTTTATAAATAATTTTACATTATTGAACATAAACTCTAAAATATATGATCTGAAAGCTCTATCAAGCAAACAGAAATACATACGTATTAAACAATAACAAACCAACTGCCTGGCAGAGAGAGCAGCAACTTTGGTTTGAGAATCAGGCCAATCAGCGTACTAGTAAATGAAGATAAAACAAATATATTACAGTAAGTCAAATCCAACCCAGCAACAGGATTTGGGATGTTTTAAAATCGTTAAACAGCCTATGAATGGCTTACTGAGTTAGACTAGTATACAACTACAAAAAAATTCAAACTATTAATTTTTCAATAGAAATCAAAAATAGGGAATGGTTAAATTAGATACAATTAGAAACGATATTTGTATATTGATAATATTGGAATATCAAAAATTTCCATCTAGTATTTCAAAATATCGAAGCAATACTGAATTTGCTGTACTAGGATGTTACACATAACTGTGCAAAAACCTACTTTAGCAAGTTTAACAGGTTACCTAATTGTAATAAGTATTATTTTTCCTCTGCAAAAGGCACTGTGGAATATCCAAATATTAAAGTAGGCCAGACCCACTGCTGTCCTCTAACCATAAATGAATTCCTTGAACCATAAAGTTATCACTCAACCAAAGAAACTTCTTATAAATTCCCATGGTGCCATTTAATCTGTCAATTGCAAGTCTGTTCATGACAACAGTCTCTGGGATACCTGAACTGGAGCATTGAAGATTTATGTCCTGTCCTAGGCGGAATAGTTAGGCTTAAAAACCTCCATGCCAAGGTTGGTACTATCTCAGACTACTACCTTTCAAGGCTGTTACCCATTGCTGGCTGTATTCAGTTTAAGTATCCTACTGATTCCATCCAGCTCAACCAGATTAAAAAAGTTAAGCGAGAGTTGAGTCTAAACAGTTTCAACCTATGCCATTATTTGATTCATCAATGTTGAAGCTGTTCCAAACAGATCAGGATGCATATTAGGTTCTGTGGAGGGGCTTCTACACTCACAATTGGGCATTAAAACCGTTCATCCATATGTGAGTTAATTTTTAGTGAACAGTCATTTTCAACTAGTTCACTAGCACCAACACACCCTTGCTGCAAACCACATGTATGAGAAACTGAACAACGAAATTATCTACAGTTTTACAGATTGATTGATGTTTGTGTTTACAATTGTTTCCCAATGATTCATAGCGTGGTGTTATGGTTTTATAACCTAAAACCTTCTCCAGTAAACGGTCTATGTAAGCTTAAAGAATTTTTTAAAGCGGACTAGTAGATCCTGAAAAGGTGTTCATCAAATAATCAAACTTTTTAACAATACAGTGATGGAATTCTTTTTGTGAAGAGGGGGAGAGGAAAGAAGTTGTGGGTCTAACCCTCTTCTCCTATGGTAGGAGAGAAGAAAAACAGACCCAAGAAGGCTACCGGACACAATAGGAGAAGAAGATGGAGGTCAAACAAATGAATGAATAAGAACAGGTAGTGTGCACAGCTATTGATCAAAATGTTATCAGATTCATGAGCAGCAGTGTTATGTTATGCCGTGATGCTTATCATATCACTGTTACAAACGTACTTATTGCTTTAAAGGCAAGGTAGGGTGGACAATCAAAATATAGTAAAATAATAATCATCATCATCATCATCCATCCTTTTGAACCGCATTAAGCAGTGTGAGGAGGAAGTTTATAGAGCCTTCACAAGACGCCTTCTATAATTCCATTGAAGAACTCTTCTCTGGAAGTCGCTCTTTACCCCCATCTTCCCATTTCCTTCTGGGCCGTCCTCTTCCTCTCTTGCCGTCTACTTTAGCTTGATAGTTTTTGCTAGCTATACTGTTTGGTTCCATCCGCAGAAGATGTCCTAGCCATCTCAGTCGATTCTCTTCAACCACATCATTGGCCGGTTTAATATTGAGGTTCAACCTGATGGTGGTGTTGCGTACTCTGTCTCTTCTCGTTTTCTCCTCAATCTTTCGGAGGAATCGCATTTCTGACGCTTGTATCTTTGATTGATGTTTCTTTGCCAACGTCCATGATTCTGAAGAGTACGTTAAAATGGGAAGAAATGTCGATCTGAAAACAGCCACCTTTGTTTTCTTTTAAGAAAAGAAAACGAAATAATAATTGGACTCATATTAGCAGAAATACGGCAAAATATTTTTATATTTAATTTAGCACTCAAAGCGTTAATGAAGGTTGTGTGAGTGGACTCACCATATATTTTTCCCGTCTTTATTGCGGAAAAGTACTTAATTGTTAAAGATGTTTCAGGGCAACAGTGAAAGAAACGTTTGATTAAGTCGAGTTTCAAGAATCATCTTGGGGCGACCTGTGTCTTCAGTGACATTGGGTCGTAGTTTCGGATAGAAGCCGTGGAAGGTAAACGCAACAACTTTGTTTTATTCAATTTTTGGACATCTTCCTTGGATATTTAATTACGAATAAAAATTATAATTTCTTAATCGATTACAAAAGTTTATTGTTTAAAATTATAAACTAATCCAGTCAGGCTTTGTTATTGCTGATAATGATCCATTTTTTACTTTCACTTACGTATATACGTTTTGAGGTACCCTGAGTCGAAATGACCAAGTCCCGAAAAATGGTCTGTGGGTCTGTGTGTTTGTATGTTAGCAGTCTAGCTCAAAAACGAAAAGTCCTATGAAACTGATACCACGTATTTAAGATAGGTATATGCCTTAGTTGTGACAGCAACTTTTTCCTTAAAATCGGCTAACCGGAAGTGCCACTTTATATCAACGCTGAAACACATTTTCACAATTTTCTCAAAAACGGCTCTAACGATTTTGATTAAACTCGGTGTATCATTGTATAATTAAGTGGTCTTTAATATCAATTAGGTCTTATCCCCATTGATGTCACTTTACAGGGCTTAAATGCCCAATGTTCATATACGTCTTCCTCTAAAGTACCTTTAATATGGTTTATTTTAAAAAGTTAATTATTTCGCATTATTCAGAGTTACGAAAAAATACTAAATATAAATCTTGAAAGAACTTGATAAGTTAATAAAGGAGAACCAAAAAATGCAGAAAAGCCTGCGTTGCTATAGACTGTAGCGCGTAAACGAATGTACCGATTTCATTGTAACTTCGCTAAAGTCATTTTCTCGACACCTTTCAAATTTATTTTTGTTTTAACGCCTTGAGAAATAATTAATGTAATGTAGCTATGCCTGTTTTTTAGAATTAGGAAATCATTTATTAATAATATGACCTGAAATTCATTTAATTAAAGATAGGTTAAAGATTTGGAGAGAGCTCTAGCGTCACTTTTGAGAAGTAAACTGACAACTTTAATAGAATTTGTTTTCATACCTCAGTGCTTTTTGTTTATAAAATTGAAACCTCGAAGTTGTTTACTGCTTGAGTTGTTTAGTTTTAAAATGGTGAGTCTCTTGAGTCGGTCATAAATCAAAATGTCTTTCTTATAACGTCCTTTGTCTTGAAACCAAGCCAAACGCTGTGTAATCATCATGAATTTAGAACTTTTAGGTAGGTATTACTTAAGTATTTTCAAATGAAAACCCTTTTTTCATATATTATTGTCAAATTGTTAATGTTTTCTTTGTTCTTTTGATTTACAGAATCCTTTGGTCAGAACTATCCCGAAGTAAGTCCCAATCATGTAAAGTATTATAACTTTTAATGACACCTTTGCATCATTAATTATTTATATGAATGGAATTTTTTAGGAGTTTGATGGTACTTTAGACTGCATATCTCTAGCAGTTACTTGTGCTTTCAATAAAAGGGGAACTCTTTTGGCGGTTGGCTGTAACGATGGAAGAATCGTCATTTGGGATTTTCTTACTAGAGGAATCGCTAAGATAATAACTGCTCATATGCACCCGGTTTGTTCTATCAGGTAAGTTTATTCATTGTTTTAAGGAAAATGTGAAGTTCTTTTAGCTGTTGTAGTTTCCTTTTGGTAAAAGTTGCTAAATTTTACACTTGATTTGTTGTGTTTCCTTCTTTATTTATAGGTCTTTGCTCATCTCTGGCTGTTCAGGCTAGTACTTGTTTTGTTATATTACTTTTTGAAATTTGTTAGTTCACTATAACTTTATGATTGAACTATTGAAGTTTTTTACCTGAAGATTTTTTTTTTATTAGCCTCAAATGATAGTTATTAAACTAGGAGGACATTTCGAAATATATATTTATATTAGACAGTGAAGTAATAATAGTTACTTGTGCGAGATTTGATTTAGATAATTTTATTTTTATTTAAATTTACTCATTGTTTTTGTTTTCATCAAAGTCTGTTATAGTGTCTTATCATTCTATTTAATGTAAAACATTTGGATATTTAGAATAGTGTCAATTTAATAATTAATGTATATATTTCAAGTAACTGAGGACTTTTTAAAGTAATATTTTAATGTTTATGATTTGAATTTTGTTATTAATATGCTCTTTAGATATTTATTCAAAATTGTATTTATAGATACTAAAACATCTTGATTCATTTATCAGTGTCGACCGTTAATGTATTTATAAAATATTTTTATTTGGTAAAAAATTCCATAATTTGTTTGTTCAACCTGAGCATTACAATTTAAATTCCTTTCAGTTGGTCACGAGATGGACACAAATTGCTTAGTGCATCAACGGATAACAATGTTTGCATCTGGGATGTACTTTCCGGGGAATGTGAACAACGTTACCGATTTCCTTCACCTGTTTTAAAGGTATGTTCTTCATTTTATCTGAGAATTTTAGAGGTTTATGTAATTATATTAATTTTATAATATCTGAATGGATACTTCAAGATGGTGATTGGTTTCAAGATAATGTCGAGTTCACTGTAGGTGAAATCCCGAAATAACCTGTATGTATCTGAAAGTAATTGCTAACGACCCATCCTCAATCCTCAGCAGATTGTATATGTTTAATTAGGTTGTTAGTTTAAGTCTCCAACATGTCCACTTTTTTATATATTATATATAGCTTAAAGGTACTTAACATAATTTTCGTCTGCTGTTTGTCGAAACTTACTCTTCATCCCCGGAAATAAACATAACTTTTATGTTTTCAACCAATAAGCAACATTTTCTGTGTTCTTTCAGATTATATAACACAATCTGTAATTGTAATGCTAGGAATTAAACAATAATAATTGTAATATAGCTTTACTGATAGAATTTTTCATGTCTAAAGCCTCTCGTGAAGTAGGTATGATGAAGTTCATTTAAATTAAAACACTGGTGCAATAAAAAATAAATTATATTTTAAACACCTTTCTTATATTGTACATTTAATAACCAATATATTAATTGTACCTCACCTATATATCTGCTTAAGCATTATGTAGTGGGACAATATATGTTTCAATATGTATCCAGTTTTAAGTACTTTGGCTCCATTGTTAATGATCAGGTGAACGAAGAAGATAAAATTCAATTTTTTTTTTTTTTTTTAATTTCAAAAAGGGGGCTAACAAAGCATATTTCGCCCTAAGAAGTTTCCTCCGAAGTAAGCTTCTAAGTCGGGGTACTAAAATGATTATATTCAAAACAATTATCCGACCTATACTAACCTATGCCAGTGTAACCTGAACTCAAAAGCTTGGCTGAAAAGATTGACAGTTTTGAATCATAAGTGTTGAGGCGCATCATGGGGTCAGTTAGAGAGAATGGTACATGTTAAAGAAAGAATAAAGAGATCTACTACTTATTTGACGATTTACGAGTTTCTCATTTCGTGCGAATTCAGCGCTTAAAATGGCTGGGACACATTATCAGAATGGATGAAGGTAGAGCCGTGAGGAAATTATATTATGGAACCCCGGATGGTGTCAGACCACATGGAAGACCGAAGAGAAGGTGGAAGGACTCCGTGGCTGATGGCTTGATGATGGTGGGAGGATGCAGCAGACATGCTGCTGACCGAAATAATTAGGAAAGGGTAGTTGAGAGGGCCAAGGGCAGCTTTAGGTGCCTGTCGAGCCAATAAATAAATATAATTAATTTTATCTATTTTTTGTAACAGTGCTTCTTCCTCTATCATAAAAAATTACTTTTTTCCTTTGAAATAGCTTTTTGTGTATTTTAAGCAAAAATATGTTGTGCATCTGTCATTTTTATACTGATATGATTGTCAATACTTGGCTGTTTTGTTGTATACCTGAAGATTCTATTTACCATGTGCTTGACGCGATCTTGAAATCTGCTACCATCTTGGAGTAGTAATTTGGATCTATTACGAAGTCCTGAATGCATTACATTTACAGAACTGAAAATAAGTCTGAAGCTATCAGTTCATCTAGTTTATTCAAATTTAAATATATTTTTTATTAGTCTTATGTGTTTAAATTCTTAGTTAGCTAACATTTGGTCACTAAGCTATAGTTCCTGGATTTGAATCCGGCTGATGACAAGTAATTTTTTATCAGCCCTGGATTGATCCTCCTGTCGCACACCCGACCTCTATCAGGGTTCTCACAATTAGAATAATTAATTAAGGGGGAAAACCTGGCGGTTGAGTATGATTCTGGTTCGATTGCCTCCCTGCACAACCATTAGTTTTGAAACGGTACTTCCTGACAAAGTACTGAACCCAAGACATTTCATGGGTTGTACTGGTACTGGTAATATTTGTTATTATTGGGAATCCGTAGTTATTCTCAGACAAGTGAAAAAATGAACATTATAAAAGTAATATTTGGAAATATTGTATGTTCCCCAATCAACTTTAGCTTCTTTTATTTCTGCCTCATAGAGTATTTGTTATCCTAATGTTTATTATTAATTTTTTTTTGTAAAATTTTTTTAAATGTCTTTTAATAGGTTCAGTATCATCCTAGAAATGATAAGATGTTCCTTGTTTGTCCGCTGAGGCATGCCGCAGTCATTGTAGATATCGATGGAAAACATCAAGTTGTTCCTCCTGACGATGATGTGAGTATAATTTTTTATTTACATAAGCTTGATATTAATCGAAATATCTAAATTAATTAAATCTTAATAGTTAAAAAGATTTTCTTAACCGTTACTCAAAGGATATTTAAATATTATGGACATCTGTTTGGAATTTAATTTTTTTTTTATGCTATAAATTTATAAATAATCTATTATATTATTTAGATGGGTATGTAGTCGACTGATCAATTTTAAGGATGAAACAAAAGTTTCAGGAATTTCAGTCAAGATATTTTTATTGAGTTAGCCGATGTTTCTATCCTAACATGTGGGTTTTCCTCAGGGTTATAGCTTGGAAGTCGAGACAAGAACTCTCGGTAAACAAGGTATTCTTGTCTGGACTTCCAAACATAAAAATGGCCACTAATTTTGAAAATGTTTACCAAGTATACCATGATTTAAACCAGATTCAATTGTTCACCTTGGAATGCAAGGTCTATATCCTCTGGATTAATGTTATACCTGATTTTTATCCTTTATAACTCTTAATTTTTTAATTATGTTTTGAATTCTGACTGAATGATTTTTTATATTTAATATTAGTTTTACTGACCAAAATAATTTTTCTTTTGATTAATGGAGATTAAAACACTCGTTAAAAGTAATTGTGTATTCATTTTACTATTCTTTAAATATTACTTCGATTTATTGCTTGAATTTTCAGATTTTAGCTCAATCGCAATAATTTCTTTATTTTTATTTTAACAGACAGACTTGAATATTGTCGCCTCCTTCGATCGACGAGGGCAATATATCTATACTGGAAATTCTAAAGGAAAAGTTCTTGTATTTTCATGTCCTGAACTTGAACAGAAAGTCTCTTTCCGAGTCGCCTCAAGCGGTGCATTGATCAAGAGTATAGAGTTCGCTAGGCGTGGAGAGTGAGTCAAAGTTTATTAAATTCATATTTTTAGTGTTCTGAATCTTAAGTTGGTACTTATTTTATTTTTTATTTTTTACAGCTGCTTTTTAGTAAACACTGGTGACAGAATAATAAGAGTTTATAATGCAAACGATGTGTTCAACTGTGATAAAGACTCAGAACCCGAACCGAAACATAGGTTACAAGATCTCGTCAACAAGTATGTTATAAACACATTTAAATTGAAAAGCCTGACTATTTATGATCCTACTTATTTTTTAGTATTTTATAGATTTTATTATATGTTTTAACAACTGTCATTTGATGTAAAAACAATTATATTAAACTTTTAATATAAAGTAACACCTAACAATATTAGTAAATACCTATTGTTTGCCAACAATTTGATTAAGAATTGGGTACTTGTGTCTTAGGTGGTTGGGACGGAACCTCCCTTCTTATCTCACCTTATATAACCGAACCTCCCTTCTTGTCTCGTGTAACCTCTTGTTATCCTTCCGTTACTTGGGCGTTATTCAGTTGGTTTGAGTTCTGTTTATTTTTTGTTATCTTCTGTTGAAATGGATATAATTACACTTTGGGAATTGCTCTCTTCAGAAGAAGAAGCTATCAAATACTTTCAGAAGGTTGGGATAATTCCAAAGGTGAAATTCTGTGAAAAAGGTCATGAAATGAAGTTTGACGGGAAGACCAAATGAAGATATTTTTGTAGCAGTTGTAAAACAAAGTATCTATAAGAAAATGGACGTGTTTAGAGGGGTCAAGGATTACCTTTTTAACGGCTTTAAAATTTATTTATGGCTGATCTTCATAATTTAACAACAATCCAGTGGAGCAAAGAGCAGCTGAAACTATCCAACAAAAAGTTGTTGACTCGACGAAGTTGGCCGAGAAACAGACGAGTGTTTCATGGTAAAAATGAAGGACAGAAAAGCAACAACTTTATTAGAATGTATGAAAAATAATATAGAAGAGAGAAGCACCATATATTCTGACTGTTGTAAAGGATACAATAACCAACAACAAAATGAAGCAAACTACAACCATTTACAGACGAATCACCTGTATAACTTCGTCGATCCTTCATGTGGGGTCCATACTCAATGTGGGGCTCAGCTAAGTGGTGAAATAAAAACCAACGAGGAACTGCGAGGCAACCCCTGGTTTCCTATTTATGTGAATTTTTGTAGCGATTGGCTCTCAGAGAAGAGGACCCATTCCTTGCTATTTTAAATAGCATTAAGCTATTTTATCTGCCAAAATAAATTAAATGTAAAATAAAATTGTTTTATATGTATATATGTTGTATTTTGTCTCCCAAAATAAATTTGTTTTTGTCTATTTCAATTTAGATAAATATGAATAGAAAGATAGATATTTTCATATTGAATATTTAATGGTTGACTGTTGCATTATAAAGGAAGGAGATGGTCCGGGGTTGCGGTCATAAAAAGACTAAATAGTGGTAAAACTATAATAAAATAAAATAGTTTTACCACTATTTAGCCTTTTTATGACCGCAACCCCGGACCATCTCCTTCCTTTATAGATATTTTCAGTTTCTGAATTATCAGTGTTCAGGTTATAGGTAGTCCATTCAGACTGCCTAAGACACAAGTACCAAGAATTGTTCAAATGTATTTATGGATGCAAATCACTTTCAATTTAACATGTACGATTTAATTTCTTCTTAAATATTATGGAATCTCCATCACTGTTACGTTAATAATAAAATTGTCAAATATGTCAACATCCAGCTCTAAACAGAAAAATAAATGTTTGCAAACATTCATTCCTGTTTAGTTGAATTTTTTCATCACTCAATTTTAACTTTAAACTTTTATTAATCACTTTTAAAATGTTTAATTTGTTGATTGTGTAATTATTATTATTATTTTTTTTTTTTTAGGACGATGTGGAAAAAGTGCTGCTTTTCTGGTGATGGTGAATATGTATGTGCAGGCTCATCCCGACAGCATGCCCTCTACATCTGGGAGAAGGGTTTTGGGAACCTTGTTAAAATTTTGCATGGTACCAAAGGCGAACTGCTTCTGGATGTTGTGGTACGTAATTAAAATCTTACTTCTTGAACAGTCCTACAATACCGGGCAAACTTTTGAGAATTTTACGAATAAAATGATAAAAGTGAGGAAATTTTACAAGCTAGGTACACCCGTTAAGAAAATTAAAATAAATATTATAAATGAATTAGAATAAATATTATGCTGTTATGAATCAGAATCATTATTGATTAAAATATCAATTTAATATCAACTGTTTTATTGATGTTTCATTAGTATTTCTGTTTTTAATTGTTAACATATTGATTAAAATATGTTTACATAATACACCAATTAAAAGTAAATCACTATAGTTTCCTCACCATTTTTATTGACTAGATAATAATATACATATTTTAATTCACTATAATTGTAATTTTATTTAAAATTGAATAGAATAATCCAATAAAAACATATCTTATAAATCACATTAAGTTTAAAAACTTATATAAACTCCCATGTTTACTGCTTACCAAATTTTACAGCTATTGAATTCATAACAATTACGTTAATTTTAATTGTTAAATGGAAATTGATACCTAAACAGTTGTGACTATTTCCCAAATTTCTTCCAATTTTGGATCTAATCAAATGAGCTTTTTTTTTTATTTATATGTGTAAAGAGGAAAATACGTTTGCGTTTCCTTAGGTAGAAGTAGGGGATGGAATTCGGTAAAATTGATAATGAATCATTTTTTTTTTTCATTATTTCCTAACTTTTCTCTGAATTTGAGCCAAATCAAGCGAGCCATTTTTGATATACAGGCCTATCATAATATCGTCGATACAAATGCTAACTATCGAATTTAAAACATTGCGATTTTCAATTCTGCACTCTAGCGATTACTTCAGAAACGATGCTTACAGTGGCAAAGTATTGGACTCTTATTACCTTTGCAAAATACAGAAACAGCAATTGTAATGTATTAATAATGTGTTTTGTGGCTAAGAATTGAATAGGATCTTCACAATTCTGCAATAAACATTGTTAACATATTTTTTTGATCAAAATGTTGCAAACTATTAAATGTCTCACATTCATCACTTTGATCTGTTTTTATCTGCACAGAAGATGGTTCTATTCATTGCAAAAGATCAAAAATGTCATTTCCGATTGTTTGACGTGGTTTTATTTTTTTGTTTAACACATGAAAGGCGGGGGATCTTGACGAAACTTTTGTCTTGAAAGTATGCTAGTCGAGATATGCGGGAGTAATATGACTCCCGCCTTTAAGCAGCAGTCGAGATAAAATCGTAGTACTACGACTCCCGCCTTTAATGTGTTAATAATGCAATTTTGTAGCAAACTCTTGAATCTTCCATAGTCTTTACTTTGTATTGACAATTATTTACTAAGTTGCCCTTAAATTATGCAATGTAAATTAGTGAATATGCCATATTTATTAGTTTGCTTTGCAAAAAGTGAAGAATTTATATTTCAAGCCATGATTGCAATGTAACGAAAGTGTATTTAATTAATTTTAATTAAATATTTTTAAATAGCTAATACATAATCTTCAAACATTTATTAGTGTGTAAATTAAATTAATAATGATATAACAAGTTTTTTTTTTTTTTGTTAAAACTGTTGGTTTTCAAATTCGATAGTATTTGTATCGATGATATGTTTGTGTATCTGGAATTAGTGGATGGAATTTGATGACGTTGATATAGGACTATTAGGTCCAACTTGTACAATCCCTAAAAATTTCATCAAAATCAGATTGATAGCAGTAAGTAATATGCCTGTCTCATGGATTTGACTATAGGCAAACAGACAGACATGACTTTAATTTATAAATAAATAAAGAAACAGGGCTCAAAGACACACTCTCGCAAATAAGAAAAGGCAAATGGAAATGGGCTGGACATCTCCTGCGATGCAATGACAATAGATGGTCAAAAATAGTCACCGAATAGACTCCGTATGACCAGAAAAGGATGAGAGGCCGACAAATAAAGAGATGGAGAGATCCATTTAGGCTTTTGACAGGACCATTCTGGTGGAGAGCAGCGAGGGACAGAGATGTGTTGAAAGAAAAATGGTTAAAGGTCAGAAATCCCGCGTCCGAGTAGGGCTAGTCACCCAGGGAAGCGTTAAAGACAAAGACTATTACTCCTAAGGGAAGGCCTATGCAAGAATAGTGAAAAGTTTTTATAAATTATTTTTTTTTTTTAATGTTGGCTTTAAGCACGTCGACCCCTTTGGGTCCATTGTGCGCCAATATTCGCTAGGTCGTCTTATTCAAAACGTTAGTCCTGTCGCTTCCGCGTATCTAAGTAGGCTGGTTGGGTTAACCGACTCAAATCTACTGGGGAGATCCATCTGTTCCTCCCCAAATAACGCCAGTCTCAGCCTTGTAAACTTGTCACATCTGCATATGATGTGAAAAGCTGTTTCATTCTCCTCCTGACAGAATCTGAACATAGCGGATTCGTCATTACTCGGAGATTGAACATATGATTATTTAACTTACAGTGACCTGTGTAGATCGCTGTGAGTTTTTTAAGAGCTGCTCTGTCCATGTTCAGTAGCTGTTCACTTCTTTTTTTACATGGGCCTTTAAGGAACAGCTTCGAGTGTCTCTGTTTCTTGTCGGTCCAGTAATTCCTAAATTTGTTCCCATAGATCTCCCTGATCCTGCCCTTGGCAGTACTAAGGCTGATTCCACAGACAGGCTCGGGAGTTATAGGAATAGTATCTGAGCCCAACCTGGCTTGCTCATCAGCCATTTCGTTGCCCGGTATGCCAGAATGGCCTGGCACCCACTCCACTGCAACTCGGTTGTGCTCAGTTAGTTCGTTAAGTGCTCTATTGCATTCCTTAACGACCTTTGAATAAGCATAATAATTGTCAAGAGCACCTATTGCTGCCTGACTGTCAGTAAAGATGGTGATCTTTTTCTCAGTCACATTGGTTTGCAGTAGGTTTTGTACACAGTGGCAGATTGCCAGTATCTCGGATTGAAACACTGAAGCATACCTGCCAAGTGGTATAGAAATTTTTTCTTTTATATCTTTGCGATAGATGCCTGCTCCAGAGCCGAAGGCTGTTAGAGAGCCATCTGTGTAGCAATTTATTCCACTATTTGGTTTATGACTTCTGCTGCTATCTATCTCAACCTTATATTTTCGGTCCTGATATTCTCGGATTAGAGTGTCAGAGTGCATAGCTAGCACTCTTTCACTTCCAATCCTGTTCAGCAGTGTTGTGTGTCCTCCCTGACAGGGGACTGTTGAACAGTAAGTTGACTTGCTTATCCTGTACAGTGTAATTGTTGCCCGAGCCTCCACCTCCAGCTGCAGCGGGGGCATGCCGAGCATCACCTCCATAGCAGCCGTCGGTGTCGTGCTCATTGCGCCTGTTATCATTATACAAGCAAGCCTTTTAATCTTTCCTAATAAGGATAAATTGGCTACAGTCTTTGCTTTGTGCCACCATAGCAAAGCTGAGTAAAGTATGATAGGTCTGACTGTTGTTGTGTACAGCCAGTATACCATTTTTGGTTTTAGCCCCCAATTCTTTCCTATCGCTCTTTTACAGGCCCATAGGCATTTGAGGGCTTTACTTGTCACGTTTTGAACGTGTTTAGTCCATGTCAGTTTATGGTCCAAAGTGACTCCAAGGTGTTTTACTTCCTTACTCAGTGTCACTTGGATACCATTGATTTCCGGCATTTTAATAGCCACCTTCTTCTTCTTGGTGAAGATACACACATTGATTTTCCTAGGGTTGATGCTTAGTCCTTTAATCCTGCACCAATTCCTAAGAATATTGAACACTGTACTGAGGATATCAGAGAGGACACTCTGATGCCTCCCTCCTATGAGGATGGCAATATCGTCAGCATATCCCTGAGCATAAATGCCTGCAGTGTTTAAGGCTTCCAATAATGAGTCAGCCACAAAACACCACAGTAGTGGAGAGAGCACACCTCCCTGAGGACATCCCCCACAGGGTTTAATCCACAGTTCCTTGTGCCCTATTTCTGATTTTAGAACTCTGTCCTCCAGCATTCTCCCAATCCATCTGGAGGTCATAGCGTCTATATCTTTTTTCCTTAGCGCATCATTTATGATGTTATAGGGAGTTCTATCAAAGGCACCCTCGATATCAACGAAGACGCCTATTTTTATAAATTATAATAATGTAAAAAGTTGTTTTTTTTTCTTTTGTAATTATATGTTTTATTGAAATTGTAATATTAATGCATAAATAAAGCCTATTTTCATTTCATTCATTAATTTATAAATATATCTTATTATTTTTTAGTGGCATCCGGTGAGGCCAATAATTGCATCGATAAGCAGTGGTGTGGTATCCGTATGGGCACAAAATCAAGTTGAAAATTGGTCAGCCTTTGCACCTGATTTCAAGGAATTGGATGAAAACGTTGAATACGAAGAACGAGAGAGTGAATTTGACTTGAGTGATGAGGACAAATCAATTACTGCTGGTCCACAAAAGGAAGATGAAGATCTGGAGGTAAGCGGTGTTCGATATTTTTTATATTCTAGAAGCTGAATAAAAGCATATTAATTATTGAAGGAAGCTAGTCGACCGTTTTACATATAATAGGTGATAAATATTCAGGACGCATTCTTATTTTTAAAAAAAAATTTTAATTTTTTATTTGTACCAATGTTTCAACCCAAACATGTGGGTCATCTTCAGGGCTGAAAATTTGAAAATACAATCAAAGATATAATATTATACGACTGATAATGGTAAATAATAAACTATAGTGATTGATGGTACATGAATCTTAACTAATATTACAATACACATATTAAAAATGAAATATGTAAATAGTTATACTAACTAAAAATAATGTACATAATCCATTTATAGAAATTTGTAATATTTTCTCTTACTAACCGTAGTTTGAGCACTGAGGGTGTTCAAGTACTGACACATTTGGTAGTTAAGTGAAAAGGTAAGGGGGAGGATTTCCCAGTTGTCCTTTTTCAGATAGCAAAAGGTAGGTAAACATAGTCTGAGGAGAAGGGAGGTAACATTTCTGTTTTTAGAATGTAAACAATATGCTAATAATGAAATGAACATAAGCAAAAGATGCCAATCAATATAAATATAACATAGTTGGTGATAAATATTCAGGACTCAGTCTTATTTTAAAAAAAAAATTTAATAAGACTGCATCCTGAATATTTATCACCCATATTAATTATTTTTATTTAAGAGCAAACAAGTCAATATGTAACATTTCATAAAATTTTATCACTAAGTACTTTAGTGAATTTTCTCTCCGTGAAATCAGAATATTGTGTACTTATTGTAATTATTTTCAATATATAAAAAGGGTTCGTGTCATTTTAATGTACTTGCTGCTATCGAAATTCATAGAAACTTACTTAAAATTTTAGATCCATTAAAAATGTACTTAGTGACTTTTTGCAATAAACTGATGATATCTTTAAAGCGGAAGTTTCTAAAAGGTTATTATTATGACTTTGGACTGTTCTTTATAAATTTATATTTTTAATACAACATACAGAAATGGCTGATGGTCAATGCTGGAGCAGGCCGGGACTCAGTGTGTGGGTTGTAGAGCCGTATAATAATAATAATAATATAACATGGCAGTGAGACCTCGACACTACCAGCACTAGCACCCTAGAAAAAAGTATTGACAGATTTGACGGAAAAATCCACTGCATAATAACCGGAACGATATAGGATCAGAGTACTATCGAATGTAGGAGAAACACCAATAGAGAGGAGCTTGTAGAAACTGGTCAATCAATATATCATGATATGAAGGATAGGAGGTAAAGGTGGATAGGGCATCTAGCTGAGAGTAATCCACGTGGAAGCCCAAAAAGCAGATGGGCAGATTGAATCAACATAGGCTGCTGGTAAGGTCAGGGAGTACTTTTGGTGGCCACAATAATTCTTCATATTTTACTGTTTATATTTGTATTTATCACTTAATACACGCACCCACATACATATATTGAACTTAATTTTACCACTAGATTAATAAATATCACCCAAAAATGTTTGAAGGTCGCAAGTGGCCTCCGAGGCCGCGGTTTCCCATCTATGCAATAGAGCTACATGCAAGTAACCGGAAAGAAATAGTCCAAGATAGACAAAGATGGAGTTGGCTTATTTAAACAAAAAGTATCTATAAAGTCTGTAAAGCCAACAAAAAAGTAAATAAATTTTAACATTTGTTATTTATTGGAGAGTTTTACTAATCTAGACCTCAATTATCCAAATATTCAGTTTATTTTTCATTTCACAACAAACCCCACTTCACGACACCACTCTTTTGAAAACTTAGTTTATTGATTTTTTCTGTTATTCTAGTAATAATAATAGATCAAGATATTGCATATATTAATTTTTTTTCTTTGTATTATTCCTTTTAAATATTTAAAATTTGTTTAAACTTTTTACAGGTTGATGTGACATCTGTCGATCCTGTAGTGGCATTCTGTAGTTCTGACGAAGAGATCGAGGAATCCAAAATACTTCAGTTCCTTCCGATCGCTCCTGAAGTCGAGGATCCAGAGGATGGACCAAACCTACTACCCCCTCCTTCACCGATCACCTCTCACAAACACAGGTCTTACGATATTCAACTCGAGGGCTCGGTTACTGATGGTAAGTCTTTTAATTAAATAAATTTAATCTGCTTCATTAACGATAAGAATGTGTCTAGGAATTGATTCTAATTTCATAAAATCCAACCTCTATCAACTATAAATTAAAAAAATATATGTATATTAATAGACCATGTGAAGTTTTGTTTTTTTTTGAAAGATCTATTTATTGAATAATAATACAATCAGCCACTGCTGGGGGCTAAAAGTTCTCATTCATGCAATATATACAAATACTAGTGAAATAAATATAAATAAAAAAAAAAAAAAAAAAAAAAAAAAACCTGTACCACTACAACCCATAAAGGGTCTGGGGTTCAGTACTATTTAGGGAAAGCACTGTTTCTAGGTCAACGGTTGTGCAAAGAGGTGATTTGACCGAGATCACGCTCAACCGCCAGGTTTTCCCCCTTAATTAATTATTTGATTGAGGGTACCCACTTTATAGAAGCTGGGTGGGCCCCAGGAGGGTCTTCTAACCCAGGGTCGCCCCACGTCCAATGAAACAGATAAATAAATTTTCTGCCATCAGCCGGTGTTCGAACCTGGGACCTTTGCATTGGTAGCTCAGTGCCCTACCACTGAGCTACCCCGCTCCCATAAATATAAAAAGTAAATAAAAACAAATAATAAAATAAAAACTTATAAACACAATCATACATTTGCCTAGGGATCTCTGAGCCAGGCTTTTTCCCCCACTGTGGAAGGCAAAGCAAGACTCCAGCAGATCCCAGTACCACTTTTCCAGCCATATCACTAGTATTAGAAGCCAGTGGAGACTGAAAGAGGGCACTAGAGCCACAGACGCTCAGGACATGAGTGGAGAAGCTGGCCTTTGCCAGGACTCCAGAAGCATATTTACAAGAGATTTCTGGCCACTGCCTTGTAAAGTACTTTTGATTGGATGCGTTTGATATTTGAATGTTTAGCAGTTTCCCACAGTTCAAGTCCTTAGGTCCAGATAGGTTTCAGTATGGTCTTGTAGATTAAAAGTTTATTTTAAATCGAAAGATGAGATGTCCTGTTTAGTAATCTGTATAGCTGGCCGTATCATCGGTTAAGTTCTTGTCTTTTAAGTCTGGTATGTGGGTTCCAAGTTAGTCTTTTGTCTAGAAGGAAGCCAAGGTAACGAACTGTGTCTGAGTAGGTAAGTGGTAATAGACCATGTGAAGTAGGAAACTTGTTCAAGTTAGATATTCCTATTAATTCTTGGGAAGTGAATGATTAGAAGACTTCAGGTTGTTACATAAAAATTGTTTGAACCATTTTGTTACTACAGACTAGAAAACGTATACACGTTCTCCATCAATTGCACATAATGCCCAATTTAGAGCACACAATCATTGGGAACTGAAACCAAAAATGAACAAATAAATTCATTCAATAGATAATCATAGCACAGATACACTCTGTCCTTATACATAGTATCTGTAAAAAGAGTAATTTTTTTTAGGACTTAGATATTTATGATATTACAAAAGACTTTATTTCTTTGTCTTTCTTTAATAAATGGCTGAAGTATAGGCTATCTTAATGAAAAGAAATGGTGGATGGTAATGTTAATATTGAGTTCAGAGGATCATCCTCGGCTGACCTGTGATTTTGGATCCAAAGGTCAAAAGAATCGGCTCACTATTCTTCGAAAAATATTCAGATTCTTCATGAAACCTAAAACCTCAAATTTAGAGGGACTAAGGTGAATGCACCGGTCATGAACAGGGAGACCAGTGATGGACAGATTGGACTGTAAATGTAAATAATAAGTTTCCTTGTTGATTTAGAGGTTCCAGTTTTTTCTAGATTGAAGAACAATGCCCTCTATTGGCAATTATATGAACAAAGTTCCCAAAAGAAAATTTTAAAATGCCTATCATTGTTGTTCCTATAGTGTGTTCATATCTTCCTGCTTACAGTTTTGCTAAGAGTAAGTTGAACGCTTATCTTATCTTATATTTATAGTTAAATAAAGATATTATAATTTTTCTGAGTTATGTCTATTACTGGCACTGACCCCCTGTCCAATACTAGAACAATTGAATTTCCGTGTGTCCATCAATAATGCAAAAAGGTGTTTTTTTAAAATGGAAATTATAGCTGCATAACTAATATTCTTTCAATTTTAATGTGCTAAATCGGAAATCGGGACACTAGAAATTCTAAATGTCCAATGGAAAAGTTTATAACTATAATAATTATGACGGCATCAATTTTAATGATTCACTATTGTAAATAAAAAAAAAAAAATGTCCCAGCAGACTGTATTTTTGCTATTAATGGTTCAATTTTGATAAATTTTACTTTCACTTAGCTATATATGTAATATGTAGCATAGGAAAGTATTGCAATCGTCAACATTTGCGAATCTCTGTTTTCAACAGAAATACATGTTCTAGAGTCCCCTTAGTCCAAATAACCAAGTCCCTCAAAATGAACTATGTGTGTGCATTTATGTGAATAGTCTAGCTCATAAAGCGTCGTATGCAACTGAAATTGCGTATTTATGGTTTGTACATGCCTGGGATGTTGCAGCAACTTTTTCTTCAAAATCAGCCAGTTGAAAGTGTCACTTTATATCATCGATTTTACACATTTTTATAATTTCTCGAAAACGGCTCCTAACGATTTTGATTAAATTAATGAAATCAGTGTAAACTTAAGTGTTTTTTAATACAATGTTACATTGTGGTATTATTGCATTATGCCAAAAAAAAAAAAAAGAAAAGAAAATATATATATATGTATGTATATATGGGGCTTGGATAGCCTTACTTAATAGCAATAGGTAATCAAAGTTTAGCAAGGTCGAGCGTGATTAGTACTTAGGTACTTAGGTGGGTGACCGCCCACCAGAGAAAGCCATGCTGACCAGGACTCTCTACCTCCCGGGTATGTGAGGCCTGTCAGCCTACTGGAAGCAACTCACACTGACTGGGTGTAGGATTGATGATCCTATCCAGTGGGAAGGACACTGCCAGATTGGCCCCAAAGGGATCGGCTATGGAGCTATGGGTGGCCTGCCCCTGCATTATGGAGACCATGGTTCGTAGCAACGTGAGGTTGGTTGGTCCCCTCCAGGTTATCTGTGCTCAAGCACTATATGTCTGGAAGCAGACCACATCTTGCGGCCAAAGATCTTCATGGTCTGTAGCTCCAACCAAAAAAAAAGAAGAATATATATATAATGTAGGTCTTATTATTGTTGATGTTCTCTAATGGTGTTAAAATGCCTAATTTTCAAAAAAAAATTCTCTAAAGTACGTTTAATTTTTTTTAATTGAAATAATTAACCATTTCACAGTGGTAACTGATATAAAAAATGATTAAATATAATGAATGAAGAAAATTTATTGGTAACTAAAGGAGAAAAAAGGATTGGAAGTTATATGGAAACAGCCAAGAGCGCCTGACCTTTGCTGATCCTCTGTGATTGAAGATACCGGATACCAATCTGTACAGGGTTTCATATTGTTAATTCAACCTTTTTTTTATATATCACGTTTCCATAATTTTTTAAAAAGGTTTTAAAGTGAAATGTTGAGGATCTACTAATATAAAGCTTATTATATACAATATTTATTAACGCTAAGTTATTTTTTCGAAAAGTTTCGTGATAAATGTTTCCGATAAAACTCAGAAGTTTTCCAAAAGATCAATTTTTCTCCACAATCATTAGTATTGTTTGGTACTATTAATAGGCCTAAAAGGAAATAAAAAGTGACGCAAGAATATAAATTTAACTGATTCAATGGGCAGGAAAAACTTGATAATTCATCTTCAATATTCAATAGTTGACCGTTGCATTATAAAGGGAGGAGATGGTCCTGGGTGGCGGTCATAAATAGGCTAAATAGTGGTAAAACTATTTTATTGAAAGCCAACGTTTCGACCCGACTTTGCAAGTCTTCTTCAGGGCTAGAATTACATATTATATTTGCATTTATTATATATTACACTACACCAATTGTTAGCATCTATTTACTTCAGTTTAGGATCTTGTTACTTAGCTTATTCATATTTTCATAATTATGTTCATATTTTAATGTACTTACTGTTTATAATTTTAATAAGCTTATTCACATTGTTTATAATTTTTTGTCTAAATATTATGTAACTTCCACAATTCTCTGTCTTCTTGTATCTTGTCCGTTCTAGTCCTGAAGAAGACCTGCAAAGTCGGGTCGAAACGTTGGCTTTTAATAAAAATAGTTTTACCACTATTCAGCCTATTTATGACCGCCACCCGGGACCATCTCCTTCCTTGATAATTCATCGTTTTAAATGAAGTTGAACCATTATTTTCACTTTGACTTCTCTATATATGAAAATGCCTATCTGTGGTTAGCATGTGAAAGTTGTATAATGCGTGCCCTACACCAGTTTTTTTTCTTCACTTTTAAAAAGAATGGAGAAGCAGCGTTATAATATATCTTATTGTATTAATTCATCAATATGTCTTACTGTACTTGCTTTAAAATAATATAATTTATTTTATTACAGATTATAATTAATTGAATTAATTTTTCAGAACCACATCCGTTACTAAGCAACAAAAGTGGTAAAGAAAAACAAACTTCTGGTAAGAAGGGAGGAATGAAGAGATTGGCGAAATAATAAGACATTCCTATTATTTTATAATTTTTTATTGTATATTTGCATTGTGTATATTTTCTTGTTTTTGTAAAAAGAAATATTTTATCTGATAAATATTTTAAATATACTTTAGTATTTTGATGAACTATTATTTCTTGTTTTGTTTTAAACTTATATATAATAATTTGATTGGAATTGTTATTTTATCCACCCACCTATGTGCATTAATAAATTTTATTTTAAATTTGTCAAATAATTGTTATTCATTTTTTTTTTATTAGCTCTTAATTTTATGAGATAAAATCAAAGTGTAATATATTGAGAGTATACCTGCAAAATCTCATTTTTATTTAGAGGTTTCATATCTATAACATAACAAAATGTTCCGAACCAAATAGTGCGTCATTATGTTATCACTTGTCCATGGCCAGGTTGAAATAACTTTCATAAGAGATTTTGATTGTATACTGTTGATATATTGTGTATTTGGTGTAACTTAATACAACCATTTATTTATTATTAAGATTATTTCATTAAAGTGTTAGTTAAAATGTTAGTGTTTAATTGGTGTTTTCATTGTTCGCCGCTGACTGGCACATTTATTAGTAATATTATTACCTCCTTAAATTATATTGCTAATTCTTAATTAAGTTACATCGAACAAATTAAAATGTTTTATTATTTAGCAATCTCATATGTTCTTGTAAATTTACACAAGTTTTATGTACAACAGTAATTATTATTAACTATCATCCTTATGACAAAATTTCTTCTAAAAGTAGTATGTATTTTTTTTTATAACAATTGAAGAGAACACTTTTATAGACATGTCAGTCAAGAGGAGTGAATCAAAAGTATTAATTGAAGAAATTGAAAATTCATGTTATCGTTAATTTGTTTGACGCTACTAGTTTTAGACTTGTATAATAGCGAATATATAAAATATAAATTTATACGTATGTTTTACCCAGGGTATTTTTTTTAAATGTTCCTTTTTCATAATCATCTTTAGGTTATACGCCAAAATGATAATTAATATTTTTTAGGATAAAAAGCTTTTTTTTCTTTTTCATAGAGTATTGACATTATATAAAAATTTTAGCATAGTTTAACACTTTTTTGTGTATATTTAGAATTGTTTACTGTCTTAAAAAATATATATATACATATATTAAGTGTTTAAGGGTTGTGTCCTAACTGAAAATATGAATTAAGTATCTCAAAATCTAATGATTTTCATTGTTATGAATTATTTAAAAAAAAAAAAATTACCACTACAACCAATGAAGGGCCTTGGGTTCAGTACTTCGTAAGGAAGTACTGTTTTTTGTTCAATGGATGTGCAAGGAGGTGATTTGACTGAGATCATGCTCAACCATCAGGTTTTCTCCTTTATTATTTAATTAAATATTTTATCGAGTTAATCCACTTTATAGGGGCTGGGTGTGCCCCAGAAGCAGAGTTTTCACCACATTTTTTTTTTATTTTCCCTCCGGAAGAACTTAAAAATCCTTTCTGCCCAAGTATATACAAAATAATACATAATTTTACTTTCACTTTCAGGATTCATAGGTTATTAGTTGCCCTATGTATGTTGTAAGTTTTTTTGCTGTTAGTGCCATTTATTTATTTACTTTTGGCGATTCTTATGATTATTGAAAAAAAAATTATTATCTCATTAATATAAAATCAAAAATAAAATTTAGACAATCAAAGTCAATGTATGATTGCTTAATCTATCTAAAATGAAATGTTTAAAATGATATATCAAATGAGAAGGCAAAAATGTATAATAATAACCTTTCAGAACTTCACTAATTTAATAAACAATATGTAAATAAATTTGCAAAAATATGATAAATTGCGAATGATGGTTGACCATTTTTAAGAAATCTGGGGTATATTTGTCGAGTGGTTCATAACTGGGTAACAATATTTTGTATTATTTAAGTATATAAATATGTATACGTAATTTATAATCCTCCATATTTCTATATAACCTCAATGATAACTACAAATGGAGTTAATATAAATTCATAAAACAATATTATCAATGATATGATGGTTTGGCAGTACAGCATGAAATATAAAAAACAGAGTAATGAAATATAATTTTTAATATTCCTTAATATGTGATCTGGGTTCCCACCATATTTTTTTGTTTTTATTTTCCCTTTGGTCAATCAGATTTTCCTTTGTTTTCTCTAAGGAGAAACATAAAAATCCTTTCTGCCCAAATATATACAAAATAATACATAATACTGGATGTTACTACTCATTTTATGTCTGTTTTACTTACATTATTTAAAAGATAGATCATAGTGTGCTCAAATTAGGTTTTAATTGATAAAAATTATTTCCCTTTTTTCCCTTCCCTACCTTGAAATTTCTCTATAAAGGGAACTTTTTTGCCAAAGTTGAAATCCTGCCCAGGAGGGTCTCCTGATCCCAGAGTTGATCCAAGGCCGACAAAACAGAATAAATAATTTATCTGCCATTAGCCCAGCCGGGCTCGAACCTGGAAGTCAGCGCTCTATCCCTGAGCTACCCCACTTCCGAATTATGAATTATTGAGGTTCTAATAAATAAATTAATATGTTTTCCAATTTCTTTATTAATGAAATATAAGCATAACATTCATGAATGTTGTTGAAAGTGATTACTTTGACTGGATGGCGATCGATCTGGAAAAATGAGAAAAGTCAGGGAAATTATTACTACATAAATATTTGTTTTCAAATTGGATATAAATATACAGCGGATATAGTGATATAGTTATAATGACCACGGTCGCTACATTCGACCACCTTTGACTCAATAATGGCACTGGTTGTTATATTCAAATAAAACAAGGGTAATGAATAAAATTTAAGCAAAATTGAATTAAAACAATGCTTTTCTGAAAAGAAAAACATACGAATACTGTTTACTATTTGTAATATATTCATCTGGGTTAAGATTTGGCTGGCAAGCACGCATTCGTTCGACCCGTGGTACTCCTTAAAAGAGCATTTATTAAGCAGAAATGTCACAGTTAGTGTCATATGGATAATTATTTCGCTGTTAGTAGTAATTTTTTTTACAATTTTTATTTGTTTATTTAGGTATATAATAATCTTTCACATAGTAATAAAGAGACTAAATTACTTATGAGAAATCATTAATATTAGAATCTTCCGTAGCTCGCTTTATTTTATAATAGAGAAAATCAGAGCTTTATAAGTCAAGTATCAACTTTTGTTTCCTCTAAAATAAAAGTGATAAAAATAAATTACAAAAAGTTTATTTGTCTAAAATAAAAAATCTTAATCAAGCTTAAAAACTGCTTTTTTTTTTTTTACGCAAATCATTTTGTTGTCAATTTTCTTTCATTTATTATGTAATAAATACATTTAGTTATAAGTTATGCATTTTTCATATTTGTTTCTGTTCTTAATATTTGTTAATATTACTGGGACCATTGATCAACTCTGAAATGTCTGAAGGATCCTCGAGTTCAGAGGAATGGTTCTTTCACTTCGACAATACACCTTTTTTCTTTTGGGCTACCTCATATAAACCCAAAGATGAATACATTATATGAAGGGGAATGTAGAAAATGTAGGATACTTATTTTAATGGCAAGGAAATAATAAAAAATATTCTAATATCTTAGTTTATTATGAATCAATTTGCATCATAAACATTTATATACATTCAAAGGTAATTTTGTCTAGGAATTAAAGTTAATATTAGCTTAAAATTTACACAGTAGTGCATATTCTGTACAATATAATTCATTATAATATTTTTATGTACTCTTAGATATAAACTCTTGAAGCACCATTCTATAACATTAAACCTACTACAAATTAAAAATGCAAAATAATAACAAACTAGTAAATATTTTTATGTAACAATCAACAATCACCTATAGAGAACAATATATATTTAATTGTAAATAAAAATAAAATACTTTTATCTATCTTTGGCACATATTTTAGTTTAAATGTTTTCTAATAATCATATTTATAAACAATTATTATAGCTTTAATTTATATACAGATTAAGTCAACAACAAATGGAAGAATTCACGATAAATAAAAGAAATAATTTCTCACTGATTACTAAAATAGTTTTCCACTGATGTTAGCCAAAACCTGACCAGTGTTTCAATATTCATTATAAAAATATCTTTCATAACATATTTTTTGGTATGCTAGATGTGCAGTTTGGGAAATGGGATATGTGTAAATTAAAAGTAAGTTTTTTAATAAATGAAGATAAAAATTACCTATACTCATAAGTAACATAAGTTATTTTATCTCGTTACTAGAGAGTTGAAAAAAAAAGTTTTAAAAAGATATGTTTTGAGGTATTTCAATTATTTGGAAACGATTGTTATGCTAAAATCCACTAAGTCCAAATAATGTCACTTTTTTGAGAGGACTAAAATTCAGATGGTATATCAAATAAGAGCTCTAATATTTGATAAAATAAATACTAACTCATAAATCATTCTGTTTTTGGTCTCTCGTAACATTTTCAACATTGGATTTAAAGAGTTTTAGCATTGCAGGTCTCTACTGAAATTTCTTATTACCTTATGATATCGTATTGATAATGTTTATAAATATTTTTTATTAACTGATAATTTACAATTCATGGTACCTGTTAAATAGCTGGTAGCACCCGACTGCTATCTGCCAATGTTTATAACCTTATCTATGATAACTCTGATAAACCACTGATAATATCTTCATATCCCATAGTATCCCACAATGTAACAACATCTGTAATTATATAATACTAACTCATAGCTTACACAAGGAACAAAAAATAAACAATGGAATAACTTAGGTTAGAAGAGATAAGAAGGGAAGTTATGTGAAATAAGATTAGATAACAAGGGAGGTTTTGAGCTACCTGCTATTTAACAAGTACCCAATTCATCACTGAAGGTATATCTGATACTAGGGATTTAAAAAGTAATGCAATATATGAAACTTTACCTATAATACAAAATAACAATAATGGAAAGTGCAATGTGCAGAAAAGTAACAGAAACTTAAAACTATGACTTACCACTAATAAACTAGAAAAATATATAATTAAAAAAAATTAAACTACCAGATATGCTTGTAAACTTCTGTATTTTTTTTAAAATTATTTTTATTTGATTAGGAACTTAAATTAATTTATCATTTACTAACCAAAATACTGTGATTTCTTAGTTTTTGTTTTACCTGATGAAAGAGGTAAATTTTTCTGGTATCTTACACCTATGGACACAACCTTATGTGATTTTTCATAGTATAGAAATAATCAAATTTTTCTAATTTATATACATAACATTCATGTCATGTTCTTGTTTTCTTTAAAACATTTTA